TTGGTTTGCTTCTTACAACATTTTTTTATTATATAACCGGTAAGTTTATTACATTATTATTATTTTTTTTCTAACATATATGTATATAATATATTATGTATATAAGTCACTTTAAAGTGCGTTTTTGTTGATAAATAGTTTGTAGATAACAATAATAGTTATATAGAAATTCTGTTTGATTAATTATTCACCAAGAAAACAATAACAACCAATATATAAAAGTTTTAAAAGTTCTTCTTAAATACAAGTTTTCTTTTTATGTTAGTTTAAAGGTTACAAAGTTTCCGCAAAGTTTTGAGTAAAGTTTTTTTCTTCAAATTACACTTTTCAGTATAAAATTCATAAAATTTTTCAGTTTATTTTAATTTTTAAACAGTAAATAGTCACAGCTTCGAATCACATTGTGTATAAAAAATACTTTTTCGATTACAACAGATTTTAAAATCTGCACGATCGGATTAAAAAATAAATAAATAGGGGGAAACGGAAAAAAAGTTTTCTTCAGGTGTTTATTAGATCTATTTTTCTTTTCTAAATTCTTTAAAGAGCGGTCCGATCACTCTTAGTAGATATTTATTTTATCTTTTCGATCCATCTCGGCTAATAATAAGCATTAAAGCCCGGATAATCTTGTGCTCTTTTTTTGTGTTACAACGGCGCAAGCAAATCACATTTCTCAAATCAATTTAAATTCCAACTTCAATTATTCTATGTGTCTTCTATAACTGAGTCTTTGTTTCCTTCTTGATCGCGTTTTTCGATTAAAGCGTCTATTTCGGTCGGGGAGGGTATCTATAATAAAAAAAAAGATAAATCAATTTATTTCGGTTTTAATCTCGACGAAATGAAATGAAAGCGAGTTAAGTGCGAATTAAGCGTAATTTAAGTGTAAATTACGTAATATTTGATTTTTTGTGATTAATTTCTACAAAAATTAAAAAAAAATTAAAGAGAATTAATCTAATTTGGTATTAAATCTTGTTAAATCTAAGAAAAATAAAAACTAGGGTGTCATAATCGCACTACTTTGACTTACCCCTTTTTTTAAAAGCTTCGATTTTTTTTTTATTTTTAGTTTATTTTAAGTTTGGATTAATTAAAAAAGATTTTTTTTCTAGAAAACATTTAATAATAATTATTATAATAAATAGAGGTATGTTTATAAATTAAAAGTGTACGTAAATTTTTGTAGTCTTAATTTATGAACATCCTGTGATATACACATAGAAAAATATTTGAAAAATGGGACATCACAATTAATTAGCACTAATTTTTTATCTGCTTTCTTTAGCAAGCTTCTGTTTCGTATTGGGTAAATTTATTTATTTAGAACTACACTGGTTATCATTAAAAAAATATTTTTTTTATGAACCAGCGTAATTAATACTTTTTCTGCCAACTTTTGCTGTAAATTTTTATAAAAAAATTCTAAAAATTTTTGGTATACATTGATATGTAAGGATTATACAGTGTTCGTCAAAAAGTCAGAAACACCCTGCTGATTTTATCTTCTTCATTGATTACTATTGTGCAGTGAGAGTACAATAGAACCAAAAAAAAAGGTGTTGCTGATTTTTTGACGCACACCATATGTATTAATTTACGTGTCTGGTTAATATATTTTTTTTGGTCGAGTTTTAATTAATTATTAATTAGCACCTAATTAAAATGTATTTTTAAACACCCTTTTAAAAGTTTTGATGGGGTAAAAGTTTTTATAAAAGTACAAAAAATTAATAAAAAAGAAAAAAATGGATTTTTAGTTAAAATATCTCGGTTTATCGATCGAATCTTCTTCGTACGTTAACAAAATGTATCCCAGACTGTTCATCTTAACCTAGAAAAAGAGAGAAAGAAAGAGTGTCAAGAAAAAAGGATGGAAGAGAATTAGTTTATTGTTATTTCGCGGGTTTTATTGTAAATTTTATTTGTTTACGAGGGAAATAGATAAGAAAATGCATGCAATAGAAAAACCCCACCAAATAAAATGATAACGCACCTTACATTGTTAGTTACATTAAAATTTTCCGTTAAATTATTTTTTTTAACATACCGTGGCATCTTTTCTTTGGACTAAAACGTCTATGCTATTGACGGCCTCGAGATTTGAAGGGCACTGGGGATCTATTGGCGGTGTTCCATGAGATCCTCTACAATGAATGCAATAACATCTAATCCCGGTTAATAGAAAACCAACGAATAAGAGTCCACCACCGGAAGCCAAAAAAATGTATCGATGATCCGCATCCGCCGCGTTTGGTACTAATTGAACCAAACCGACTATTAATACTATTGCTCCTAATAGTATTGAACCCACTATTAATTGCAATGCGGATACCTACAAAAGAAAAGAAAATGGCAATAAAAAATTAAACAATAGACAATAATAAAATTATAAAACTTAATTTCTATGGCACCCTAAAGATATATATGATAGTTCTAGATTATAAATTAGTTTTATTGTGGTCGTTTTTGCGCTATATAAAGTGAAATTTTTGGGTGTATGGCACAGTTGTAGTGGTTCTCCTCCAGACAGCTTACTAATACTAACAAAATGTACAAAGTAGCCTTCTTCGGATTGCTTTGTGTCGTCGGTAAGTAATTATCACTTCAACATTTTTATTAAATTTAATTTAATTTGATAAATTAGGACTCAATGGCTTGGTCATCCCACAAACTAGGCCTCAAGTTTTACCATCAATTCGACCAGTTCCAATCCCAGAAACTTTTCCATTAGTTGGAGGAAATCCATGTGATGAACCGGAAGATTTAGTTGTTGATATATTCCCAGAAGTTCTCCCAGCTCCTGATGTGCCTAAACCAGAAGTTTTACCACTTCCTGATGTACCAAAACCAGAAGTTTTACCACTTCCTGATGTACCGAAACCAGAAGTCTTACCACTTCCTGATGTACCAAAACCAGAAGTTTTACCACTTCCTGATGTACCAAAACCAGAAGTTTTACCACTTCCTGATGTACCAAAACCAGAAGTTTTACCTCTTTTACCAACTCCAGAAGTTTTGCCACTTCCTGATGTACCAAAACCAGAAGTGTTACCTCTTTTACCAACCCCAGAAGTTTTGCCACTTCCTGATGTACAAAAACCAGAAGTTTTACCACTTTTGCCAACCCCAGAAGTGATTCCAACTCCTGAAGAAACCAAACCAGAAATTTTACCACTTTTACCAACTCCAGAAGTTATTCCAACCCCAGACTGCGATGGAGATGAATCAAATGTAGCGGTACCAATCCCAATTGAAACCGAAGAAGGTTACCTCCCAGGTTGGAACGGAGTCAACATAATCAGGAAATAAGTTCTTTTTTGTTCGATGTCATAATGTTGATTAAACATTTAAGATTAATAAAAGCATTCCTATAAAATTCGCTATCTTTATTTAACTATAAGATTATAGTTAATCGATATTTTCAAAGTGAGATAGAAATCAGGTCGACAAGATGTATTTAAGAGAAAAGCGAAGGGTTCAATTTCTATCTCAAATTTCCTCCGGGTAATTGACACCTCGATTACCGGGTCCGATGAGGCAAACAAGATTCTAAATAGCAAACGACCTTCGCAACCCTCTTCCCCGATGCGTCATTATTCCCATCCCAGTTTCGCCACCCTCCTTGAAGGCGCCCGTCGTCTCTTATTGAAAATTCCGTTCGGTTATGACCTAAATTGAGATAGTCTCGTTGAAAATGACGTTGTCTTATTAATCTATGACATTAAGGTCACATTAAATATACGTTTCCATATTGAGTGGTTAACTATCAATTATCGTGGTTTGGTTTAGAACGTTTTGATATAAAATTGAAAATGAAAATTTTGGATTTAAGAACTCTTACCTTTCCACATACATAATACTCTGGAAGTCGATCATCTACATCGCAATTTCCGGGTCCATTTGGACTCGGAGTGGGACTTGGACTATTCGGTGGTAACCAATGTCCGGCTATGTATAATTGTGAAGGTCTTTTATGTCGCTTTTCTTGTCCCTTTCGACGTTCGTGACGAACCGCGACCGCGGGCATTGCACCAATCATTTTTTACAACTGAAATTAGTATCATTCAAAGCAAATTATTTACATACATACATAAAAATTGGTGGAAAATAAAAGAAAAGACAAATTTAAATATTTAAACGAATATATATTTATTTGAAATATAAAGTAGCATATCATAAGTAGTTTATATATACAAAAGTAAGAAAACATTGCTATTATAGCGAAAGCTACTTTTCTAGCAAATAACTCTTAAATCTTAAGAAATTCTAACACCACTATTTATTTGTTTATATATATATATATATAGAGATTTCTAAGTGACAATAATTTAATTAATTCAAATTTTATTAATTCACCATCAAAATATAACGTTTAATCATAAATATTTTTATTTTACGTGTACAGTGTGTCCGTAAAGTAGCGGATATAGGCGGTAAAATCTTAATACAGTATGTCTTACGGACATGAAACGGGTCTAAAGATTTAAATTTTTTGCAATTTTTTGATGTATATTTCAATTATTTTCCGCCATTTTTGAACGAATGGCGGAAAATAAAAATTGCAACAAATTTAAATCTTTAGACCCGTTTCAGGAATTATTCCATAAAATGTTTATAATGATTTTATCGCCTATATCCGTTACTTTACGGACACACTGTATAAACTTGACTTAATAACCGATAAATAACCGATAAATTTTGTGAATACATTTTTTTAAAATTTTTTGTGTTTGTATAAGATACATTTAATTACTTTTTAATTATATATTTCTAACATCAAAATAGAACATAAAAACGACTAGAATTGACAAAAACGTTCAACGAATCAACAATAATCAACTTAGTAAGCGATTTAAAAGAGATTTTTTTTTAAATAGCCCAATCTAAGTTTGAAAAATCAGCCTTAGAGCATCACACTGTTTTACGTTTTTTTACTTTAATTTCTTTTATCAATAATATTTTTTTTCAAAAGAAAACGATATTGTTTTTAAGTTTCGTTAAATAAAATTAAGCTAATTTGTTGAGTCATTTATTTTTGTGTCCAAATTTGTTTTGTGATAAAACAAAGTTGATTGTCTAACATAATAAGTACCGGGTTTAAATCACAGTGCTTCTTTTTTGTTTTTATTCAGATCAAATGATACTTTTCTTTTTGAATTTTAACTTCTCTTTCAATTCAGGGATAAACTAACTGAATTATAACGCCTTGGCCGTTATCAACCTCGGTTTAGCTACCACAGAGGAAATATAATGATATTTCATAAAGCCAAAGTCACCTGCAACCTCGACTTAGCTATGATAGACTTGTTGATGTTTCATAAAGACGAGAGCGCTTGCGGCTGAGGCTCAGTTATTAAGATTGTATCAATTTGAAACTGATCGTCATATTCTGGCACTTTGGCCTTATGGTTTTTTAACAGATTAAACCAAGACTGCGGCTTAACTACAACAGAGAAAATATAACGTTATATCTTAAAGAAACAACATCACATTTTCACTATTGGAGTTATGATGTTTGCGCTTGTAATATGCATTATCCAATTACAACATAACGTGAACTCTAGATTAAGCTACCCGAACTCTAAGAGAACTTATTTATGAAGTAATTCAAGTTCTAAGTTAGTTAATCAAACTTCGAAGAAACTAAACTACAAACTAGTCGCTTTAATCCATTGGAAGTAATTCCAAAACAGAATTAGGTTGATGTAAATCTTTGAGGTTAATGATTTATCCTTCAAAACCAAATTGTATCGTTTGATCTGAATGTTACAGTTAATTTTGCAGAAAACGTGCTGTAAAAATGTTAAAATGTATAAATAGACGCATCTTAATATCACGAGGAACAATCCGATTCGATAAACAAGAGAGTTGATAACGAGCAATTAGTAATTAGGCAGTGCAATTATTAGCTATTTAATAATCGAATAAGAGCCAATTTTTCTTAAAATTTTTCGTTTAAAACTCTTCCTTGAAAAAGAAACGAGATTCCACGTGAATATATTCTTATTATTATAATTACTTTAATATGCATATTTTTTTTCTTATCATCTTAAATATAAAGATATTTTAGTTTATTTTTGCGTTAGAGAAAAAAGTTTAAATTATTTAAATATCTTTTTGGATGGTTATTGGAATGCTTGTTTGGTCTTTAAAAGAAATGATATGATTATTTTTTTCAAATGTTAGGTTTATGTTGTTTCCCGTTGCTTAATAATTCTCGGGTTTCCGATGGCGTTCCTGGACTTGCTGTGGTTGTGGTCGAGATGGTCTCCTTGAAGTAAATTTCGAAATCTTGCGGGTTATTATCTTCTTCGACTATTTTTTCCAAATGCGCATCCCCGTTTTGTATCATCCCCCCATTTGGGGCTATTTTGCTTAAGGGACTATGAATGTCGGGTAAATCATCGCTTGGTCCTAATCCTCTTTCAATATCTTCTCTTTTGCGCTCCAATATTCTTCGGTGATTCTTTGTTGTTAAACAACCCGTTTCGAGATCTTGTTCCAATCGATGTCCGCTTTTCGATCTTGTTAATTGCGATTTAACATATTCGTTTAAGTTTTCTTCTTCGTGTTTGCTCACCACTCGATTTAAAATGATTAAAAATACCCCGAGAGCTGCCACGAAAATTCCGGTCGCGACAAGCTCGTTCCACCAACCCCCGCCTCTCCATGTCACCATATCGTCCGGTAATAACCCGGATCCGATTAAGAAAAGACCGAGTACTAAGAAGCAAACTCCGAGGTGAAGCATCCCTATCGATGTGGCTAAAGTACTTTCTTTCGGGACGATCGATTGTTTTCGAAACATTGGGTGATCCCTATCGATGCTGTTGGTGCTGGAAGTTCTCGAAGATAATCTTCGTTCGCGGCGTTTCTTCGCGGCTTGTTCGCGTTGACGCCTTTGACGTTTGATCGCCATCGCCGAGTGAAGTCCTGCAGATCCGTGCATCTGTAAGAGATGCCTTTAATCACTTTGTGCACTTTATCACCTTCACCAAACACTCAACAACAACATTTAGAAATAAAATCATCATTCTCAACACTCAAATAAGAAAAAAAAAAATAAGGAATCTCAAAGATTAAGAAATACAACAACAAAGCAAAATGAGACTTTCCATCAAAATTAATCCCCCCTCGCGATACAATGCTCCCCCAGAAAGCTTTTATGGTTGCTTTTAATGCGATCCGAGCTCGAGTTGGAAGTAAGTAATCACGTTCTGATTCGGTCGAAAAATGGGTCACCAAGTACCACTGGTGGTACTATTAATTTTTTTTTTTTAATTAATCCAAAATAAATTTAATTAATTAACTAAATTAATTTACCTTGATTTAATTCTCCTATATCTTCTTTTCCAGGATTTGCTTAAAAAAAAGGCTACAATTTTGATTCCATGGAGGAGGAGAGTTGTTCGTTTCTAAGGTAAGTGCATGTTCGTTCTTGATTTATATTTTCTTGTTTGTACTATTCGCGATAAAGCGCGAGTTTTGGTCCCAAAAAGCGAAATATCGATGTCGGTCTGTAAAAAAAAATTGAAAACTATTTTTTCACGTCTTTAAAATGCACTTTACGTGTAACGTTTGAAAGGAAATCTATTAATAAACGGTTGTTTGCAAGTGGGAACACACTCTTCGTGTACACCGCGGTTGTGTTTATATTGCTATATTCGAAATCATTTCATAATTTAATTATTAATTTTATTAACAAAAAAATTCTTCTCACCTTTTTGGATTATCTCGAATTATTTCTTTAAAACTATTTTAATGACAACAACAATTTTTTTTACATTCACTTTTTGATTTATTAAATTGAAATTAAGTTAATTGTGATTTTGGTATCGATACAAGTGTGTTTCGGTGTGTAAAAGTGGCGCGTGTCTTCGCTTCGAGTTCCGGTTTAAAACTGAGTCTATCGGGGCGGTACCCCGTTTCTGCGGTATTGATCTCCCGGTGTACTCTTTCCCCCCCGGGTCGAAAGGGGGGCAGAAAACGATCCATTGGACCGGCAAGCGACGACACGCAGGAATGGGGCAATGCACTCTGACTCGTATCCCCCGAAAAGCTCCTCCTGCTGATGTTGCTGCATCCAGGACCAGAAGCACTTGGCCTGCATTGGTTGCCCTGGATCGTACACTTTACACCGAGAGGGTGTCGATGACCTTAAGTTACCTTCAGATTTTATCAAAACATTAAAAATTCTGTTCAAGTGTTGAATTCTCTGGAATCTTTTTTATTGCAACTGTAATCATTTTAATAAAACTGTATCATCTAGCATTCTTTCAGTTTTATATTAAATTTATAAGAAATATTATATATACAGAGTGTTTCAAGCTTTCTTCTTAACAAACCCTCTGAGGACAGTTAGTAAAGTTTGTAAATAAATTTATGAACGTTTTTTGGAAACAATATTAAGCATTTATAAATCGAGAGGATTCACATCCACAAATAGCTTTCGGCAGGGTGAAAGATTCTCTTGGAATGAGATTTTAAAGATCTTCAAAATGAAGGCGAACAAAAATTAAACAAAAGTTGTGATAATAGGCAATGAACAAAAGGTGACAAAATACTTGAACTGTTTGTGGAACTGAGTGTCTTTATTGAGAAGAGATAATTAAGCGGAAGTTTCATGAAACTAAAAGAGAGGAAGACAACAGATTTGGAACAAGACAGTATTGGATATCACAATCACCAAAGTGAAAACTACGCAGATTTTGTTTTGACATTCCGTATCGAAAACGGTATAGGTTTGTTTACTAATATCACTGACTTTCTGCAAGAAATGTTGGCATATGTTAGGTTAGGTTTTTATCTTTTTTTTGACTTCTTCAATATCATCTTTTACTTATGTATGTATGTAGTTTCATGTGGAGATGAATTCCTTCACTGCACTTAGGCCCCAGCGGGCCCTTTGTACATCCTCACAATTTATAGTTCATGCAGGGGTCAAAAAACCAGCCCAAGACTTTAATGAATGTTAATATAGAACAGAAGGGTATGTTGGTATGTTGCAGCTCGTCTCTATGCAGAAAGGTTTCCAGATAAACATCATCCGGCACGTGAATCCATTTTACGTGTGGTGCAACGTGGTAAGCAAAATGGTAATATTCGATTGAGGCTTGGGCAACATGAAGGAGCAGTTAGACCTGAACAGATTGAGGAGGAGGTTTAGAATGTCGTCGAAGAGCAGTCTGGCATAAGCACTAGGATACTTGTAGAGCAACTCCATCCATATCACGTGCAACATGTACAAGCCCTACTACCAGTGGATCATCCCCATCGAGTACAATTTTTCTACATCACCATCAGTTGAACCCAAACTGTACCAATAACGTTTTTCAAGGTGATCCACAAGGCGATATCTAGATAATGTGTTTCCCGGAAGATCGATAGGTCAAGGTGGTCCAATGCTTTGCCCACCTCGATCGCCAGACCTCAAACCTCATGATTTTTATCTTTGGGGTCACTTAAAAAGCATAGTGTACGTCACCGAAGTTAATATTGAGCAAGATTTCGAAATCGGATACAATCGGATACAATATATTTTAAAATATTCTATGTTTTCTTGATTTGAAATTAAATTTCACCGATATCTAGGAAACTAAAAAACTTTTGCTACAATTTTTTTAACTTAATAGTCATTATTTGTCAAATACTCAAGTTTATGCGTATAGGTTGAGAATCATCCTATATTTATAGCAGTTATTTAGGCCTAAGCAGTCGTACAGTACGACCCTAGCGAAATGTAAAGGTGTAGCTGGAGATCGTACGAGAGATCTTTTACTTAGTTTCCATTTATGTTTTATCCAATATTTGCTCAATTAATATTTCATCCCCAAAACAAAAATTTGATATTAAAATTTTAAATAAAAATTGACCTTGACTCTTTACCCTCTCCCAATCCAATTCTTTGAATATTCAAAAACCATTCCCTATACAAGAGGGAATCGTTCGAAATGGTTCTAACAAGTCGGAATATAGAGTGGGGTGAAGGAGACACCACGGTTAAAAGGTCATAGGTCGAGTTTATCGAGCTTTCGCCCGAGCTTAACGCGAATACGGTTTAATTTCCCATTTGCGGCTTTGTATAACAATTACCGTTGCATTACAACAACTTCCGTTCTTCGCAAACATAACCTCAAATATAAAATCGATTATGCAATTATTATTATAATGTCTAATTATTGTGTCAGATTTTAATAACGATTTTTTTGATTTAAAATGGATGAACCTTGTGTAATCGAATCCGGATATTTTCCGGCCAACAAAGAAACTTATCGAGGCGATCTAAACTATTCTTATCAACGCACGGGAAATGGGGAACAAATTTGGCAATGTAAATCGTTTGAGCGATATCAAGGCGATTTTTTTCAAGATAGTTTACACGGTTATGGTAGTTACACTTGGTTGCAACAGGACAAAAAGGATTTTTTAGTCGAAGGTACATTTTATGGGAATTTCATTCACGGTTATGCAACTATAGCTTACGCAAATAAAACATATTTCGAGGGATTAATCAAAAAAAATAAACGATTCGGACCCGGAGTTTTAACTTATTTAGATGGGACGCAAGATGTGGGGTTATGGAATGGGAATCAACTCTCCAGGATTTGTTACACCATTTTCCCCGAGCATTTACCCAAATTAGCTTATTCCCCTTTGGGAAAAATGAAATTATTAAAATACAAAAAATTAATCCCTCTTTGCAACAAACAAAAAGATCCCGCAGAAGAAATTATGAAAAAATTGGGGGCCCCAAAACAAATTTTTGAGTTATCTCCTCAACTTTATAACCCTTATGTAAGAAATATAGATAGTTTATTATTCGATAAGAAACTCCACGACGCACAAATTTACGAAGAAAACGATTGTTTAATCGACGTCCCGGCGAGTACTTCAGATTTCCTCGATTTAACGTTAAAAAATAAAAAAATTAAAGATAATTTATCCCAAGTTTTCGATTACTTGGTCGAAAACAAAAACGTCTTGAACAAAATCCCCAAAAATAATCGATTAAATTACATCGAATCAAAAATAATCGATGAAAAATCCGATTTAATCGAAGACATCAATTTTAACTTAATCAAAGATCTCCTCGATGTCTTCTTCGAGGAATTAGATGACCTTTTAGGTTACGAATCCGGTGAGCGCAATTTAATGTTTATCAAACAGGACATTTTAAAACAACTCCCCAAAAATAAAAACGATGATGTCCCATTAAAAAAAGTTTTAGCAACCGACGTTTTAGCATGGAACGATTCCTCAGAATCGATCGACATGTTAAAATTCGCCTTCTTTAACATTAAGCTAGAAAAAAATGTCTCATTTAACGTTCGAAATTTATTAATCGGGAATCGCTCAACGTTCTCATCCCCCGGCGATTACGAATCGTGTTGTATTCGATTCCTCGAAGAATCATCGATCGGAAATGATCGATTAGCGTCGAATTTATTAATGGAAAAAAATGTTAACCCCGACGTTTGCGATTCGAAAGGAAACGTAGCCGTTATATTTGCCGCCGCTAAAGATAGATGGCGGGTTATAAAAATGTTGTGTAATTTCGGGGCCGATTTAGATAAATTAAACGATGATGGATTATCCGCTTTATCGATGTGCATCTTGAGATATATCGCGTTTAAGAAAGATATAACCGATTGGGAACGGGCGTTTTTAAATGATTCGGAAAATGATAATAATAAAAAGAATAAAGGTGAAAAAGAGAAAAATAAAAAAATTAAAATTAAAAACGATGATTCAAAAAATGATGATTTAGAAGATAAAATTTTACAATGGAGAGCGAAAAGTTCTTTGGTTGATTTAAAAGCGACGTCGATGACGTTAACTTTAGACGGGATGATTAACGAGGAAGATTTGGCGATTAAAAATAGTATAATGGAAAGGGAGAGTTTAATGGACGATCTAAGTTTGAGGTCGAATGAAAAAAAAATTATGGGGATTTATTACGATGATATTAAAGGATACAATGTTAATGTTGATTATCAAAATTTTCAAGGTAATAACTTTATTATTCAAAATTAAAGAAATTATATTTAGCGAAGTTTCAAACCAAAATTAAATTCCACCACATTTTAGTTGTTGCGGTTGTTTCCGCTATCGATTAATAGATGGCGCATTAAGTTTTAATTCAATAAATAAAGTCCCTTAATTCAAAAAATAGACCGACAGACATAATTTGGGTGTTATTTAGTTTTTATATCCAATATTATCTTTTTTAATTTAATAAATAATGTATTTATACATGTAAAGTATGATGAATGTATAAATATAAGGATTTTTAGACTAGCCAATTGTTACCGTAATCAGTAAGATTATTTATTGATTACTCTTATAAAAATTATTTACCTTATTTAACTTTAAAATTAATGGAAATACAATCAGTCATCTTCATTAAAAAGCCTTTAAAATGAGTCCAAAGATGACGTACTTATCTCAAAAAACAAGAAAGTTAGAACCTTGTTTATAGATATACACATATCTATAAACAAGGGTTAGAATAAAAAACATTAAACCCTAAGTTGGCAACAATGAAGATAGCAATTTAATTTTTAAATATTAATACCAACCTTAATTTTTAATTTTTTTTATTATGTTTTTTTTGTTTTTGTGACAAATATTAAGACATTTTATAAAAATTAAGAATATGTCAAAATGACATTGACATTTCAAACCGGAAGTTGCTTATATCTCAAGTAATATTGGAATTAAACGTATTACGTTTGGACTCATTTTAAAGGATTTTTCACGACGATTACAAATAAGTCAAAATTGACGTTGACATTCTTAACCGGAAGTTAACCATAACTTCATTAATATTGAAGATAAATATGTCGTGTTTGTACTCATTTTAAAGGATTTTTAATGAAGATTACAAATATGTCAAAATTGAGGTTGACATTTTAAACCTGAAGTTAGTTATCATGTAATAGATGTATTATAACTGAAGTTAATCTAGTGTTAATCACTTTTCCGTACTTTCTTTTTATTTTTAACGTGTTTTTTGGGTCATTTCTATATAAAATAAAAACCAGTTTGAAGGTACAAAATTAAACTCTATATTATTTTCTTCAAAAATGTTTACACGAATTATCATTTTGTCTCTGGTTTTAGTGATTAAATTTATGCCACGACTTACAGAAATACCCTGTATGCCCTCTGTGCTTGTGATAGCTGTCATCAGTGTTCTGTGATAAAAATGGACAGGCACCAAACAATTTTCAATAGTTTGAGTTTGTCTATTCTGAGAAGCCTTATATTTTTAGAAAGATGAAAACGAAAATACCGTTTTTCTCAACATTATTCACTTGTCGCTTAGTCAAGTGATGCATAACGCGGTCCAATTGTTATGATTTGTCTCTAATTGACCAAGTGAATCACCGAGTATTAATAAAAGTTTTTTTTAATACATTTAAGGTGAATACGAAGTGACACCGGATGAAAAACAAAAATATTTGTTTAAATCGGAAATTATTATACCGAAAGTAAAAAAAAGTAAAAAAGAAGGAATAGGTAAAAAATCTAAGAGTTCGAAAAGCTCGAAAAGTTCGAAAACTTCGAAATCTTCTAAATCAAGTAAATCTAGTAAAACTGGTAAATCAAGTAAGAAAAGTAAATCGAAAAAATCTTCATCAGAATTAGGAGAAAAGAAAATAAAAATCGACCCAAAAGAAATAATAAAACAAGAATGTTCAAACATAATTTTAACAACGATAAAAATACTTTTACAACTTGGTTGCGATCCAAATCATTGTAAAGTCCCACTTCCTTCGTTATTGACATCGATTTACTGTGGGTGCGATGAAATCGTCGATCTTTTACTTCAATTTAACGCAGATCCAAACATTGTATCCCCCATCGACGGATTAACACCTTTACTGGTATTATGTTGCCTACCATTTTCAACATCCAACGCCGATATGTTAGATAAGCTCTTAAAATCAAACGCAGATCCTTACCAAAAAGCATCCCCAAATCATTGGGGTGCAGAAAAAACGAAATTATTAGGAAAAAATCGACCAGAATCATCCGAAATAATCGACGAGGGAAAAAACGCTTTGCATATTTTATCGATGCATTACGATTTCGAATCGGATTTAGATAACAATCAATTAAGAATGATTACGAGTTTGACGAGTTATGCGGAGGATTTAAACAAGGAGAAGTATCTTGAGCACACTCCGTTTTCGATCGCGATTTTAAGAGGAAATTTGAAGCTTGTTAATTGGTATGTTGAGACGAAATCGGTGGAGCCTTACGCTATTTTTGGGGAAAACATGGGGACGGCTTTGACTATCTTAACTTTGAAGAGATATAACTCGATTGTACGGATTGATATGGCCGAAGATGTTTACGATTGCTTGATTGGACTTAATTTTAATACTTTGGTAGGTTAAATTGCGTTGTTTAAATTTGTTTTTTAAAGTTTGTTTTGAAGGTGGATATTGGGGATAGTGGCAATGTGATTGAGTTTATTGATGAGGAGTATAAGGTAGTTGCTGATAAGAAGGGGAAGAAGAATAAAAAGGGGAAAAATAAGTCGACAAAGGGAAAAAAGAAGAATTTAATCGATGATTTGGGTAAATATCTAGTTGAGAAAACGAGGAATGTTTTGCAAAGACATATTTTGGCGAAGGCTTTTCATTATTTGCGAACCTTTATCACATTATCAACGGATCCTTCAGCGGAAATAATTAAAACTTTGATTAAATTTTTCGATTTTAAGACGATCCAACAATTTCTGCAGATACTCATCGATCGGGGAATTATCCAATATAACAAACTAAACGTGGTGGTTGTTTACAAATTATTAAACTTAATGAACGACCTTTTAAAGAAGAAAGATAAGCACATCTTAATCGGGGATGTATTTAACGGGCTCGATTGGAAAATGAAGCCGATCGATCGCCTTCCAGAACTTATTGAGCCAGAGATCGATACAAAAGAAGAAATTTACAAAGTTTGTTTTTATTGCTGCAAAAAAATCGATAAGTTATTAATAGTCTGCCCAACTTGCGGCTTGGTTTACTTCTGCTCAAAAGAATGCAACAAAAAGAGCATCAAACACCCCTCAATCCATAACTGCAAATACTTATTTTACGAAAAAGAACTAAAAAGAATGAAGGAATGCTCAAAATTAGGCATCCCATACAAAGAATCAAATCAACTCGAAGACGCGTTGTCGGAAGCCACAAAATCCCTGTTCGAAGCATTAGAAAAAAAATTCGGAAAAGACAAAGCCTCAAAACTATTAGAAGCCGCAATGGCTGGGGGTGAATTAGACATCGATAAATTAATGGACTCTTGCGAATACATCGAAAACTTAATCGAAGATAAATTAGGAATCTTAAACGCAGACGTTGATCAACTCAAAGAAAGTCTTGGAGAAACCATGCCGACTACTCATCCAATTTTAAAGGATAAATCTGGAAACGCATCTGATTTGGACTCACAAGGAAAAAAGGGGAAGAAAAAAAAAGGGGATGATGATGATGATGAAGATGGAAAGAAAGGGGGGAAAAATAAAAAAAAGGGAAAAGGTGGTGATGATGACGATGATGATGAAGATGGGAAAAAAGGAAGGAAAAAGAAAAAAAAGGGAAAAAGTGGCGATGATGACGATAGAGGTAAAAAGAAAAAACATGTTAAAATGAGTTCCAAAAAATTAAAATCGGAAAAAGACTCAAAAACATCGAAAGATGAACAGTTTGATTCGAAATTAGCCACAACTAATTTAGACGATGATAAAAGTCAGATGAAAAAGCCGTGTTATTGTGAACCTTGCATTAAATACGTTGGTAAAAAGAATCTTGATGTTAAAACGATCCCAATTCAATGCCAATTCTTATTGGAACAACTCGCCACATTATTTCCCGATTTTGATTTTACCGGGGCTATGTGGCCCTTCGTCGTTTATTGCGACGGACAGTTATATTATAGGTTTAAAGATAAAAAATCGTTATTTTTAGAAACGATCAACACCAACTCAAACCTTTAAATCAAAACAATAAAATTACAGTTTTCTGTAATTTTATTATCGACTCAACTGAAATGGTTCATAAAGGTTTTAAGAGATGGCGCTGTAATGCAGGTTAATATTAATTGTTTTTTTAATTTTATATAGATTTTGTATAATTTTTTTAAATAAATTAAAAATAATTTAAAAAATTAAATAAATAATAAATACCCCTTTTTTTATTTTGGAATATGTATGTATGTATGTAGTTTCATGTCGGGTTGAATTTAACAAAGAATTAATTAAGAGACAATTAATAGATTTTTTATATTTATTTAAACATTAAATGTTTAACAAGAAATCTTATTAATAAATTTTTGACAAAAAATATTAACTAATATTTCCTACGTATATTGTGTTGCTGATTGCACAATTAAATTAATTATAACGTTTTTTATTGTCAACTAATAGTTTATAATTTCCTGAGAGAGTGTTTGGGAAGGATATCCGAAACAGGCTACTGTCTTTCAGGTTCTGACGCTTATGCGTTGTGCGTCCTCCCATCGTTTTCGTGACCTCCATCATTGGTTTATTGCCTTTCATTCTGCTGCTTAAGTGCCTTTTTGGGATTCTATCCTCACTCATTATTTCCACATACCCAGTAAGTATGTGTTCGTCGCCTAGCTTGTATAGCTCTGGTGGATGGTTATCAATAGCGGACATCTTGTTGTTGCTTTGTGCCTTGATAGCTTATTTAAACTCCTCTTGATCCTGTTGTGGCGTTATTCTTAAGCCGTGTGTCCACTACCAAGTTTTCTTGCGGAAGTTGCTTCCAGAAGTGACTTCCAGAAGTTTTTGTCGTGTAAACACGACAAAAACATACGTGTTTACACGACAAAAACTTCTGGAAGCAACTTCAGCAAGAAAACTTGGTAGTGGACACACGGCTTAAGATTTGACTCTCTTCGAAAAAATATAAATAAATTAATATTACCTTCTTCAATAACTGCAGGTATTTTAAGTCGCGTGTTCAATTATACCAAATTTAATCCAGTCGGAGCAACTTGTCCCTTTTGGAGATGTTTCAGTGTCTCCTAAAACAAGGCAAATCTGAAACTAAAATGAAACTTTATGTCCATCATTTCATTTATTAAGAATGCAACATAGCAGAACATTTGGGGTTTGGGGATGACAAGATAGAGACGGTTAGCAGTTTCGTATACTTAGGATTCCTGATGAATAACAAGTGTGGATCTTGTGGTGGAATAATAAAGAAAAAATAACCGTTTTCACACCGATTACGAGGAGTTGAGTTTCTCTTTTTTGAAGCACGATCGAATCGAAATAATGGAATAAAAAGAAAATTGGTGACTTTCAAGCGTAAAATTTAATTTTTTTAGTTCTTTTTGTCGATTTAAATCTTTTTGTATTAAAGAATTGACCTGCGAAAGATTACGTGACGAAAAGTTTAGGAGAAATTTTTGAATTTGGATTTGGATCACATACCTCGTGTTAGCAGCATGAGCTAGTATATCTGGAAACTAGTAATTCCCAGTACTTGTTGGGAGCATGAGCTATTGTATTTTAGATCTTCTATTCTATAAACTATAGTGGCAGAAAAAACTAGATATTGCTTGAAGTAGACTAGATATTGTTGGTAGAAGACCAATAACTCGATCTAAAAGGGGCTTAATCTTAAGTTGTGGGCTTGGTAATAATGAATTTACTTTTTCCCACACACACACATAGAAATAATTTAAAATTATCTTCAATTATATTTTCGAAAATAATTTCAAAGAATTCTCACCTTTAATAACATGAAGAAAAGTCCGAGAAAAGACGCAGTTAGGAGGACGATCATAAAAGAAGCAGGGAATAACTTAAATTGCTCTGTCATTACTCGGGCGCGCTTCTATTGAAGAAGAACCGTCAAAAGCTTAACAGTTTAAAGAAATTGGCCTTAAACGGTCTAACGGGTACTCTATGGTGCGGTAATGAAATTATCTTTTCGTTTCTGTTGAGGTAACACAACCAGGAGTTTCCAACGATTTCAAGGTCTCACATCCGTTCTTAACCTTTTTATTTATTCACATCACAATAATAGCCTATTCAAATAAAAGTGCACACAAACACGTGGTGATGCAACCCCATTTTTTAATTTTATTTTTTTATTTATTAAATTGAAAAGAAAAAAATTCAAAGATCTCGTCGAGAGGAACAGCAAGTGTTTTGTTTGGAACATTGCACAGGTGTGCTCAAATTAAAAGGAATTAAAAGCGTCCGCGTTGCTTGTCTCGGTCCGGCGAGTTGTCGGTTTGCGCGGAAAGCACTTGGTGATGCAGAATGGAATAACTGAGAAGAGGAAGAAATAAAATTAAATGAAACAAAAATGCCCCAACAGCAGCGTCTCTTCGCTTTGACAAATATTCAAGGAAGTGTTTCTAAGAAGGATGAAGCATAACACGTGTACGTGTGTGAAAAATTAAACAGTTACTAGTTTACTTAATAGATAACATCGACTGTCCCAAACGCAACCTTGCATCTTAATGAAGACGTTAGAAGAAGCCGGTCTACAATAATTCACTTTCTATTCTCTCTAAACAGACTGATAATTTAACAGACTCTCGCTTCGTGAAAGAATCTAAAACGTCTTTTTCGATTTAATCCGATTTTATTCTAAAGGAATAAAGCAAACCCTTTCGCTATATAAATAAAATAAAAAAAAAGGTTGGGATCTTCTACCTAAACGAACTTAAAGAAACCTAAAGGAACTTAAAGGATCTTAAAGGAAGAGAAGATGTTCCTTTTGTTTGGTGTGGTCCAAACCAGCTGGCGGCATCTGCACTTTTCGTTAATGATCATAACAATACTACTTTTTTTAACTATTATTGTCTTCTAAATCTAAACGTAACCAAAGAACTATCTTATTTTATGGTTAGAAAAGAACAAAGGGCAAAAAGGTTATAATTAAACAATTATCGCTTCGAAGAAACGTTTCTTACCCTAGAATTAAAAATAGGTTTGGATCAAATTTTCGTGGACATAGATCAATCAGATTTGACTGATAAAAACACCACTTGGCAAGAAAAAATGTATGGGGTTGAATATTTATTGGGGTAATTAAACAATTATGCTTTCGGGTTTAAAATGGGAGGGTTAAAATTTTTTTTAACTTAACCGTTTAGTTTAAAATGTTTTTAAATATCTTTAGAACTAGACAGTTATTGAGATACAGCGACGGACAAAAGTCTATATACAACATTGAATTATAAGGTTTTTGATATACGGGAAATAACGATAAAATGTTGCTTAGTAAAGTGATGTATAACGCAATCCAATTTTTAATCGTTTAATTCATTAATTAATTGATCACAGCAAAATGTCATTATTTTATTTTTGATATTATCATGAAATTGATTATTAACATTATCAGTTCATAAAGATCATTCGAGGCCGTTTGGGGCACTCAATACCATGCCAACCTTAAATTGATTAATAGATGATGTAGCCCCTCGGCCTATAATTGACTTCATATTGCAAGCGGCGTCGTCTTTATGAATATAATTAAATTTCATGTTAACTTTATGGATTAGTTTTAAATTATTATCTTGTAAGTTTCATTCCTTTCAAGCTTTTTTATTTCTGAATATATTCTTATCTTGTAAATTTTTTAACACGGTCTAACAAATATTAGAGACTCGCTTTTCGTTTATATCCCCGCACACGTTTCTTGGAACTAACACGTCATCACCATATACAACGTGATGACTTCATACTCAAGTGTACGTTGAAAGATTTACTTCAGCTACATAAAAAAGGTTTTAAAAATATCTTCTCGTAAATAATAATAAATTTATCTCAACAACTATAAAGTATTTTAAATAAAATCGAATATGACTCAATTACGAGTTGAAGATTTTTCGATAAGATTCTTCTTGCGCAAATACACTTCACGACCTCTCCGCGGGGTTACTACTCAACAATGATCCTAGATTAGCAACAAAGCCCTTTGGAAGAAGGCACACATGCCTCTGTATTAAGAATCGAAAGAAGGGAATTTCCCCGGCACCGAAACGAAACCATTCATCTTTGGTTATTGTGAATGATTTTCAAGGTATAAGGGACAAAGAAGACCGGGGTTTAAACCTTGGGCCAAAAGTCATTCCCGCAACACGTCTTCGTAGACCGCAAGCTTGATTCAATTTTAACGATACCTTCAAAACCACCTGGAGCATAACGTTTTGTGGTTGAGAGAAATAATAAAAATAAAAATTCTCATCATCATCATCATCATCTAAATCCTAATTGATGCCTAAGGTGGTGAAATGATAAATTATTACAAATTTGGATATAAATGAAATTTTTTTCTTTTAAAATAAAAACGGTTCTTGGTTATCACAAGTTTCCAAGTTAACAATTAATTAAAATAATCGTCCAGATTTTCTTGGTATACGCGCAGCTAAAGTAAAACTACTCTCAGAAGCTGCGCTCGGCCGCAATTGAGTTGCTCATTAGAGACGGCAGTAACGAGCGCACAACTTGATTTATCGCGTTATTACGTTCAAAAAATTCTTTTCTAACTCGAAACGAAAAAAAGATGTCTCTTCAGAATCTCAAATATTTCGAGTCATTCTCGTAACTTCCAATTTATTATGACTGGTACCTTCAAATTAGCCCCACCAAATCGATTCAAATAGCATTTAGAGGGTGCTATTAGACACATGTTCGACGTGGAGGGAAAATGCTCGTCCGTTTTAGTACTGGTGGCGTTGGTGACCCTCCTCGATTTTTTAGGCGAAGGGGGATTTACGATGATAGGGAATTATAAGTAGGAGTAAGTCTCGATTCAATTTTGGATGGAGGATTTGTAACGTAAGCATCAATTAGATTCATGTTACTCCTTGTGATTAAGCTCCTTTCGGATGATGGAGAAAAAAATGGCGAGAGGGTGCCCTTATTGTCATGGGGGAAATGGGAAAAGGAAGCCAACCGAGTAAATGGGGGTGGAACAAACTCGTTAAATGTAACGCTTTCATGATCAAAGCAAGATCACTTTGATCTTTCTTTTAGCACAGTACGGTGTGAATCTTATTTAGTTTTGCAAAATAAAAAAATTCTTTTTATATCTTCGTGTCAAGGTGGTTTTCTCGAGATGAAGAAGAATGAGTCGTGACCAGTTCTCAAAGGAACAACAATAATAATCTTTCTCTCCTTATTTCTCTTTATTTCTCTCTTTTTCTCTCGTTTGTGTGCTATGAGTTGATCGCCCATCAAAGATAAATATGTAAATGGGATTAGAGTGGCCCCCAATTGTGATTCTTCTTCGTTGCATTCAGAAACTGGGTATGTGGGTGAGGTCACATTGTATTCATATGAGAAGGAGGAGATTCCTTTAACGTATTGAGATTCATTGTTGTTATTTTTATTTGATAAGAAATAAAGGAAGAAATTAAAAATGGTTTATAAGAAGACGTCGTTATCGTGGTGATTTGACCCAAATCAAAACGAAACAATGAGCGTATTCACTTTCATTAATTAAAGTTATTTTCTTTGTCGTCGGATTTAATTTTAAAGCAAGAAAAACGAATCGGTGTGCGTAAAGATTTACTTCTTGAGCATCTGCGTCCATCGGTGCGGTTAAAACGATTAAGAGGATTTTCATGATCGAGTTCACGCTGCGATGCTCGAACACAACTCGAAGGTATCTTTCCTTTTTTTCCGTCTTCTTTCAATTCAGAAAGGTTTAATTCCTTCACGTTTCTCTTCCGTGCAAATTGAAAATAACTCCATTTCGAATTCACCTGCTACATAGTTTACATTCCGATTTGATTCCGATTTCAATTTTCTAACATTAAATAAAGCGTAGCTTAACGCATTTTTGTTATTTAAATAATTGGCAGATGTTCGGAAGTGATCCCTTTATCTAAAAGACCTGTTGGTTTTGTGAATCTTTTTCACAACTTCCCATAGGCCCACATGTGACACTTGAAACGATTCCCTTCCTAGAAGCGTGGGATCCTCTCTGCGTTCGCCCTTTTAAAAATATGAAAGAGAAATTTCAAGAGTGCACTTGACGGAATTTAATACGCATATTAAGTTGCGTTTTAAAAGCGATAACGGTTAAAAAATAAAAAATTAAATGAGAATGTTATTATCAATGTGAACGTAGTCGCTATCAATAATGACTAATTAAGATAAAATTCAATACTTTCATATATCAATTTTCTTATTCAACTGAATAGATTAGGAAACAGTCATAATAAACTCTCAACCTGTATTTAGTATCACTTCCCAATTCGTTAAATTTGTATGTTGTAAGATTTTGAAATTAAAATCAAAGCGTTATGTATTATACTGCTGATAGAAGACTGCATACTAGTGGAGGAGAACCAGATATAGACTAGAACTGATGTTGAAATCGTTCTTCACAAAATTCGCTTCATCAGTAAAAAGAATCAAAGTCAGTAGTTGAGGGATTTGCACTAATTTGCCCAAGAGTCATTGACAGAATGCTAAACGTGGAAGAAAGTCAGCAAGTAGAAGTGCTTGAATGCGTTGTAAATGGTATGGGTGGAATTCAAAGTATTTGCAACTTTTTGAGTAGAAACGCCTTCTTCTTCCAGTTTTATCGTTCTGGTCGTCATTAGCCTTCTTGCTCCACTTCCTTTCAATGCGCCTGTTTCATGAAAACGTTGATGAATACTTTGGAACATTTTTCTATAAGAAATCGTCACTCAGTCTCGATAAATTCGACAGATACTAAGTCATCAATCGAGAGATGTATTCAATTAAAATAACAAAATATTAATAATAAATAAACTATTTCTTTTCAATAGATTTAGTAATCAGAATGTTGTTAAAAGATACTTTTATTTCGGCTACATTAGTAACTTTAAAAATATTAAAAATGGGTCTTTGTAACAAAGCGGATTTCCAAAATTCATTAAAGAACAAAATATTCTTAGAATAGCCCAAACAATAACTCCTTGATTTTGCCGCATGTTTAATAAACACCCTGTATATAAATTAGTCAAACTATCAGGAAATTTGCTTGGAGTAAAAAGTTAGATATGTGTTTAAATAAAGAATCTGTAGAAAAAAATACTTTAAAAGAAATCTTGTCTAAAGGTGAGACCGACTACAAATTTAAACAGCGCACGCCCCTTAAAACGGACCCCTTAAACTATTATTAAAGTCACCATGTAGCTCATCAATTACACCGCAACGGTGTAAAACTTTTAAATAAAACCCTCACCGGTCTTTAAGAAATCATTGACCATCATCGGTTTCTTTTGAAAAAGAAGAAAAATATATATCTTTTTCTTTATAAAACATCTGCTTCTTTCCCTCCTATATACAAAACTGTCCCTTTTCCCAACCGTGACTTTAAATCGATACCTTCGGTGGGTTTGAGGTTAACTTTCGAGTACCCAAAAATTCTTCACGCTGTTTATCTAAGTCCTCCAAACAAATTGGAAAAGTAAACGAAAAGAAAAAAAAAAGTTGCGTTTAAGATGAAATCAACTCTTGGTCCGGTTACTTTAAAAGGGATATTAACGTCCTTTTAGCGGCTTGTATAACGGACGTTAATAGACGATGTGCCATTTAGCATTTCTTCTCGTCTGAATAAGAACCTCCTTTAACCAAGTGCACTCGGTTCATTGCGTGTTTACCCCATAAATCTAGTTAATACGAACTCTTATACAAAGATATTCCATTCATCGAGAGGATTCTAAAACGATTCGAGATGAAATATGTTTAATAAATGTTTTGAGTTGATTTTAAAGTTGAGCGTTAAAATAACATTTTAGTTTTGAAATAATACAAAGAACCACATTGACTCATTTTAAACAATGCTAATTAACTTAACACATTCAGCGAATGTGTGGTTCTTTTATTTATGTATGATGTTAAATTCGTTTGGTGTTAATAACCACAACAGTATCTATTCAATGTAAACAAACGTGATTGGAATGGTTTAAGGGGAATTGTTTTAAACAATTGGGTGATTAATCGTAGAATTTCTTTCGAGTTGCCACGTTGTCGGGCGTTTTCGATTATATTTCGCAGTGGGGAGTCACATTTGTACCAATTTAAGACACAAGGGAGGTCTAAGCCTTTAAAAACCTTTACCACATATCGAGATTTTTTAATTATACTAATGTTATTAGTCTTATTAAATTTATATACTTGATAAATAAAGTTTTGGTTTTCTAAAAATTCCTCTTAAAACTTTTAAAACTATAAAGTATCGAATTTCTAAAGACTTTTGTTTCATTTGTCTCATTTAAGTATTGAAAAATTTGCAAAAAAAGTTTCTAAAAGACCACTTCCTGTGTGTCTGTCGCCACCAAACACAATTTACGTCCGGCCCCTAATCTTTTAAGTCTTAAGCCTAGACTTGGCCGTCTCCTTCACGGCTGTTAAGTAATAAAAAAATAATCCTCCTAAAATGTCTGGACCGCGATGACAATAAGAAGAATACTCTTCAAAAGAGAAAATCTTCTTTATAAAATATTTAACCTTAAAACGGCCTTTAAAGTCTTATTTATTGACCAGAAGCCAAAGATAAAAATCTTTCGATGACCAACTAATGCACTCAACTAGGACGTTAAGAAAAGGTGTTCTCCGTGATTTATTTCGTGTCGAATCATTATGTTCGATCGATCAAAGATAAGCTTTTAGATCTTTTCCATCCTGCTACCTCGTTTCTTTCAATTCCTTTTTTAACCTCGGGGTTTAAGTTTGCCTGATGTTCCAGATCCAAAATACAAACAGGATATTTCGATTTTTTTACCCCGCAAGGCGTAAACCGTGATGATAGAACCCCAAACAAACCCCATTGTAACTATTCTTACTTTAAAATAAAAAAGAATCTTTTCAAATCAAAAATCCTACCTTTTCTGGGACGATCCATAAGGATAAGCCTTCTTTCGTGGGGAGTAAATTCACCTCGAAGATTAAGCATCATTTGAAATAGAAACAAAAAATTAGTTGTTACCGCAAAAATTAAAAAAGAAACCGGTTGATACAACGCTTTGAATCGCACAAGAATAAAAATATTGAAAAGATCCTGTTTATATGGGTTAAAAGGGGGAAACTTTTTGAAACTTATGATAAGTATATGCGTGTGAAGGGCAAATAATAAACTAGAACTCTTCTAAATCATAAAAGGGACATCCCAATATATACCTGGTCATGGGAAACTCAACTTTAACAGGTAACTCATAACAGGTGATGTACAAATTTTTTTTGTTGTTGCCAACTCTCCCACACTTCGTTTTACTTCGTATATTTCGTTCATTCCAACACAAAAATGATTTTTGTAAATATCAAAACGAATAGGAATTGAAAAACTAAATAGTTTCGATTCTGATTAAGATCGAATTATAAATCAAATTGACTCACCCCTTTGTATTATTTAAAAGGCCGTTTAAAAACTTAGAATTGAATAGAACCAGTTTAAAAAGTTAATGGAGCGCTTTCGGTTTTTCGAATGACAAAGAAGAACTCTCCGTTTTAAAAGTCGAGAGGTTTCGCGATTCGTATCAGACGCCGCGACGAAAAGAGGACCTTTTTGTGATGCCCCCATTGTATTCCATCTTTTTATGTGTATTATGGATGAGCCGTTTAAAAACAGCCCGAGATAAGGAGTTCTAAGAAACCAATACGAGTTGAATACTAACAGATTATACTCTATTTTTTAATTCGGAGGAGTTTTTTTCAAATTGAAGCACCAAAAAGAATTAAAATTCATTAGGAAAATTCGAGATGTTGCCGGCCGCCTAGAAACATTCGGGTTTAGCAGCACCAGAATGATTTCACTTCTCGGTTTTGTGTTAGTTCTAGTTTTAGTTCAATAAAAGTATATAACATGGTTATATCTTATGCTAACTAGCGCTACCTACCACTACCACTATTTATAACAATTTTATTAATTATGATTTGTTATTATAATATAACTTACTTATTTTGAATACTTAAATTCCATTAATTCCAACGTAATTTAAACGACTAACAATACACAACGACGACATAACCTTAAATGTCAAAAAATAATAAAATTTATTTATTTAAAGTTGGCAGATTTGAAAGTCGGCCATGTTGGGTGACGTAGTAATAGCGCGAAAATTGAATCAATCAAATTTATGTAATGTTCAAAAAGCGAATTTAATTTTTTTTAACTTAAAATGCACGAACGTGATGTTGCAACAACTATTGAGATTATCGTCTATTTAAACGAGTCACGTACAAAAAGAAATTTGGACATTGGCTATTTTTTTCTTTCGGCCAGGTGAGAAATGGTTAAAGACAAAAAAAAACATTCAGGTAAAGTTAAACCCATCTTCAATCACGTACGAAAACAAAACCAACAAAATCCTCCAAAGGCGTCGTTAAACCACTTCTAATTAGCTATAAAGAATTTAACAAGACTCTTAAATTTTACAACCCAAAGGTTTGAAAATCGATGTAAAGTTTTACGTGATGAAAAAGAAGTTACGGTTGTTAAGTTTTTTGCGATTCTTTTTAGTATTTGTTGTAAAATTGTACAATTTGTCTTGTTTAATCGTTGAAACAGTTACGTTACAAGTTGTTTTCTACCAAACAGAACGTGACACAGTTATGGTGTTGTTACAAACTAGGAAGAGACGGTCTTAATTGGTTCGAGATCTCTCATGAATAGTGAAATTGGAACGGGTGATTACAAAGATTAGAGCTTGTGTAGCGCACATTAAGGAGGAGATTTGCATGTCCAGAAAGTGTAAAAGAATCAAAAAGAAGTCATGAAACTTAAGAGTAACCAATTAGAAAGGATAATAATACATTTATTTCCCACCTTTTTTTGTGATTATTTAATTTTGCACCCCAACCAAGCTAATCCAGTTTTCCTTTTTGTAAAAGCACCCCTCGTTTCTACGGGGGATTAAAAATTGAATCAAATATTTAAATAAATAAATATTTAATGAATCAATTTTAGTTTGAATTTTAATTTTTTTCCCCTTTAAATCGCTAAACTGTGACGTATCCGTTCTTTTCTACTCTCTTTTGTACTGTTGAGAGTTGACAGGAAGTACAGTTGACCGGAAATGACCGCTCTACTTGTTTTAACTCGTCACAGACCGTGCGATATTATTACCGGGCACGATATGGAGTAAAAAAAGTATTAATAGTGTTCGTGATTTACTCTTTTCGGCGATGGTGAGGATGTTGGGTTATTATTATTCAGGAAAAGGGACGACTATAAAGGGATATCCTGTTCTGTTCGGAAACGTTTCAATTGCTATTTACTCGTTTGATGAAATATTAATTTTCTCAATCCATATCTTGATAAAGTTGGATTCTCCCCTTGGTATCTAGTGATTTAAGGATCGATAATTCGTATCATTCCGTACAACGTCTCATATTTCCATGTTAAACTAAAATATTTTTTTATAAAGAGGAAGTTTGATCATGAGATGTTTATATTTATTCTTTTATTAGTCATATGCCCGTGATATTTGATTTTATCTAAATAAACTTTAACTATATTTACTTTTCTTCATCTTTTAAGAAGATTACATAAATAAACGCACCTCAATAAATAAAGTTACAGCAAAACTTATCTAACTGCAAAAATTTTAATCTAAAAAGTATTCTTTATGTAAGCACGTGTGTTTAAATTGTCTTTTAAACGTCAATTGCAGCGTAGTTAAACAATCCAGTTTCAATTAACGCACCCCTGCTTCAATTTCGCTTAGTTGGGGGAAGTTAATTTCCCAACCCCTTCACCAAAACGTATTCAAAGAGGGCTCCGTAATCTAAATTAACTAGAGATTTTTTTTTAATACTTACATATTTTAAATAAAATTTCAAATGATTCACGATACAAAACAATGACACAACCTCAAATGTCAAAAAAAAAAACAATAATTTTTTTTAGGTTGGTGGATTTGAAATCGGCCATTGTTGATGACGTAGTTGTAGCTGGAAAATTGTCAAATTCAACAAATTACATTAAAGTTAATGTTATAAACACTACAAAAATTATTAGAATTTGTTTAAAATCATCAAAATTAAATTAGTACTTTTAGAATGTTATTAAAAATTTATAGAAACGAAAATAATTTTAAAATTGACATGTAAACCTAATTTAACCTAAAAAAAAGTCATCACCTGTACCTTTTGAATCTTAAACCCGAACGGCAGATGGTTTAGAAATCAGAGAAAGGTCGAAATCTCATTAAGGGATGATGGTGTTGGCCGCCACATTAACCAACTGGTTCTTTTTGAGTTAAATTTTTTTTTTATTAAAACTGTCAATAAAATGTGTGTGAAGTTAGGTTCGCACCAAAATAATTGACAATCATAAAAATCCTAACCAAATTTTTTTAATTTTATAAATTAATTATTAACTAATTTCCCGTTTGAAGGTAAAAATCATCTTGTATTTAGGTTGGTTGTGTTCAATTGTGTATTCACATGCAATGAAATCTTTCTACCGTAAACGAATACAACGTCGACGTTCCTAATTATTACCTACGTTTTGTTTAGAAGATCAGAATTAGGACTTCCTGTTGCTAAAAAGATAAGCCGCTTCCTGTAAATGGTAAAGCACGGTATTTTAAGTACTTATATTTCAAAAACTTGTAAGTCAACAAACAAAAGGGGTTCATTTTTAGATTTTGGTAAAAACGACCACCCGCTAAGAATTTTTATGAGACTAATGAGTGAGGACCACTTGAAAAGGCTTTTAAAAATAAAAAGAATGAATTTATTGAGTGGTTTTTAAGTCCAAAACTAGAAATAGAAAAAAATCTTTTTGAAACTAAGCAAATGTGAGGTTTGGTTCATTTTTGCAAGCCCCTCGCTTTTTTCCTTCTTCTTATAAATATTTTATGTGAGGGTTGATTGCGTTTCTGTTGACTTTAGGTGGTTGCTTCAATGGACTGAAAGAACTTCCTTATTTCTCTTGAGACTCAATCCCCATCTTGTTCTTTCCCCATTTTTGTTTTTCTTTTGGGAACCAAACTCATTAATTTAAAATATTTATTTTTTTCCTCGTTTCTTTTTTAAGTTATCGATACCTTTCTACAACCACATGTTTCTTCTTCCGCATCCTCTTAAAAAAATTCTTAGCAAAAAAAGATCTCCAGATTTTTCCTCTTTTTATTTTTTTTTCCTTCTTAGTTTTTTTTATACACCTTCTGTTGTGGATAAAAAAGAAGGCGGATATATCGTAATATTTCCATATTGGAGGCGTACAATTTGTACATCCGGTCCCGGTAGAGATTTTTTTAAGCGCGGCGAACAAAAAAACTACCCTCTTTTCGGATGAGCGTTATAAAAGAATCTTATAAAGGGTCTACATATACATAGCCATAGGCACATGTGGGAGTAAGATCCAGGTTCTTTTTAAAAATCTACCACAAGAAAAAGAAGAACAGGTGGACACAAAAACTGGGTGAAACGAGAATACCTCCTATAAATAATTCTTATCATGTTCAAAACAGAAATTTAACTCAAACATTGATTAAAATTAAACGTGATTCTGCATTAAGTTTTATTTATATAATTTAGATTGATTATATTCTCCCCTTTCTATTTAAAGTGCATTACTAATAAGAAGGTTTTGTATTTGAACACGTGTGCATTCACTAAGACCGTTTTAGACAATGAAATAGAGCAGACTTTGAAAGAGGATGATGAAGACAGGAAGTTTTGGATTTATTCATTGACATAAAACAATCTTTTTTAATCGTGTCAAGACATAGCTTCATAAAAATTCTTTAGGCGCCTCAAAAAGAAGTAGTTCTAGGTTAAATGCTTTATACCCATACTAACTAAATCGCCTCGCCGAAGTTATTTGGAGTAACTCAAACACGTTTCATGAATTTTAATCGATTCGTTTTAATTTTTGTTTGTTAGTTTTTATTTTGAGGTAATAAATTCTCAACTCTCGTTGTAAATGGGTGTGAAATCGAACGAGCTTTTTTACGAGCCTTAACAAGAAAAGAAAAAAATTAGAGAAACTTGTTTAACCATTTTTATAGTTTCAAAATAAGTCATTTGTGTTTTAACCCACACGTATTTACAATTTTGTTCTTTTAAAATGAGTTTAACGGACATCGTATCGCTTAAAGGGGGAGATAAAATATTTCGTTTAAAAGCTTTACCGTGGAGCTTTTAAGTGAAGTTTCCGCTATGAGGGAAACAAAGAATGATAAACAAAAAAATATAAATTTAAAAATATTAATATCTAGGTTATGTTACTCAAGTTTTTGTAATTTCATTTTAATAGATGGCGCTTTTGAAGTCTGCCGAGATTAATTCTTTCAAGTATCACAAACACCAAGACTACATTGCTTGCAAAAGACTAAACACTGCTGATAGAGGACTTTGGCCAGTATAATTTCAGATTTTCTTTGCAGTTTAATGTTTTGTCCGATTTCCAGAGCTTTGAGTAACACCGTGAGACCAAGCTTAGCTTACTTGAAACGAATGATTCTGTGAAAATCACAAACCAAAATCAATCAAGAAGTATTTCATTACCTTGGAGGATATTTATAATAAAACTGTAAATGTCCTCATTTTGAACTATGTCATTCATTTAAAGCGATAAGCACAACGTGTTGAACCCGCAGTGTAATTTGTTGGAGTGTGCATGTTAATATAGTTTTTTTGCACATACTTTAAAACCAAAGTCGATTCCATCCTAGAAAAAAATTAATATGTTAATACATCTTGATTGAGAACATCATAGAGTTAATTTTACCTTTAAATCCTTCTTCGCGGTAAAGTATACACTTCTCAGTCAGCAATACATCTTGTTCAGCGTTGAGATTTTTAACTGCAAAAGATAAATGAATAAAAAATTGACGGTAAAGAAGAAGATGTTACGATGAAAGAAAAAGAATAAATAAAAAAAGATGTGAGATGAGAGTGGGTGTTGTTGCTACCATGAGGAATTACGCGGCATACTCTTCTTCAAAGAGACGTGCGCTTATGGTGGGAGGTGAAAACCTTCCGCAGTTCATAGAGTTCGAACGGAACGCTCGTCAGTCGGTCTTCTGCTTAGTTCGGTTGAGGAACGACGTCGACCGTCCTCCAGCAGTCCTCAACAGAGCGTGACTATAACGTCCGGTATCGCGGGGTTTTGTATGGTACAAGTTACCACGACAACAACGAACGTGATCAATACAATAAACTCTATTTTGTGCGTCTAAAATAAAACAATTTTGTGCCCCAAAAATTGTAATGTGTAAAAATCATTAATTCAAAAAGAAAATTGAATCAATTTAGAAAATAAGAAGCAAAAATAACCAGAGAAATGGAGGGATTCAAATTCTTCCTCCTAATTTTGATCACTTCTTCAGTTGGAATTAATTCCTTGGAATTAAAATCGGGGGCTTACGAAGATTTAGTCATCACGATTTCCGATGAAGTGCCAGCGAATAGATGCAAAGATATTCTCTTAAACCTTGAGGTAAGAATTGGATTTTTTATTTGTAATTTCTCATCAATTTCAATGCGAAATGAATCACGATTTATTCGTAATTTTTGTTTAAAAATAGCTTTGAAATAACTTTGTAAATAACTTTGTCCATAAATTTCGTAACCATTGAAAATTGAGGACGCAAACATCGAATTACAAAAGAAAATAAATCGATTCGAAAAAAATTACGTAATTAAGTTGCAAAATAAAAAGGAAATTCGATGAACCCCACGATTTATAATGAATCATCGTTTTTGCACCCCTATTTGTAACTTATAGCAGTTATTTATTGATTAATGAAGCCTTAAAAAACTTAGAAACGAGATGAGTAATAAAAAATTTAATCTTCGGCATCTTTTCAAGGTTACTAATAAACAATTACGTTTTGCACAACAACGTATTAAGCGGTTAACGTGACGTAAGATGTTTTGTAAACTCAAGGATTTAAAATTAAAAAATAATATCAAAATTAAATCATCGCAACGTGAGAACTCAAACTCAACTCGGAAGAATCTCCCGAAGAATAAAGCAGTTTAAAACGACTTCGTGAGTATTTCGACGTCGAATCGAAATTACCGCTTTTCGTAATCCGACAATCATCATCATAACGTAATTCTAAAAATTACACTTAAAAAGAATCAATTAAAATCAAATAAAAAAAAAATTGAGGTTAGATTGAGTCGTAAAGCCGCGACTCATTTAATTAATTCAAAAAAATGCGGATGTTAATTTAAATTCGTCGCAACATTTTTTAAAACATACCAAAGCGTGGGCGAGTCCCAACAATGACTTGTTTTGCAATGTTTAAATCACTTAAATTATTGCGTAATTAAATTTTTGGTTAACTTTTTTAATGTGTCAATGTCAATTTGACATTAAAAAAAAAGTTAGGTTAAAAATTATTTTAGTTATTAGAAAGCTAAGAAAATATCTAATTACAAAAATTTTCTTTCGTTTTGCTCATATTGTTGAGCGTTAACTGTACTTACCCGCGCAAAACAAGAAATTGAGGTCGCCGAAGAAGTCTTCTTTAGAAAGCTTCAGCGCGGAGATTCATCTCGAGATCGCTTCTTTTGCGGTACATCACCGCCGCACCGTGTGAAAGTCGTATTTTTTAGCGCATAGAGATCACATTCTTGAGACGATTCGCTTTGATCGGGTGTTAAATTCGCTTCTTTTCAACTAAAAAACGTTAAAGATTTTGTTGTTGTCGTGGAAACCGGTTTAAGTTAAATTAAAAACTGCCAACTTAATTTTTTTTAATTCTTAATGGTTGGTATTAATTCAGTCAAAAATCAATCTGTCAAATAAAACAAATAACCTAAAAATATTTTAATTTTCTTTTTCTTTATTTTAAGGTAAGAAAAACAAAGAGAACTTTCTAAATAAGCGAAAAAAGCTTTCACTTCTCTATTTTCTTTTCCATTACAATTTCTAAATCAATTTTTTTAATTTGTTTATATTTTCATTATGAATGTTTACAGTTACATAAGATTTAATTGAGAATAATGATTTAAAGGTCGTGGGATCTTTAAACAAGAACCTTTTTTGTGTAAATAAACCTTGTTTTATTTAAAACCTCATCGCAATTCAAACAAAAAATAGGGAAATGAAATTAATCACTTCTATTTGGCCCCAATAAACGATAATCATGCAATTTCCATTCACCAAAGATAATTAAATGAAGCGATTAAAAAAGAAAATAAGATTTATTTTTGTTTAGTTTTAGAAAATCGTGATTCACGAGACTAGTTTATAAAAAAAAAGATTGTTTGGATGACTCCGAACCGGGAAAAGAGAAAGGTAAAGATCTCTTAGAAGCACGTTTTCAGATGCATCTTCATGAAAAGGTCAAAAAGGAAAGGTTACGAAGCTCAACTTGGTTTGTGAACCTTTTAAAACATAAAGAAACTTTAAAACAAAATTCCCGCCCGGAATTTCGTTATCTCAAGATAACGTCCAACTCAAAAGACTTTTAGACCACATTAAAAACGAAAAAAATAAAAAAGAAATAAAAATACTTGTAAAGAGAAGAAGGGTCTCGTTGTTTTAATCGTTATCTTAATGGGTTTTCTTCTTTCCAAGAATCACTTCCTGCCAGAGTCTATAACACGCTTTGTGTTTATTAATTAATTGCGTAAACGTTTTATTCACGCTCTTTGGCCGTTCTTATATTACAACATGTTGTGGTTTTTGTCTCGTGCTGGAGGAGAAAAACGCTTTAAAAAACGACTTTAAATAGCATAGTAGGTAAAGTGAAGCCAAAAAACTACGGATGAATCTCGTAACTTGATAGGTAAGAAAAAAGGCTTATGGTTCAACGACAGCTGGTTAACGAATATTTTTCGAAGACCTTATGGTGTTTTAAAATAAAAAATTTTAAAACAGGTGCTTCACTTTAAATTATCTTAACTGCATCTTGTTTTCATAATATATTTAATTATTATTTTGACACTCTCTTATTATTAGAATTCTCGGCAATCTTCTTCTATTTGTGCCATTTCCGCTATCGTAGGTTAGTGATCACGTCCGCAGCTCTGATAAAGTCTTCAAAGTTTAAACCTGTCCAATTCCTGGTATTCTGCATCCATGACAGTTTCCTTCTACCAAGTCTTCCGGGTTTAGCCGAGCGTCCGAATGTTTCTAGTTCTCGGTCTAGTGTTAGTTCTAGTTTTACATTACCACTATCACTAGAATTAACACAATACCTAGAATTAGAATCATTCAGGTTTAGAGACGTACGGCTAAACCCGAATGTTTCTAATTCTCGATCTAGTGTTAGTTCTAGTTTTACACTATCACTATCACTGCAGTCATTATCAATGCATTTTCTTATAAACGTGCGTTATTCTTTTTATTTCCTTATGCATGTTGTGCATGTCATTCTTGCGTTGAAATTAATGGATTTCCTCACATTTGTCCCTCATCGAGCAATATTTTATTGAAAAGTAATAATACCACGGACTAACTACTTTATACAAGTTGAAATTATTTTAAAAACTTGATACAAATTTTTTGTAATTGCTCGTCTGCCTTATAAATATTTTGGATTTTTTCCATAGTTTCCTTGCTAGCTTCCCGATGGTTCTCCTCAAATCGAATGTAGGCAAAAATGAATACTGCTGTTCTAGTTAGTTCTAGTTAGTTCTATTCGGCTTGGGTTGCTTTCTAGTTAGGTTGTGTTGCTTCCGAGCTGGTTTCCTTTCGGGTTGGGTTGGCGCCACAAGTGTTTTCGTAATACCTGCAGATTTGCAAATTAGATACTGATTATTAAGATTATATATTAAGCCTCTTTACCATAATAATATATTTTTTCTATTTTTTTCAGACGGTCCTTTCAAGCGCATCAAACTACTTATTCTCAGCTCTCCATGGTCGCGCATTTATCCGATCATCAACGGTGATTCTTCCCACATCGTGGCCAAATTCTTGTTCTCCAAACAAAGTTGTTGCAGCTTCCGGCGAAGAATCCGACATAACAATATTACCCGGCGACGCATCAAAAGGAAAAATGTGGACCCAACAATCCGGAGGTTGCGGAAAAAGCGGTGATCAAATATATTTCGGTTATAAATCGTTGGAAAATAAAGATTCATCGTTGGGGCATTTATTAGTGAAAGAATTCGCGATGTATCGATACGGCGTTTTTGAAGAGAAAGGTTATAGAAATAACCCGATTCATCCGCTTTGTTATTACGATAAAAATAGTGAAGTTAAAGTAACAGGGTGTTCGGATTTCCCGATTAACGACGACGGGATTTGCTCTGGAAACGAAAATTATAACATCTCAAATATGGTCGATTCAAAAGCGAGAACTTCGATTATGTTCGCGCCAGAAGTTCCTTCGGTTTCTATGTTTTGCGACGACGGCAACCACGATTCTTACGCCCCAACGAAACATAATTTACTTTGTAATCGCCGAAACACTTTTGATGTGATCCTCCAACACTCCGATTTTCATAGTTACTCAGTTGATAATTCAAAAACCATCGCGAACACTTCATCGAAAATAACTTACAAAAAGCATTACTCAACTCGATACGTTTTTGTGATTGAAAATACGAAAAATATGGCGGTGAGGGAATCTTGGAACTTTTTGCGCTCGGCAATTAGAAAGTGGGTTAATTTCGATTTGCCTGATAACTCCGAAGTTGGGCTTGTTTTAACGAACGATTCTGATGCGGTTATCGCAACGCCGATTAAACGGTTTAAAAGCGAGGATAAATATATGATTGATTCGGCGCTTCCTTATTATACGTCGGAAACGAGTCAATCTCCGTGTTTGCATTGCGCTATAACGAAAGGGTTGGATATGTTTAATGAGATGCCATCCCCTGCGACTAAGGTTATGATTATTATTTCGGCGGGGGTTAATAATAACTCGCAATTAAACGATGTTGTTAAGAAAGTTAAAGAAAACAAGATTAAAATAGCCTCGATAACTTATCCGAATCAAATTAGACAGAGGAGTTTGGATTTTTTGGCCGAATTAACAAACGGGGTTGCTTACACAGTTAACGAGCAAAAACAAAACGTTGTGCATAGCATGATTTCGACGTATTTCGAGTTATCCAATGTCCTTTACAACATCATTGAGAGATATTACGCAGGGAATAAAAACGAAATTGCATTCGAAATTCATCGGAGGGAGATTAAAAGCGATCGATCTTCGATTACGGGGAGTTTTTACGTCGATGAGAACGTCTCGGCCCCCATTAAATTTATGTTGTACACTCACAACCCAAGTCCGTTAATAAGAAGCATGGAATTAGTGAGTCCTAGCCAACAAATTTTCCGGCAACGCGCCGATTTGCTGGATGTCAAAATAATTTCGATTCGCCCGAACATGACCGAAACGGGAACTTGGACTTACAGCATTGAACCGGTTACGGGAAACCCACAACCTCACTTCTTACAGGTGACAACAACCCCGAGGAATCGCTCCTCCGAAATCATTCGATCGAAATTTTGGGTCTCCAAATCAAATTTGACCCCCCCCATTTTATACGTAGAAGTGAAAATGGGGAATAACCCCATCATTTCGGCTAAAGTCGAGGTTAAAATCACTAAATACGAAGAGAATGGGTCGATTTTGCACCAAGAAGTCCTCCAATTATTCGACACGGGCTCCGGGGATCCTGATATTAACAAAAATGATGGGATTTATTCACGGTATCATAACCCCTACGTTAGCGGAGCTGGGAATTATGAGTACCAAGTCGTCGTTAACGACAACGGAAACACCGCTTATATTTATCAAGCCATCCCTTACGGATTTGAAAGCGTCAACCCAAAACGCGCGATCACCATGGCTCCTTTCGAGCGATTCTTAACCCCCATCACGTTAGAAATAACCCAAGCCGAAATCAATTTCGGAAATGAAAACCAATTGGGAAAAATCCTAGATTTAAAGGTTGATGTTAAAGAGGAAAAAGCGATTTTATCTTGGACATCCCCCGATATGGGCGGGCATGAAGTCTCATTCTACGACATTAAATTCGCCGAAAACATCCAAGATATCACCGATAACTTCGAAATGAAAACGAGAAATTGGGAGGGAACCCCACACGCTTTAAGCACAGGTTCCGACACCTCCTTTTCGCTAGATTTCTCACAACGCAAAGACCTCCTCGATAAACCCCTATATTTTGCGATCAAATCAACGTCAAAAGTCTCATCGATCACAACGATTTCAAACTACATCCGAATTTACATCAAATCTCCACCTCCCCCATCGACAATTTCACCGACTTTCCCAACTAACGATCACTCCTTAACCCCGATCGATGATTACAACATGAGTGTGCACCCAAATTTGATGAAAGAAACCGGGTTTGGCAACGAAATTATTTTCGCTGTAATCGGGGTCGTCATCTTATTAATAATAATATTAACGATTTATTATTGTTTCTGTATAAAACGAAAGAATCGAATCATTAAATCTAAATCGGATTCGTTAAAAGCCGATAAATTAACAACGACAATTACAATCGTGCCGAATACCCCCCAACAAAATCAAAATTGTTACTCAAACCACCAAATTAGCGATAACGATCACACAATTGGAGTGCCGGTTAATTATCCGTTTGAAGATGAACCTAAAAAGCGGTATTCGTTGGTTCAACAACAAGAACAACAATTAATCGAGGAATTAAAACAACAACATTTACAAAATCCGCAAAATTATTCCGGGTTAAGTGTTATTTCAAATGGATCGTTACAACGAAATCATGATTCTCAAAATGTTAATTCGCAGAATCAAAATTATATTCAACCGACTTTATCCCCATTTAATTCTTGGAGTGCTTCTCAACTTCTTCACGAACACGAACGCAGACATAGCCCGGCTGATGAACAAATGTTGACTCAACACCAAGAAATAATGAATCAATTAGATCATATGTCTTTGAACGGGCAAAACGTTGATCATGTCAGTTTAAGCAGTCATCATCAAATGGGGAATTTGGATCATTATAATAACGGTGTAAGTGGGCATGTTCCACCTCCGGTTCCACCGCTTCCCGTTTTTAACGGTGGTTATCCCCCGGTTAAATACATTTACGGTGTTCACCCGGCGTCGAATCAAATTTACCAATCAATGCCGCGAAATACCGATAATTACTCGACCAGTTTGCAAGGATCAATGAATTCGGTGAATAGTGGTGAGAAGAAACGAAGAAATGTTACGATGGTTTAACGGTACGTTATCGTGGATACAGTGACCAGTGTTACGCACACATGCGAGACTATTACTTAATAATAAGGGTGTATTTATAAGGATTAAAAGAAAAATTTGACTGTATATTTTTTGTACAATATTTGTATGTAACTTAATTTAAGAAAAGAATGAATCGTTTTTAAATAAACCTAGTCATTATTATTAATGTTTCTAACTTTTTCTTACAATTAGTAATTAATAGAGAGTTTTGAATTTGTGGTTATTAAGGTGTGCTTAATAAAAATAATAAATAAATGAGCCAGTATAAATAGTATCAAGTAAAGAAGACTGAGTTCTAAAATTGATTTGGAATTATTCTACTTAGGATTTAATTAATTGCATAACAACAAAATTGTGTAAAAATGAAGAAATTATAATATATTATTAATTTGCTATTAAGAAATTTGTCGTTTTTTGTTGTTGTGTGAGATGTAATTAATTTTCTTTAGGGTAAAGTAGATTTTGTACTTATACTCATTGTAAATATAACCATATTAAGATAATCTTTAATAAATTTTCATGAAAAAGAAAAACTCTTCATTTATACTCTTCCAACCGCAAATTTTTCTTGCCAAATAAGTTAATAAACCAAAACTGTCAAAGTTTGAATGACCTTGAAGTTCATGTCAAAAACTAAAATTAAAAAATTATAATATAAAATCACTTCGCGGTTCTAGAAATTACCTTAAGTAGGTAGATTTACTCTTTAAAAACTTGCTACAATCAATTTTTCTTGAAATTAAAGCAGATTTTCGCAAATATTTAAACGTGTCAATAAAAATGACAGATATTGCTTTAGTGGTAATGTTTAATTGCACTGATGGCGCTGTAAATGCAAATATAATTCAAAATCATAACAAAATCACAATTTATACCGCCATCTATTGATGTGTTTCTTACTTTCTTATTAACTAAAAAAAATTTATTTAATTTGTTATAATTTTATAATTGAAGCTAACAATGAGATAAATAAATAAAATAAAATATTCAAATTGAAACATAAAGTACAACAAAATAATATAAACGATTATTATTTTCTTCATGAAACGGCAGGTTTCTACACTTCAATTTTACCTTAATTATCACAAAATAATAATTAAATCAATAATTTAAAATTAAAAACAATTTAAAATCAAATCAAAATAATACTCAAAACAATAAAATCAAACAACCATTAAATACTTAATTAAATACTTTGCCGGTTTTGCATCGAATTAATTAACCTCAATTTATCGACATCTGTCAAAAGTCAACCTTTATAAATCGGTCTTTTTTCTCTAACAGTACAGAGTATATACACTCTGCGTCTAAGAGTGAATTTCGTGAGTAAATAAAACACGATTTTGCTTAAATATTCTACTTTTTATTAATTTAATCGATATTTAACATTTTATTTTGTTCGGTGGCGGGTTATTCCCAAAAAGTTTCTTATTAAAAATGGAAATGCCATGCACATCCGATATCGTTATTTTAAGCGGAAATTCTCATCCGGAATTAGCCTTATTGATTGCTAATAAATTGGGGTTTAAACTCGGTGAATGCGCCGTTTATCACAAAACAAACCGCGAAACGATGGTCGAGATTGGGGATTCAGTTCGTGGGAAAAATATTTTTATCATTCAAACGGGTTCTAAGTAAGTGTTATGGTTTTAAATGAAAATGGGATGTGTTTTATGTATTACTTTGTAGGGATGTTAATAATAGCATTATGGAGCTACTTATTATGGCTTATGCATGCAAAACTTCATCTGCAAGATCAATCGTTGCTGTTATTCCTTATTTACCATATAGCAAACAGTGTAAAATGAGGAAAAGAGGAAGTATTGTTACAAAATTAATTGCAAAAATGATGTGTAATTCGGGTTTAACTCATATCATCACTATGGATTTACACCAAAAGGAAATACAAGGATTTTTTGATTGTCCTGTTGATAATTTACGAGCAAGTCCATTTTTATTACAATATATTCAAGAAAGTGTAAGTTAGATTTTTCAACATTAAATTTTATATTAATGATTTATTTAGATTCCAGATTATCGCAACTCAATTATTGTTGCAAGAAATCCCGGATCGGCTAAAAAAGCAACATCATATGCTGAGCGATTGAGGTTAGGAATAGCAGTAATTCATGGTGAACAAAAAGAGGCCGATTCTGATATGGTGGATGGAAGGTACTCGCCACCAACAATTCCCCGGTCTCGAACTATGGATGCAGGGGTTGGTGTTCCAGCTCATCCAGCGAAAGAGAAACCTCCAATTAACGTCGTCGGTGATGTTGGTGGTCGAATTGCAATCATGGTTGTAAGTAAACAAAATAAAAAATAAAACAAATAAATAGTTTTTAAGCATATTTTTTCTTAAAGGATGATTTAATCGATGATGTTCAATCATTCGTTGCTGCAGCTGAAATCTTAAAAGAACGTGGAGCATATAAAATATATGTTTTAGCCACTCATGGGTTACTAAGTTCCGATGCGCCCCGTTTAATTGAAGATTCCCCAATAGATGAGGTTGTTGTTACAAATACGATTCCGCATGAATTGCAAAAAATGCAATGTCACAAAATTAAGACGGTTGATATTTCAACTTTACTTTCTGAGGCGATTCGTCGCATACATAATAAGGAATCAATGTCGTATTTATTCAAAAACGTTACTTTAGAGGATTAAACGTTTTTGTTATGGGAAGAATCACAAAAAGTACAATTAAGAGAATTTTTAAATATTAATTTTTTTTTTGAGGTTATGTTGCTTTTTATTAAAATAGTGTACTTAGGAAAGCAACTTATTAAATTTAAATTTTATTTTCTTTATACATCAAGTAATTATCTCCATTATTAAGTTGTAATCAATAAAATTTATAATTAAAGTTATTTGTAGATTGAGGTTATGTGTCAACGCCATCTATATTTGAATCCTTACACTATTAATGAACCTACGTTGTAAATGATTAATCATTTATAAAAAAAAGCTAATATTTATTGAAATTTAAATATTAATTTGAATTGATAATTTTTTTTCTTCAAGAATTAGTAAAATGAAATAATGCGTCAGAAATCGATAAAGTAGTTTTCTGTAAAACCCAACCTGCAAAATAATAATGGCGTGACAGCTAAAAGACGAAGATTTTTTGAAAAAAAATGGTGTATAACTCCTCGTGGAAGCGACTGTTCGAGCGAGGGGCGCGTTAAGCTTGCGGAGGACCTTCACCTAATTGAAAAAGGACCGTCGTATCGCCCCAAAATGATTGACATCCGACGAAACGGCGAGGACGATGGTAGAAAGTCGCAAATCACCACCGATCGTAATTTACCCCTCGTTTTCGCAAAGCCCGTCCATACGGATGTTATCGAGGGTGTCGAAGGCATCCAACAGAACTGGCGCATGAAAGAGCGCGTAAGAAAATTTTCGGAAATTCTCCTTTCTTATCCCTTTAATCAGTTCAGATGGATGACATAACCTTACATTTTTACAGATGAAAACTGTCAGTGTAGCTTTGGTTTTATGTTTAAACGTTGGTGTAGATCCACCGGATGTTGTGAAAACACAACCATGTGCACGATTAGAGTGTTGGATAGGTTTGTTATTTAGTTAAAAATTTGTTGTAATTTATTAAAATCATTTCAATGTAGATCCATCGTCGATGTCGCCATCGAAAGCTTTACAAAACATTGGTGCGAATCTACAAAAACAATACGAAAGATGGCAACCAAGAGCTAGATATAAGCAGTCTTTAGACCCTACATCGGATGATATTAAAAAGTTATGTTCATCTTTACGGCGAAATGCAAAAGAAGAACGAGTGTTGTTTCATTACAATGGGCATGGAGTTCCTAAACCTACTAGTAACGGTGAAATCTGGGTGTTTAATAGGGTAAGTAATAAAAATAGATCAAATCAATAATTAACCTTTATTTCCAACCCAAAGCAATACACCCAATATATTCCATTATCAATATACGACCTCCAAAAATGGATGGGGGCACCATCAATTTACGTTTACGACTGCTCAAACGCAGGAATAATTGTCGAATCATTTAAACAATTTGCATCGCAACATGAAACGGAAACAGAAGTAAATTAATTTTATACGTTTTTGAGTTTACGATGATTTTTTGAAATTTTAGGCTGCAATTTCTAAACAGAAACCGGTGTCAGTTATGGCCCCCTCATTTAAAAATTGTATTCAATTGGCGGCTTGTAGTGCAAATCAGGTTCTTCCAATGAATCCCTCATTGCCCGCCGATTTGTTTACTTCCTGTTTAACGACTCCCATCAAAGTTGTATTAAGGTGGTATGTTTTGCAATCAAATTCGATTTTGGTACCGAAAATCAACCCGGATTTATTGGATAAGTAAGTTTCGAAACTAAAAATTAAATAAATGTGTCAAAAAAACATAAAGAAATTGATTATTGAGGTTAGGGTATTATAATAAAGCAGATTTTCTAGCGTTCCTGGTCAAATAACTGATCGTAGAACGATGTTGGGAGAATTAAATTGGATTTTTACCGCAATTACCGATACAATTGCCTGGAATACACTCCCCAGAGATTTGTTCCAAAAATTGTTCCGACAAGATCTTTTGGTGGCCAGTTTATTTAGAAATTTTTTATTAGCCGAACGAATAATGAGATCATACGATTGCACCCCGATTAGCGACCCCCCTTTACCTCCAACTTATCAACATCACATGTGGCAAACTTGGGACTTAATGCTCGATTTAAGCTTACTTCAATTACGGAAAATTTTAGACCACAATGAACCGTACGAGCATTTACCATTTTTCGAGGAACAACTACTCGCGTTTGAAGTGTGGTTAAAGCTGGGTAAGTTCCGTTTTAAACTTTTCAAATTGCAAGTACCAAGTAAGTTTTTAACGGGCATTTAGGGAATCATTTAGGTTCGGAAAATAGGAAACCTCCAGAACAATTACCAATAGTGCTTCAAGTGCTACTTAGTCAGGTGCATCGGATGAAAGCGTTGGAGTTGTTGGGGAAATTTTTGGATTTAGGACCGTGGGCGGTTAATTTGGCGCTTTCTGTTGGTATATTTCCGTACGTTTTGAAGTTATTGCAGAGCAGTGCGAAAGAATTAAGGCCGTTGTTGGTGTTTATTTGGGCGAAAATATTAGCTGTTGATGATGTAAGTTCTTTTTTTTACTTTATACTGTAATATAGCTTCCAAGACAAGTTTTACCTGAGAGAGAGAAACATAACCTCAATTCAGTTGACAGTTAATTTTTAGTTGCTCATAATTCTCTTAAAACTGTTAATTTCCTTTTTAAACCATCCAAAACGGGAAAATCCGTGTCAGGTACATCTAATTTGTTACATTCCGGAAGATTTTGAACGATTTTGACTTTGAAAATTGGATTTAAATTTGTAAAATTCAAACTTCATTTGTGGTTGGAGAATCTTGAAACGTCCAATGGACAGCTAAAATAGAAAAGTATATGCATCAAATACGAAGTTTCATCCAGATTAGTGAAGAATTAAAGAAGATATGCATAAAATAAGTTTTGGAATTTTGAGTAGTTCGAAAGGAATCCGCTAGATGGCGTTTTCGAAATTTAGAAAGATTTGAAATTATTTTAAAGGAGGAAATGGCGCGAAACTCATCAACCAATCAAGAGTGAGGGTTGAAAATAAAAGGAAGAGAATTTTCTGGGGAGGGGGAAAAGGGTATATAAGAAAAGGAAAAAGTTGAACCAAGTCAATTCAATTTAGTAAGAGTAGGGTTGAGTTTTGATAAAAAAATCTAACCTAAAAAATTCAAAAGTAGTTTCCTAACCTTAACGTTTTTCTCCGATAATTCAATCCAAATTTAACACCGAATCAAGATTTTATTAACCTAAAAAGGAAAAATTTAATTTAGTGAATTTAAACATCGAAAATAAATTGAGGATCGAATTGAGTTACAACATAACCTAAAAGTTATTTATCAGATAAGTGGGAATTTTGCTGTTAATTTTCATGTTAATAATTCAAGATAACTTACGCGATAACACTGATACTTTCAGTTTAATTGGGAATCTATCGATTATTTTCGACAGACTTAAATCTCTAGTAATTTAAAAATAGAAATCTGTAATTTAAACTTTCCTTTTTGAACTTAAACACGCTAAATTATTATTTTATAAAAAAGAACCCTGAGATAAGAGATCTCAAAAACTTAATTCAAAATAAAAATCCAAGTTTTAAATCCACTTAATCTCCTAATTTATTTTTATTCTTTTAGTCTTGTCAATCAGATTTAGTCAGAGATAACGGTCACAGATACTTCATTGCCGTTTTACAAGATCTCAACATTTCCGTAAGTTATTATTTAACCTCAATTACATTGAGTCATAATTTTTTATTTTCAGTCTGAAACTCGTATGCAAGCCGCTTTCGTCCTAGCCTCCATTGTTAATAAAAATCCGGACGGTCAAGAAATAACCGTTCAAAACAACCTCGTTAGCACCTGTTTAGAGCAATTGTCCGACCCGAATCCGAAGCTTCGTCAATGGCTCGCTTTATGTTTGGGCAGACTTTGGGATAAATTCGAAAAAGCTCGTTGGACGGGCGTCCGGGACACCGCCCACGAAAAGCTTTACACCCTCCTCAGCGATCGATGTCCGGAAGTTCGAGCTTCAGCCGTTTATGCACTCGGCACCTTCATTAATTCGGTACAAAAACGCACCGAACATGCGAATAACATCGATCATTCAGTTATAATGACTTTAATCAACACTTTATGTGGGGATATGAGTGCCATTGTTCGGAAAGAACTCGTAGTCGCGATTCAATGGATTGTTTTAGCGTTTGAAAATACTTTTATTAATATTGCATCGCAGGAGGCTTCGTTACATGTAGGTCCTAAAGAGCACACCCCTTTACCTGGGAGGTGGGGATCAGAATCGGGGCGAGATGTTAAAACGGGTTATGATGTTACTGATTGTGCGTTGCTTAGAATGACTAGAGTGGGATCGTTAACGGCGATTAGTTCGATGGGGAGTATTTCATGGTCAATTTATACGAAAGTTTGGGCCGGGTTGTGTGCTTTAAATACGGATCCACATCCTGAAGTTGCTAAAATGGCGAATACGGTGATTTGTTATGTTAGGAATCAAACAACGGTGAGAATAACATTTGTTTTGACAGTTAAAAGTGAGCTTATTTTTTGTAGAAACCACCACAATTAAGAGATTCGGAAAAAATTGGGGGAAGTGTGAGTTTACCACCAAGTCCAAATACAAGACCAGTGTATTTACCCGAAAGTCCACCAACTCTTCATCCTGATCATAGCGGAAATAGGTTAGTTTTATGAAAAAAGATGAATTTATTTATTAATTTTGTTTATTTTTTTTTTTTTAGTAGAACCCTCCCAACAGCAAGTAGAAGTCGTTATCACCCTAACACAATAAGTGAGCGCGAAGTTAAAGATTATACGAAAAAAATGCTAGTATCAACCCAGTTCATTCAATGGTCTTGTAAACAATTCGTACAACCAATGATGAAACAATCGCCGTTGGATGATGTAGAATCACGACCATATCACGAAAGAGAATGGAGATTTATTCGAAACGATGCCATTCGGAAAGAGGCTCAAGAAGAACGTAGAAAAGCAACCGCGGCAAAAATTGAAACACAAATTTTTAACGCCCGTAACCCTGGGCAATGTCCCCCAACTGTTTTACAATTTCATCCATACGATCAACATGTTGCTGTTGTTATTTCTGATAGTGTAATGTAAGAATTTATTAATTTTGTGTTTTGAGGTTATTTACTTTAATTTTTTGAATTTTGAAGTGTGTGGGATTGGGGAACTGGAGCAAAATTATCCTACAGCAACTATAAAACGTTAAAAAATCCTTTAACTTACATAACATCGTTTGAATGGGTAAATTCGGTTGATGTGAGCTTGATGATGTTAGCGGCTAATGATGGGAGTGTGAAAATTTGGAAACCGGCGGTTAATAATAAAGATCCTACGTTAATTGGGGCGTGGCAGGCTTTTACGGATGCTTCAATACCTAAAAAGTTATATATGAGTAAGTTTATTTGATTAACATATTCAAAATTAAAAAAAAATAGGTTATGTTAATTTAGTTTATTACCAACATAAACAAATTTTAAGTTGGTAGAATTGAACGTTGAAAAGTTTCAAAACGTCTTTTGTGAGATATTCCTTTAAATTTTATAAATTTAAAATAATATTATTAATAATTATTTTATTTATGATGTTTTTGACGATTTTGGGATAAGATAAAAAAAATTTTTTTGTTACAAATGACATAACCTAACTTTTTTTTTATGATTGATATAACCTAGATTTTTTTTTATTTTTAGAAATTTTATTGATGTGGGAGCAATATACCCAAACTGTAATAACAGCGGGGGAATCAAAATTACTTCGTTTATGGGATGCGCATCAAGAAACTCATTTATACGATATCCCCACCGGATCGGAGCGAACAATTCATTGTATCGATTCAACGTATTCGGGAATTGCTCACGAACGGGAATTATCGCAAGAAAAGGAATACGATGATGATTTGATGGAAACGGAAGAAAACGGGCTTGTAATGATGGATACTAATTACGATGAAGTTGACACGTTTTTCCCCACGAAGCAAAGTGGTTTAATTGCGGCGGGGTTTACTGATGGATCGGTTAGGATTTACGATAGGAGATGTGGGCCGAATGAGGCGAAATTACGGACGTGGATGGAGCATGATTGTACGGTTTTGGGGGTTCAAATGAGGGATGAAAAAGTCGTGATGGGGAGGTAAAAGTTTATTAATTCTGGTATAATTCAAGAATCATCATGTCGCTTAAAAATTGAGAAAAGAAATGCGGAAAAGTGTAAAACTTACAGAAAAATCACTTTAAAGTTTCGACGTGGCGTCACTTTTTATGACGTCATCGACCGATTTTTCACATTTGGTTAAAACGCATATTTTCGGGTGAAATACGGTTGTTTCTTAGGTTTTCGACGCACAACGACTAAAATGTCGTTGTTTACCATCTATAAATTAAAGATAACCTAAAATCAATACTTGATGCGCTACCCCAAGGTTTGTATATAAGTTGTCTAGGTTCATAATAATGAATAATTCAATTTAATTTTTGATATAAATTCACTTATCATAAAATAATAGACTGTATGTCTATGAATGTCTATCATATAACCTCTAAAAACACAACAAACGTATAGAACTCAATTACAGTTAACTGGGCGTGACAAATAGTGTGACGTAGAATGCGGGCAACCAACCCGCAATGATTTTGTGCATGGCTATAAAATAAACAATTTGTAGGTTAGGTGTTGACCGGTTTAATAGGAAAATTTTAATGTTATTTTTCGGTATGTTTTACACTTTTTTGGATTATTTCAATTTGGATTCTTGAATTTTTCCTTAATTCTTTTGATTTTGTTTTAATTAATTTTATTTTAGTGCGAAAGGTGAAATTAAAATTTTCGACATTCGAGGACATGATAAGCCGTTGAAATCGATGCAAATTGGGCAGCAAATGTCTGCGTTTGCTATTCACAGAACGGCCAATATTTATTCGTGGTAAGTAAATGAATCAATTTTTAATTTAAGTCTCATTTGAAAAACTTTTTTAAGTGCAACCGGACAAAACATCACCCAATACACATTAGATGGTAATTTAATTAACACAATCCGTTCATCAGAAAGCTTTATTGGTTATCGAACTGGTTCGAATGTTATGTCGTTATCGTATCATCCTTATAAAATGGCTTTAGCTGCTTCCACAGTCGATGTGGTTTGCGTTTACGCCGCTGAAAACCGGCAGAGATGACTATCGTCACTGCCCTAGAGTTTACTCTCGGGCCTCTTCTGTTATTATATGTCTACAACTAGCTAATGATTTGAGGCGACTAAAATGAGATGATAAAGTTTTAAAATTCGGAGCTTCTTTATGGGTTAAAAATAATATGTAAATAGGTTATGTTGTTGTTCGATTCCTTTTCTCGGAAAGAATTGTACATAAAGCGATTTCTTTTAATTTAGGGAGATTCAATTTTAATTTAAGCGCCTTAAAAAAAACGATTAAATGATTCTTGTTACTAACTTTGGGAATAATGAGATGCCTTCACGACGTTGTTACAACTTTTAAGTAATAATAATTAAAGAAACGTGATTAACGATGACGCTAAATTGAGATTGAGTTAATTTGCTAAAAGTCGAATTATTTTCATATCATTTTTTATTACGGAAACTTAATATAAAAAAATTTTTTAACACCGTTTAAGTAGGTTGACGATTTTTGTTACTTTTTCTTTGATTTCAAGTGGAAATATCTTACTTAGGAGAAATATACAAATACAACAAATTGTAGAGTTGGCTTCGATGCAATACATTTGTACGAAATAACCTGATTTTTTTATAATCCTACATCATAAAAACATAAATAATAATACTTTGTTTGTTAGGAAATAATTCGGGATAATAATCACAATATTCAAGTAATAATAACAAATTAATGAATTATTTTATTACACTTTGGTGTTATCTTCCTTAGCATCATTTTCGGCGAAAGCCGGGTTATCAACACCGCTTTTTTGAGGGGGGATGCACTTAACGTAATTCCAAGGTTGAATTTGCCCTGACCCCAATAAGCAAAATACAACTCCTGATCCAATATAAACCGAAGCTCCGATCCAAAAAATTATGTGCCACTCATCCAATCCATTCTAAAACACCCCAAAAACATTAATTAGTTAATTAATAACTCCAATTTAATATTATTTACATGTTCCTTTGTGAAATACCCTGTTAACATCGGGGTAATAAATCCTGTGGTTCCCCCAATGCAATTAACAACGCCATATAAAGTTCCGGCGAAATTTGGAGCTAAATCTTGCGAGTTTTGAAGATTAGTTAAAGTGGAAGCCCCGTTCATGCCGAGGGCTAAAGTTAAAAAGATTACGGCTAAGGTTGTGTCGCATCCCGTAAAAGTTTGTGCGATTAAAAAGATGCCAGGTATAAAGTGAGCTAAAATTAATTAATTAATTGCAATAATAAGTTTAATTACTTATTAATTAACTCACAGAATAAAACGAAACTTTTTCTTATCACCGTAACACTCATCCAAGACTTCTTCCGGATATAATCCCCAATATACCCAAATAAGAACCCCAACAACATCCTAGCCAAATACGGCAACGACGCTAAGATCCCCGAATGTCCCAGATTAAACCCCAAAACTTCCGACATAAACTTAGGACCCGCCGTCAATAACAAATAGAGCCCCCAAAGATTTCCAAAGTGCAAAACGGTGTACGCCCAAAACGGAATTGACAAAAACATGTCTTTATAAGGAGGTAACGCTTTTTCTTTAGTGATTACGTCCCCGACGGATTTTGCGATGTACTTTTTTTCTTCCTCTGAAATTCTCGGGTGATCCTCCGGGGTGTCAGAGACGAGGATGAACCATAAAGTGCACCAAAGCAACACGATTATTCCGGGGATGAAGAACGCCCAAGACCAGCCCATCGATTCTAGGATTGCGCCCAAAAGCGGCCATGTTATCACGGTGCCTAAGGTTCCGCCTAAAAGGGCGCCTGTGAATTTGCCTTTTTCGATGGGTGGGGCCCAACGGGATATTAAGCAATGAAGTCCTGGGTAAACAACTCCCTAAAGAAAAATAAACAAAAAATTAATAATTTTCAAAAATATATACAGTGAAACCTCTTCGTATATTGAAACCGGGGAATTACCTATTTCCGTTCGTTTTAGTGCGGAATAATCTTTCCTTTTTGTCCTATTTTTATTGTGCTAAATGGCGCCTAGTAAAAAACGTTTCTTAAAGGATTCGGGTTTAGCCGTGCGTCTGAAGTCATCTGAAGAATGATTCTAGGTCTAGTGTTAGTTCTAGTTTTACACTAACACTGGAACTAACACAACACCTAGAACTGGAATCATTCGGGTTTAGCCGTCTTGAGACATGTGCGGCTAAACCCGAATGTTTCTAGTTCTAGCTCTAGTGGTTCTAGGTCTAAGGTTAGTTCTAGTGATAGTGGTAGGTAGCGCTAGTTAGCATATGATATCACTATGTTACATATTTTTATTGCATTAGAGAACTAACACTAGATCTAGAAAGCATCGAGTTTAGCCGTGCGTCTTCAGACGGCTAAAGTAAGATAGCTAGCGAAAAATCGTATTTTTTTTTACACACAGAGGTTTCACTATATAAGAAGATTATTAAAGAAATGAAGGCCAGTTTTTTTGTAACAAGGAATTTTTCAATATATAAATTTATCTTACCCCTAACATTCCAGTTAAAAATCGAGCTGTTATCACAAAAATATAATGCCAAGAAGCACAAAGTGGCACTAAAAGGGTCAACGCCGCCGATAAGATAGTGCTCACACCGATGGTCTTAACAGGTCCAAACCTTTCAGCTAGTAAACCACCGGGAATTGAGGTTAAGATGTAACCCCAAAAGTACGATCCAAGAATTAAACCTTGAATTTCGCCGTTCCACGAATACCTTGCCCCATACTATAAATAAAAAAAATTATTGTTATTGCGACAAATATAGGATTGTTACGATGTGTAATAAAAACGTTTCTCGATGATGAATAAGCAGGTATAAGAAAAATAGAACATAAAAAAAATGACATTGAATCGTGTTGATTATGCATAACCGGGTCTTTTCCATTATTTGTTCTAATCAAATTAAAATAAAAATCAAAGGCGAAAAAAACAATGTTCAATGTATGTTATTTAAACATCGAATTAGTGGAGGTACGCGAACCGACCTCGGATGACGCATTAAAAAAAACTTTCAAAAATTATCCATTTCTCAGAAAAGAGTAATATCTCGAACAAATTAGAAATTAATTTCCTTAAAAAAAAATGATTAGAATGTAACGATTCCGGTTATATGAGAAAAACTTCTTTGATTATCGCTGCGCACAATTATAAAGTGTATTAATTAGGTTGGATTTAACTCACATTTACGGTGCTTGTTAATTTTTGTAAACTTTCCGTTTGATTTTCGTTTTCTTCATCATTTCTGGAACATTCGGCCACTTGGTGCCCCGTTTTTGAACCAATCGGTTCAACCATTGCAATTAAATTAATGGACATATTCACCCTTACAACGTAACACATAAAACAAGCCATAAAAATCATCGTTCCTATGACGGCCCTCGTTGGGATTAATTTGTTAATGTTGATTTTTGACATTTTTTATTATGTTTCAATTAAATTTTCATTATTTTTTGGGATTTATCTGAAACAAAATTTTTTTATTATTGTTAAATTAACCATGACCTTGCCATTGATTTCGGTGTAAACACAAACCGATACATTATAGCGTGCAAAAAAAATTTAACTCGTTTAATTCTGCTTACCTCACAAGCAGAATTTAATTCGATTTGGATTGGATTGTTCGTTTTCGAATAAATAATCTTTTTTTATAAAACACACGTTAAAAGAGAGTATTAGAAATTAGATTACGAAATTAAATTTTCACTTTTATCAGCTTTCTTTTACTTGATACTCGCGTTACAAATTTATTTTCATCACGATCATCGTTGCACGTAGCGATAATTTTATATTACTTATTATTAGTAATAAAATTTTTGAAACTTAAATTCCTTTTTGAAACATGTCTTTACGCAATATAACCCACACTATTAAAAAAACATAATAAAAGAAGTTGTTAAAATAAGAATTAAAATGTTATTTATTGCAGGTTTATTACCCACAAAGATAACTAATATTGAATTTTGATTTATTCCTTTATCGATCCAAATTGGGCTAGGTTAAAAAGAATTTTAATAAAAATTAAATGTAGGTACTTACCTTAGGTGATTATACGAAACTAAACCTTTCCAGTTGGACTACGAATTGAAACTAAATAATTTTTCGGTAAAATCCCGTTTGAAAATGTTCCGAAACGTGCGCGTTAAACCGTTCGAGCAGGTTCCACGCTTGATATGAATGAACATTCGAAAGGTGCGGTGATAACTTCCAACTAACGAGGATAGTTTGGTTCCTTTAACTAACCTATTAAAGTAAATCGCAAAAATTATTACAACAAAAAGTAATTAAATCCAAACAATACCTTAAACCCATTTTCTTTGTTATTCACATCCAATATTTAAAGTTGAAATTTGACGTATCACGCAAAAAGATTTTCAAGGTCAAATAGATTCAAATATACGTTTTCCCGGCACTACTACCACCCTAAAAATTAATTTTATTAAAATTCCCTAATTCATTCAAATTTTTTTATAAGACTTATCTTTTTGAGAAAAAGTGCTAACTAAATTAGCAAATCCTTTTTTAAATTAGCATCGAACGGAAACGTGCGAAAACGACGACATCGTTGAAACGATTTTTTTTTTGTGGTGGATAAAAAAGCCGGGGGATTTTTTGTGCAAGTTGTTGTTCGGTTTTAACGATCGGCCCGAAGGAATGCTAATCAAGCCGAGGTAGGTGGTAATCAAGCCGTTTCTAAAAGGAATTTCGAACCGCGGCTGTGAAGAGAAAACCAGTTACAAATTAGCGGTTATAAGTTTTTTTTTTTTTAATTTTTATTAATTAAATAAGTTTTATTCATTTTAAACTTAACGTTATTATATTGATATTTATGTCAATTTTGACGTTTTAGATGAAGTATTTAACTTCAATACAATTAAAAAGTCTTCTATTTTAATTATACAGGGTGTCAGATAAAAAACGCCCCAACCTGTAACTCTGTGCAAATTATCCTCGTCCTCCATCTTTCCGGAGCTTCTTCTTCACCATCTCCTCTCTGGATTTCATTCTCTCCATTTCAACATCGCTTCTCTCCCAACAATCCCATCAAATAGATTCTCCAATCCGTCATTTCATATCTCTGCTGACTTCCTCTCTTCCCGTCCTCATCCTCTTTAAGTATCTCCATACATAATTTTTCTTTGTGATTTTTGTTATATTGCTTAATTATTAATAATTATTACTATTGTTAATATATGTTACCATCTATAGAAAATAAAGTGAACATAGATATAACAAAAAAAAATTGTTTCAATTTAAATCAGACGTTAAGATAAAATAAAGCGACATCTATTTTTGAAAAGCCCAACTAATCAAAACAGCGTCCTTTTTTAAACTCTAATTTAAATTTTAATTTAACATTAAGATTAATCGTTTTTTTTAGTACAATAACAATACTTGAAGATAACAAAGATTTGATTGATTAACGTCAATGAAAAAAAATTTTTTTAAATCTTTATTCTTACCTTTCATTATCAAAATCAGATTTAGCTAAAAATGAAGAGGTGACAATACGACTTTTCATTGCCGTTATCTGAAGTATCGCGGGAAAGAACCTACAACTTTAAAAATAGAGAGATCGAAAGATTATTTTTTTAATCAATGATCTTGATGTCCTCTAAGAGGGTATATAAACACCAAAATAATGTAAGTACACTTAATATTTTCCTTCTTGTGCTGCCATGAAGTTTATTTTGTTGCTCGCCGCTGTTTTAGGTTGCGCTTTAGGTAGATATTAATATTTTTGGGTAAGTTTTGAGGTAAATTTCTATTTCTTTTTAAGCGTACCCAGCTGCTGAAGATAGGGTAGTTGGTGGATCAAACGCTGCCAGAAACCAATTCCCATACCAAGCCTCTATGCAATGGGGACTTTTGGGTATCTGGCAACACGTTTGTGGTGGCACCATTATTAGTGCTAGAACAGTGCTTACCGCTGCTCATTGTATCACCGAAGTTCCAAATATTGGTAGCTTTAGAATTCGCGCCGGTATCCTTCTTCTCAATGATGCAACAACTATTGGTCAAACTATTACTGTTTCAAGTAATGTTATCCACCCAGATTACCAAGGGTAAAAAGAATTAATAATAATTAATATTATGAAATCTATGAATGAATTCTATTTGCAGAGGAGTTAACCCTCATGACATTGCTTTATTGCGTTTGGCGAACGGTTTAGCCTTTGGAGCAAGCATTGCCGCCGCCCCTCTTCCAGCTGCCGGATCCGTTCCATCCGGAGTAGCTACTTTATCTGGTTGGGGATCAACCTCCAGCACTCAAATTCCCAGCATGCCAAATACTTTGCAATTCGTCAACACCCCACTCATCACTATCGCATGTAAGTTTTCGATTAAAAAATGTTAAATTTATCTACATTTAACTTTTCAATTAGTATGTAGAAGCAGTTTGATTAGTATTTTGGGTAACGCCGGTCCTCTTCACAACAACAACGTTTGCACCTTGGGTGCTGGACAAAGTGCTTGCTCCGGTGACTCTGGTGGCCCATTGACCCTTAATGGAGCAGTCATCGGTGTCGTTTCTTGGGGAATTATGCCTTGCGCTACTCCTGGTGCTCCAAGCGTTTACGGAAGGGTTAGCGCTTACAACGGATGGATAAACAGCAATATATTGTAAATAATTATAATTTGAAATGTTTTTGCAGCAAAAATAAATATTTTGACTTAAAATAATTCCGTTAATTTTATTGTAAACACCTTATTTTTATTTTAATATATTATTAAAATATAAGTCTTTATTACGATATTCATATATTACATTACATAGATTACATATCGGGGAGGCGAACCAACCAACCTTGTACCGCGACCCTAACGATCTATTGTACCCAGATAAGATAACATTATCAAATTTCACTGAGCAGCCCAATGCTCTTAACGAACATTAATGCCCTGCACGGTCAGAAATCATTCAGATCCTTTGGGGAGATAATAAATAACTTAGCATGTCTCATTGCAGGAGAACTGGTCCACAGTAAGCGATGTCTCTCTTCAGCCCACAGTCCAATCCTATATTTGGCCAACGCAAATGATACAGCCACTTTCTCTATATGCACATGCAAAAGAGATAGGCCAAGCAGAGCATTAATTTCTAGAGTTGGCGTTATTATTGCCAATCCAGCTACGCGTTGAATTCGTGAAGGTTTGCTGATAACTGAAGTCTGCCGGACTATCCAATACCAAGCTGCCGCTCCGTATGTCTTGTATGTCTATGCATAGTCTTTCAGCTATAAGACACCCCAATTTTTTCCACAAAGACTACGACAAGTCCACAAGCATAGTCTAGCTTTGTGTAAAACCCCTGTAAATATCCGTTCCATGAAAAGCTTTTATCTATTACTCCTAGATATTTGACTTCCTTTTTTATCAAAGGAATTTCTTCACCTTGGATTCTTCAACTGTCGTTTCCTGGTAAAGGGCACAATGATAAGCTTTTGCTGGTTTATCGAGAGATTCTCTCCCTTACACCATGCGCAAATAGTATGTAATGTCACCTGATACCTTCATATATTAGTTGAATGGCTGCTGCAATATTAACGGATATTGCAATAACAAAAATTGAGTAAGGTGTAAGGAGAAGATGTGTAGATTAGATTGTGTGAGGATGATTGCAAGGCAATTGCTCAAATGCAAAGGGGATTAGTGTGTAAGTTGTATATTTTGTATTATAGCTACTGTGTATTAAAAACTATATACTAAAAGGGACAATTAAAAAGTTCAAAATTTCCTGCTACAAGTTTAGCTGATGTCACTTATAGCGAAAACGCTGCTATGAATTGCCTAATTTTGGCTTAATCAAGCGTTATCATAGGTTCTACGCTCGGTGTTTCACGAAATTAATGTATTAGTTGTATAAATACAACCATTAGCACTCTTAGATTCGTTATCCAATATTATTGTATCGTTATGGTATCAATTATACACCTTTAGCAAGAGGATTTGGCTTAATTCTCAGTATATTGCATCACTTTGATATTCTCTTGAGGGTGTCATCATCTTTCGTTCTCTGGACATGTCCCATCCAGTACCGAGTAGCCTCTCATCTCTCTGTGACGGGATCCATGTCTCAAAGCAATACACCAGGACTGGTCATACAACAATTTGCTTTATCTCCATCTGCAGAATATGTTTTATGACATTTACATTGGATAAAAAATTAATTTCAGTATTTATTAAATAATCTACATTGAATAAAAAAAACAAATCTCTTCAAATAATAAAAGATCCAACCGATTAAAAATAGACAGATTGATTACATCTCAAAAAAACTTTTTTAACCTTTATCTTGATCATTATTAAGCACTCTTAATAACTCATTTTTTATCAACTACTTCATTCTTAATAATTATTGACTACCATGAAGACTTTCTTACTGATATTTACAGCAATCTTTGGATTAACTCTAGGTTGGTTAATAATCTTAACAATAAAATTAATTAACATATCATTTTTAGCTTATCCATCGGATGATGCCAAAGTCGTTGGTGGAGCTGATGCCGCTAGAAATCAATTTCCGTATCAAGTCTCTATGCAATGGGGACTTTTGGGTATCTGGCAACACATTTGTGGTGGCTCAATAATCAGCGCAAGAACAGTTTTAACCGCAGCTCATTGCATTACGGAGGTTCCAAATATTGGTAGTTTTAGGGTTCGAGCTGGAATTTTGCTTCTTAATGATCCAATAGGAACTTTCCCTGTTAATAATGTTATTGCAACGATTATCCATCCAGATTATCAGGGGTAAAAAAGTTTTGAGTTATTAATTTTTCTTTTTAATTTAATTTTTTGTTTTAGAGGTGTTAATCCACATGATATCGCTTTATTACGATTAGGTTCTGCTTTAATTTTTGGTACTAATATAGCCATAATCCCTCTTCCAACACGTGATGCCATCCCAACCGGAAACGGTGTTTTATCTGGATGGGGGTCGACTTCCATGACGGAAACACCAAGCATGCCGAATCATATGCAATTTGTTAGCACTCCAATCATTACTTTAGACGGTATTTTAATCAAATTATTCCAAATTTAAGATAATTTTTTTTTTTTGATAGTTTGTAGAAGCCGATTAATTGAGTTGTTTGGTAACGCTGATCCGGTTCATGATACCAGCACTTTGTGTACTATGGCAGCTGGGCAAAGTGGGTGTTCCGGAGATAGTGGTGGTCCTTTAACTAGTAATGGTGAAGTTGTTGGAATCGCTTCTTGGGCCGTTTTACCATGTGGGGCTTTAACCGCACCGACTGGATTTGCAAGAGTTAGTAGTTACATCGATTTTATAAATGATAATATTTTATAAAAGTTAATTAAAAAACTTCTTGTAATAAAATAAAATTTGACATTTCTCTCCAAACATAACCTCAATCTTTTCTTTTTTTTTGATTTTAAGATTAAAAATGATTTTAATACAAATTAAGTGAATAAATCGAATTGTGATGGATAAGTAACTAATAAATTAAATTTTATAACTTATCTTGTACGTTTTTGTAGGTTAGGTGGACTCCTCGGAAACTATCTCTTCGTTTCGTTTCATTTAAATCTTGGATTCTTTTAGGAAGATTTTCTCAATCGGATATCACACACTTTAATTATATTAATTTGTTTAATTAATATAACAAAAAAATTTATATCAATCGATGTAAACAATTCAGAGAAAAACAATCAACTGTTGCATCAACAAAAAAACTTTTGAATTACGACCTACTTGGATCCTTTAAAAAATTTAAAATAAATCCGGGATTTTCATTGGTCGAAAATATTAAGGGGTGCGCAAAAAATTATAAACCACAATAAAATTATTAACAAATTTAAATTTCCGTTTGAAATTGTTAATTATTTAATTCTCTGCATTATTTTCGAGCGTCTTTTTAAATTAATAACATTTTTTTATTAAAATTCGTTACATAAATTTCACTCTGAAGTTAGCGCCTAAACATAACCTAATTTCTTTATGCTTTACGCTTTTGCAGTTTTTTTAGCTTCTTTAGCGGCTTTTTTTGCAGCTTTGCGTTTTTCTCGCTCCTCTTTGTACTCTTTAACCTCCTCGTCGTTCATATCCCAAACTCTTCGAGACGCGGAGCCCCACACAACATAAATTACGTTTGTTACTGATGCAATTATAAATATTAACCACATTATTGTTTTCCATTGGGAAAAAGTGTTCTAATAAAAATTTAAAAAGTTTAGTATGATTTTGATTGAATTATTGAAAGATTTACTTCCGTAGCAAAGAAACCGATAATCGGGGGGTTCATAACACCGGAAAGGGCGCCTAATCCGTTTACAACGGCCATTAATAACCCGGCGTAATTGTGGCTAACATCCATGACGTTTACTTTTAACCCAGAAAAGAAGGGCCCCATTGTTAACAAGGAGATGCACACTAAACCTATTACTAAAGTGCTATGACACTCAACATAAGGAATCATTAAAAGGCAAATGCTTGGGATTACTGAAGCTAAAATAATTTTGGTTTAAACAAACCCCACCTTTTGAGACACTATTTACCGATGGTGGTGTAAATTTTTCTTACACAAGCTACATTAGCACCTCTTTCAATGATTTTGTCAGCGATTACCCCTGAGATTGAGCTGGAAAACCACATAAGAGTGTATGGAATTGATGAGGCCCACATATTATCTTTCATTTCCATGTTGTGAACGTCCGAATAAAACTTTGGCATGCTTGTAGCTAAGAAAAAGAGTAAATAATCGTGTCCGAATTGCCCCATAATTAAGGCCCAAACCGCTGGGTCAATCAGCATTCTAAAAACGCTTAAACGAAGACCCTCTTCTCGAGGTACTAAAAAAAATTAATTACGTATTTATTAAAAAGAAACAAAAAATAATCACTGATCCATTCTGCAAGATCACTTGTTTCTTTGGCGCTGATAAAAGGGTGCGTTTCAGGGCCTGAATGCATATAAATAAAAGCTAAGCTGCACCATGCGAGTCCAATGATACCCCAAATATAAAAAACCCATCTCCAATTATCGCCAAACATTACATAAACCAACCCGCTTATTAATTGTCCTAAAATGATTCCCAAAGATCCCGCAGCAAACGTTATCCCACCTATGGAGGCGCGTTCTTGAGGGGGCACCCAACGCGACATTAACGTGGTTACATTTGGAAAAAGAGCAGCTTGGGCCAAACCAACAATAACCCGAGATGTAACCACAACCTCATAAGGGAATAAATCAACAATTAAAGGAAATAAAACGGTGAATATAGAAGAAATCGCGAGGGAACTAATTAAAATCCATCTCGCCCCGAAATAATCCCCTAAAATACCGGACGGAACTTGCATTATCATGTAACCAATAAAAAATCCAGAGAGAAGAATCCCTTGTTGCTCTTGACTCCACGCAGTTTCACTCTAAAAATTAAATTAATTAGATACAATTTAATTTTTTGAAACTTATTTTTACTTACAACTTCTTTTTTATCCGCCGATTTTCTGTCTTTATTGCACTGCACGCTTGAGTTGTCTCTGGGCGGTGGTGAGCCCATCTCAGCTATAACCATACTTATATTTACTCTTTGGCCATAAGCGAGAATGATGGCAAATGAGATAAATATGACCAGAACATATCGTTGTGGGAAGGTATAACCTAAAATTAATCAAAAAATTATTTTAATTTATTAAACAAAATTAATATGAAAGAGCTTACTCCCACAAATACATTTACAAGGATTACAAGGCATCACAAATTTCACTTAAATTTAAAATAAATTTATAAATTTGAAATTTTTGACGTTTTACTTGACAGTTACGTCAAATAATCTGTCATCTTAGCTTCATCTTACACTCTTCGTTCATTATAAATTAATGAATGAAACCTTATTGGAAAATGATGAAAATAATAAACACTATCGTTAGTGTGTATCAAGATGTTGAGAATTATAATTTTTTTTAAACAAAAAAAAATTGGTTTCCATTAGTAATTTTTTTAAATGTCAAAATCATCTAAATTCTTGTCAAAAAAAATCCAAAAATTAATATAAATAATTATGGGAGATACGCGTTATTTAAATTCCAAGAGAAAAAGAAAGAAAAAAACGTTGAAAAACAAGTTATCTCGCTTATTGAATCCCAAAGAAATGATAAAAAAAACTTTGATTAAAAGACGATGCTCAAAGTTACATGAAAACTGTCAAAAGAAATCAATTTTGAATCGTTTTACATCAAGAGATTTTTTTAAACCTAAACCGATGAGTGCTTTAATGTTTCCAATAAAGGTTTACGATGAAAAGACGGAGGAAAATAGAGATACAAAGTTACTTTTTAGTAGTAATTGTAGATCTTCCGACAGTACGGATGATGTCCAGGCTCAATCGGAATTTAAAAGAATAAATGCGAGAAAAGAAAATAATTTAAACCAACAATGTTACATAAGTAACAGTGGTACTTTGTGCATGGCCCAAGAGATGTATCCGATCTTTGTGGAGTGGTACAAGTTCCTAAAACAAAATCAATCCAGTTTAAAACAAAATTTTCAATTTTTCGGGAAAATTAAACCAATTCCTGATAATGAAACAACCCCGGAAATATCAAACACCGACTTTTCAACGGCCTCTACATCAGAAAATAAATCATATTCACATTCTAAAGAGACACAAAGGTATCCGAGCTTTGTTAGCTACGATTTAAAACCGTACAAAAAAAGTTCTTCATCATCATCATCATCATCGAAGAATCTAGATAAAAAGAAAGACAAAGTTAAATCAGGGAGGAGAAAAATTGTTTCTCAAAAGGATGCCGAGGTCGATACAAGTGAGATGAATATAAAAATGGTTAATAAGTCAACGGATATGCATCAAAAAGCCGATAATAAAACTAAAATGAAATTGAAACAAAGATCAAAAAGTAGTGATTACTCCAAACATGATTTATCCAAAAATTTATCTGCTATATCAAGTTGCAAATCGACAACAAATAACGTTGAAAGTTTAAAAACGGACGAATTACCGACACCGAAAGAAAATAAAACATTGCTTAGTTCTTCAAAAAGTTTGGTGGAACCAAAAAGTTGTTATAAACTCAAAGAAACACCATCGAAGTATTTAAAAAGATCACAATCTTACTGCGAAAAATTTAAACAAGCCGAATTTATAAAATTAAAAGAAAAAAGGAACGAGAATGAAAAGAAAATGGAAAACATCAAAAAAAAATCAAGTCAACACTCAAATTATTCCTCAAATTTAAAGAGTATTGAAGAAATACGAAAAAATCCAACTTCTTTTCTCGGTAAAGATCAAAAAGAGTTTATCGTGGAACGGAGACAAATTAAAAGTCAAGGATGCGAAAGGAAAATGAAAAAGGTTGATTTAGATTTTGGGTCGACAAAAAGCCAAGAAAACGTTAAAAATCCAAAGAAAGATTTAACTAAAAATATGAAAGAAGATAAATTAGTTTTGATTAGGAAAAGAAATAAAAATAAAATTGATTCATCTCAAAACACCGATAATTCAGCATTAATATCATCGTTAACACCTTCGTCATCAACATCATCATCATCAAGAAACAACGGGGAATTAACTAAATTAGTTTCGCTTCTTTCAAAAGTTTCAAACGTAACTAATATAACGAGTGACTTTATTTTTAAACAATTTGAACGAGATTGGAGTTATTGGGAACGTTTAATTTTATTGGATAAACTCCACGAACGCATAAATGGCGAAGAAAAGAATTTACAAAAACAAATATTAAAATACACATCAAACAAATCAAACGAAACAAGAAGAATCATTCCCATCTTTTTTAATTCTAACATAGAAAATAATTCAACCGATTCGGAGCAAAAAGATGTTTCAAAAACCATATCGACTATAACAAATTCTTCGCAAACGATGGAAGATCGAGAATATAAACGACACTTTGATATTATGAAGAAATTTCGATTTCATAACGATAAAGATGAGGATGACGAAACAAGGCCCAGTACGTCGGTTTATTCGTTTATTAAAAAGTTTTTGATGTGTATTAAGGTGTCTAATGCGGCTGTTGAGGTGAAAACGAACGATTCTACTTTGGAATCGCCGATTATTAGTGATTTATCGACCTTATTATCGACAGAAATTACAATTAAAACTAGTAAGGAAAAATGTAGGAGTAAATCGAAGGAGAAAACTAAGAATAAATTGAAAGATAAATCTAAAAAACAATTTAAGGATAAATATAAGGAAAGATTTCGCGATGGGGACGAAAATGATGAGAGTGATAATAAAGTGAGTACGTACCAAAAATTTATAATTTTTTATCGCTAAAACTGATTAAATAGTTTTTAACATTAAATATCTTACATAATAAGGCATAAAGATTTGTTAACTATAATTTTGTAAATCATTTTCTTTACATTAATATTTTGATGTCATTCAGATGTCATTTTTAGTGCACTATGAAGTTGTCTCGATCCAATTAGAAGGGTTACCAACTTATTTAATAAAATTTATTTTTTATTCTTCTTTTAAGAATCAACATTAGCAATCATCACAACAATAAAAAACAAACTGAGAGTAATCCCGAAATTTTTAAAATCGAAAACAAAAGGAATCCAAAATAACTCGTTAAAAAATCAATTTTGGTTCAAACAAAAATTGGAAACCTTCCATCAACAAGAACCGAATAGTAAATTATCTTTAACCGAATTGATCGAATTGTACTCGAAGAAAAATGAAAATTTATTTCCCGACACTCATTACACTCCGTTTCAAACGACTTTACAAGTTTATAACGTCAACGAAGAACTGGATAATCTCAAAGATAGAGATGGGGTTACGGATCCGAAACAAATGTATCCCAATTCGCATATTTATTCTGATCGGCTGTTTTTGGCGTACAAAAGATACATGGCTTTAAGAGGTGGATTAAGACGAGCCGCGCCAAAAGAAAAAATCACCCCTTTAGTACCAATGTTGGATTGGAGTCGAAGATTAAAACCACCTGGAATTCCAACGTTACAAACTAACGTTGGAATTAAAGTTTATCGAGATAGTTCAGCGGTAAGTATTATAAAAAAATAGGTTGGCATTAATTAATATCAATGTTTTAGTTACATATGGATATTCCAGATCGTGAAGTTTGTATGAGAGAATTAGAATATTTAAACGATGATACGCTAGATGAAGGTCATTTAGATCCGCAAAAATTTGAAAAAATCCTTCAATGTTGGGCGTGTGATAAATATATAATTGAGATAAGCCCGAGAGAACAACAATTAATGAAAAATATGACTGAAGAAGCTTACAGTGTTACTCCGATTGAAGAAGAGAAATTGAGCGAGCCAGACGATCTCTTAAAAACAACTCATTCAATCCAAGAAGAGGAATCTGATGATGAATTTGGTATAAAAAGAAGAAGGAGGCTTTTAATCGAGCCGAGTCTTTCTGATATATCACTACCTTCGGATTCTTTACGATCTGTTGATTCTGATATGGATGACAGAGCAAATAAGGAGTGGGAATCTTTACCCGATTTTCAACCATTCTCCGCGCTTGATCCAATTTTCCCAGTTCCAATTCCTTTAAGTGAACCGTTACAACATATTATTTATCTCCCGAGGAGTAAAAGAAACCTTTTAAGCGCTGAAGACGAGTTTTGCGATTGCATTCGATTTAATTCTACTTTAAAATCGGCAAGTAATAAAGAAGCTGTTAGTCAATTAAAAATATCGTATCATAAAAACCGAACTGAGTTTACCCCACCACGGGCTTTTAAGAGAGCTTTGGAAAGTATTGGATCTGGGCGGGTAAAAAGGAGGAAACCGAAGAAGAGCAATGTTACTTATCCACCGTGTTGTGATGAGTTCTTATCGGAATATTCTAGTGATGACGAGAAAAAAGGTACAAAATTCAACAGGAAGAAATTGAATAAGACTTTCCCTGGAGATGAACGAAAACGGAGGGAAAAAATCAGTATTTTGGAGGATAAAAAGAGGAGACAGGAGGAAAAAGTGGTTGAAAAGATACTAAAAAAGTCAGCAAAGAGTTGCAAAGCGGAGTGTCAAACAAAAAGAGTGGCTCGATTGGATCGATCGTTGAAGAGACAAGATGCGCAGTGGAGAAAACGAGAAAATAAATTAAAACAAGAAGATATCGAATGGGAAAAAGAAGAATTAGTACGGAAAAGAATGAAAATGTTAAAGAAAAAAATGAGAAAGAAAAAATTACCAATTGATGTCTCCGTACTGTTTAATAAATTTAAGAAAAATGAGAAGAGGACGAGGAGAATTAAAGAAGTGAGCGAAGCCGGTGTTCAAGGCGATTTTAAAAAACATGATGAGATTATCAAGACTTCGATGATTAAATCGGAAGAGAGTTGTTGCGAAAATGTTTCAACAAAACAACAAAAAGAAAAGTGTTGCACCTTCATTTGCGATTTAGACAAAAAATTGAATCTAAATAACACTTCACCAGTACAATTTGTGAACGTTCCATTAAAATATATCGAAGCGCGCAATAAAAATATATATCGGAAAAGAAGGAGAAAGAAAAATAAGCGTGTTTTAACACTTAATAAGGCAACATCTATTAATAGCCAATCGTTTACTTCTGAAGAGGAAAAAGAATGCGAAAAAGTATCAAAAATCCAATTTACCCCTCAACTTGAAGTTCTTTTCCCACTTCCCGGTGGAAAATCAATTCAATTTGTTAGTATACCATCGCATAACCGTATTTTTAATCAATTAAAAAACAAATCGAGTAAAGATGAGACATTTTTTGGGTCATCTTACACAAAAGAAACGATTATAACGAGATCGATTTTTGAAAGTTCGAATAATTCATCTTGGAGTAATATCGAAACAGAGTCAACATCAAAAATGATATCTTCGATAATATCAATCAATGATGAAAAAGGTTGCCAAATTCAATATTTTCATAACAATTCTAATTATTTTAAGAAAATAAAGCGATCTATTCCGTCATTAAAACGAAAAAGGCGAATCGACGCCTCAACCGAGCCAACAAAACCCCCAAAAAAATCTAATTTAAAATCAAATGTAAGTTTAAAAAATGTTTATTCGATAATCCGTACCCCTCAATCACCGGAAATTTCTTCTTCGATTGATTCCGAGGATTTTATCCACCCGAAACACGAGTTTGATGTAAATATGGTTAAGGAAATTTTATTTTCTATTATGGATAAAATTCCGTTAACAATTGAAGATATTAATCCCGTATTAAAAGATGTTGAGGTTAATACGATGGAATTAACTCAACATAAAGATGCCTTTATTGCTACTTCTTCAGTTAAATTTGTAGATAAATCAAGTTCGATGCGGGAAATTAAAGAAAATAAAACGAATTCTGTTGAATTCACCGTTGAAGAATTAAATTATGTAAAAAAATTATTAGAATCGCCTTTGGGGAGTGGTCATCAAGATATAAATGATCTTAATAAAGAGGCGGGGAAGAGTAATATTGACTCTAAAATTCCGATACTTCAAAAGAAATCAAATTTAAATAAGAAACCTGAAACGGGTTATTACCAAATGTACAGAGGATTTAGAGGGAATCAATCACCGATAACACAATCTCAAGGAAAGATTCAACGAGAAGAAACGTTGCAAGAAGTACATCGAGGGAAATTACAAACTAAATCGAACCAAAATCTCCGAGAACGATTTTCGAATGAGAAATCAATTGATAAGCTTCAAGAAATATCTCAATTAAGGTTGCAAGTTGTAGCTCAAGGGTTGCCAAATGAAATAAAATCTAAAAAGTCTCAAGAAAGGTCTCTTCCTCATGATGATTCTGACGTTGAATCACATGATGATTCTGATAATGATGAAGATAACTCTCAAAGTGAGTCTGAAGATGATCAAAAAGGGATATCACAAGCTACAGTTAAAAAGGTAATTGAACCGAGATCACAATGTAAAATTGAAGGGAATTCTCAAGATAAATCTAAAAGTGATTCTAAAAATAAATCGACTCAAAACGACCATGAATTAAAATCTCGAAAAATATCCAAAGAAAAGTTACCTGAAAAGTCTGAAAAAACATCTCAAACTAAATCCCATCGCTCTGAGGATAAATCTGAACAAGAATCTTTAAAAATATCCAAAGAGAAATTGTCTCAAAAAATATCTCCTCAAAAACGAAAAGATAAATGTCATGGAAAAGAAGACTCCAGGAGTTTATCCACTGAAAAATTAATATCTAAAGGTAAGATAGCTTTTCTATATTTATGCAGGTTTTAACTCGGAAATTTATAACTTTTAAATTAACAAAAAATTTATTTGACAACAATGACAACTGACAATAAAAAATTTAATTTTCATTTTACCCCATAGATGGCCTTAAAAATTTTAATTTCAAATTTGTATCGATTATTATTGATTTATAATTTAAATTTAACGATAATTAAGCAATAAAATTAATACTTACTTATTCATCTTTTTTTGGGAGTTGAGTCCTTGGTGAATAAGAATTTATATAGCCTTTCATAACATAACCTTAAAAGTCGTTGTGGATCTAAGATAAAGAAAATAAAATAAGCCAATAAAAAAAGATTCTAAATAACTTAGGCTAATTGTTAACACTTACGAATAACAATACATAATGAAGGAACAATAATTAATTAAGAAGGAAGAATCAATAAAGACAACAATTCACTCGCTTTTTAATAAGATTAAGCGCTACCTAACGCTAACGGAGGAATTTCGTACTAAAATTTTTAATAAAGAAAGATAATATTTTCTTTTACTAAAATAATTTATTAAAGTGTTTTAAAATTACAAACAGTTTCAATTAGAAACATATTTTTAACCAAAACTTGCATATTTAATAATTTTCGAAAATTAAAAAGTATTTGGTTCGAAGTATTTAATTTCAATTTGTGATACTAGAGGGCGACACGTAACTCATCATTTTAACCTAACATTTTATAGTTACCTATATAAATAAATTATTTAATTGTGTCAATAGTTAACGCGTATTTTTTTAATTAATTGTAATAAAACTAATAAATATTATTGTTATTTAAAGGAAAATTTGAAAAAACATCATTTGAGGAGAAATCCCAATGTGATACGCAAGATAAATTAGAAGATGGGTCTGAAAGTAAATCACGAACGCAATTTGATAAGGTATCTCAAAATTGTTCAGAAATTAAATCTCAAGATGGATCTAAAGGTGAATGTCAAGATAAACGTATAGATAAATCTCTAGAAAAATCTAAGGATGAATTACAAGACGAATTTGAAGATGAATCTGAAGAGGAATCGCAAATAAAACAAAAATTTGAAGATAAAGATCCAATAAATTGTGAATATCCAAAAGAATTTTTAGAAATGATGTATAAACATAACCTGCTACTTAAAGTGTTGGAAGATTTGCAACAAAACCCACCAAAAGAGGTTAAAAACGTAAATGATTTGAGTAAAGTTAAGAAAGTTGAAGAAAAGAAAATTAATACTATTTCTAAATCAAAAAGTATTAATAATTTAAAAATTATTCCAGATCCAAAAGTGACAGCTAACCTAAAAAAATCTGGCACAACTTTAATAAACGAAAAAATTAATCAAACCGATGAAACTAACGAAAAAAATGAAAGTATTTACGGAAAAATCGAAAGAATTAACGTTTTAACTACTTCTTATATGAATTATGGAGAAGCTCATAAAACATTAACAGGAAATCGAAAAGCATCATTAAGCGCAGTGGCTTCATCTATGTGTTCAATAAGTAATCGTGATGACGTAATAGAATTAGCGGGAGGTTTAAAATATTATTATATTGACGAACAATATTATAAAGATTCAATGGTCCAAGCAAAAAGTGACTACACATTACCAATAAATTTAGATATTTTCGATGAAGATGTATTCGATAATGGTGTTTGCATTAAAGGGAGTGAGCACACAAAATTCGAACAATCGCGTGGGGTGCAAGTCTCTTTTGATCGTAAAAAAATCGAAAAGGTTCGAAATGAAGATAAGGTGAAAAAGAAGGAATTGAAATCGAAGGATAAAATTGATGTCGAACGAATTGAAAGGAAAAGGAGAAGTCTGGAAAGGAAGCTGTTAAAGAATAAGCCGAATTTGAGTCCCGCGCAACGCGAAAGAAGGAGAAAGAAAATTTTAGAGCTTTTAGATGGACTACCGAATGTTGAAGTTGATAAAGACGACAAGAAATATAACAAAAATAAGATCACTAAAAGTTCAAACCAAAAAACGGAGGAGTTATTCCGAAAAATCAAAAAAGATGAGTATGTAATAAATTATCATAATTATTCGATTCCTTCAACATCCGCCAAAGTTAAAACAACAACTTTGGATGTCAAAGATGACAAAGAAAAAATAATTAGGACGGATTCAACAGATATAGTGAAAGCTTTTTTAAAGCTACTTAAATTGGTCTCTATAAATAAATCAAAATAAAAATCAGTGATTGTTAATTTGTAAATTGAAATCATTTCTATGTTAACAAGTAATTTTGTTTCTTTCTTTTGTAGTTATTCGAGAATATAATGAATGATTAAAAACTGTATAATTTTATTGTTGATTATGGAAGAAATAATTTATATAGTCGAAAAATAGCTTATCTAAAGAAGAAGAATAAAAGATAGATTTCTCTATCTCGAGTAAACAAATAAAACGCCTTCGAAATTCAAGTAATAAATATTTACACGACGCGCGATTATTATTCGAAAAACACTCGGATTGGGGCAAGGTTTTCGAAATCGAATTTTAGTAGTTATATTCTAACGGGATTATGAATGTTAGAGAAATGCGTAAAAAGACAATTTTCGTCGTGGAAATGTAACGCGATTATTAATCAGGACAAAGTTTGTTTTCTCTCTGCTTCATCGCTCCGAAGTTGACAACGAAAATAAACGGTGCCGAAGCCGTTGTTTTTCGGGACAAATATTTTCAGAATATACGTATATTTACAATAAACATGTTCGTTTTGTTCCAAAATGGAACGAGCTCGCCTATATTTTAGATCCTATTTTAATAATCCCGATCACGTTCGATGAACATATGTAAACTACAGCTCACGTTTTCAGTTCATAATACAAGAGTGGGAAAGCGAATCATATAACAGTAAGTACGTGTGTGAACTTGTATTATTTTATCATACTTTATACTTTCATATTACGTATCGTTCCATAACCTTCAAATTCAAAATTACTAAATTAAACTTTACTTTGTAATTTACCCAAAATGATTTGAAAGGTCTACCCTTTGCCAATATTTCCCCATTTTGATTTCAGCAATGGTGAATAACGCTAATACTTGTTTTCTTCCTAGACTTTGAAGCTTGCTGTGGGGCGCACCAACTTGTAGTGTCATCTGTTCTGATCACTTCTGTTTTTTGTTTAAGTTTCTATTGTTGTTAACACCAAAGTTACAACCTCTAAAGAATAACGCATCTTTTTCAGCAGCGCCATCACATTTTACTTCCATCCGTTTCAAGGAAGGTAATCTTTTACCATGGATTTAGACTTCTGCCATCAGTATCTAATCGTTCGGAAGTAATATTTAGTTTTTTGTAAACAAATCTAGTTTTCTATTGGCAATATCTATTTCTTGGCAACGATATCAAGTGTTGTGACAGCAATATTTAGTCTTTTACAAACAATATATTGTTTTCCAAATCTTTTATAAGTCGATCCTCGAGTGTTCATCCCTCAATATCATCTTAATCATGTGTCAATATATATAGTGATAGGGAACACTTAAAAATCTTTCAGATTTAGGTAGAAATTTAATCCTTCAGATATCTTTTAATGTCTGGGTTGTTTTTAAAGATAACATTGTAATTAATTTCGATTTGTATTTTTTGTATATCGTTGGTGACGTTTTCGATATAAACATTTTTGGAAATCTTTTTTAAAGGGATAAAAAAAAGTAAAAATCGTTATTGATTAAAACCAATTCTTCTTCCATTTCGCTTCCTACTTCTTGCGTGTTGGTAAAACGGAGACAGAAATTGTCCGTCGTCCTCCCCCACTTCATCACCTGTACCCACAGAATGTGACCGCTCTGGGGCCACGCAGTTGTCAACCGCCTTCGAAGGTGCACGGACCCGTTTGTATCCAATTTCCTTTTACTTTGCCGAATTCTCGTCTTAATAAAGAACTTAACTTAACCGTCTCGAATTAAGAGTTGTTTTAGTGAGATTAATTAGTGATTCGCGCAAAGATACCAAATCTAAATCAAAACTTGGACAAGTTTAAAAGGATTAATTCGTTTTTTTGTGTTGTTTTTGGTACTATTCCTAATTAGTATTAATTATCGGAGTGATTGTGTTTCTTTTTTTTTAAACGGGAGTGTTAGAAACTGCTTTTAAAGTATAGTAACGGTGCTAGGCCAAAGAAATCCTACGATAAATGCGGCAAAGGACACGACGGAGCTACACAATGATATCTTTCGTTCATAGATAACGTAAGTAATTTTCGTTTATTAATATTAAACGGAAAAAAGTGAAAGAACCAAAAAATAAAATGTAAACCGTGACTATCTTTAACCCAAATATTCGAAATATTTTGAGGATGCCTCGAGAACCTTCTTGGAAATCGATGGGAAGCCTAAAAAGGCTTCAAATACTCAATATTAAGACAATTAATTTCTAATGGGAAGATTTTGTTTTCTTGGGATTCTATGTTCCATTTTAATTTCATTTTATCACCACACTTGTGTTATGCAAATGAGTACAGAGAATCAGCGACTGGAAAAAGGATGTGCACAACCGGAAATCCTGTTCTGCTGCTGGACATTCGATTCTGTTTCTAGAACTAAATAAAATAAGTTACAAATAAAAGTTTTGTTTTAATTCCGTCGCCATTAGCAAGTGGTGGCCATAAGTCAAGTTTAGACCATCTTATTAGTATCCTAAAAAGATAACTTATCAATTTTTTTTTCCACAAAAAACCACAAAGAAATTTTTTAAAAAACTCGTTATTTTTTAAACTTGTTTTAAATGTATGGAATTTCTCGGAAAACAATTTAAATATAGCACGAAACACGGTGAGTCGTTGCTACGTGTGCTTGTTAAGAGGTTTCTTATCAAAAAAGAACACCACAAACTGTAAAATTACGAAATAAATAAAGCAGACGCAAAAATCACTCGGAGATAAACAAGAAAAAATAATAACACAAAAACAACTTCTTTAGGGAGATGACTTACAATTAGAGAGTTATTACAAAAGATATCGTAATATGTTTTTGCTGAACATCACTAAAAATAGGAATTTTATTTTTTTTTATAAAGAAATATTCCTTATTAATATGCGTTCTAAGATTTACATAACCCAGATTTTTGCCGTTTCGATTTTCGCCCTCTCACTAAAACTGGGTCGCAAAACCGCCGCAGTTGCCGTAGCCGAAGAACTTTATGCAACGAGCAAACTTCTAATTGTCGCCAGACGGCTATAATCGATTCGAAAACGGAAATCGACCGGTTACGAAATAAACGAATAGAAAGCTAACTTTGTACGTTAGCTAACAATCGGTTCAAATTAATCGGAATTATCCCACTTGTAACAAGGAACTCTTAACACACGCGTTATTTCTTAATAAATTAATTATTGAGTAGAAAAATTTTCGACTGATGAATGTGTTCCTTATACATTTACATTCAAATCTCCAAGGTCGCTTGCGAGCGAGGCGCTACAATCTTCCCAAAATTGACGGTGTTAATGTATCAAAACCATCAATCTTGGCGATTTGAGGTAAAATCACTTCTTCTACATCTTGGTAAAGATATAAAGTCTCTTATAAAAATACGTTTTCACTCAAATCGTCGAGGTTGCTTGCGGGTGAAGCGCTAAATTTGATATATCCACACGTAATCGTTCAATTTGGAAGAATCTAGCGCCTCCCCCGGAGCGACCTCGGCGATTTTGAGACTAAATCGTTTTCTACATATCTTGGTAAAAATACAAATCGTCTCATAAGAAGACGTTTAAACTCAAATCGCCGAGGTCGCTTGCAGGCGAGGCGGTAGATTTGATATATCCATACGTAATCATCAGGTTTGAAGACGCTAGCGCCTCGCCCGTAAGCCACCTCGGCGATTTTGAGACTAAATCGTTTTCTATATATCTTGGTAAAGATACAAATCGTCTCATAAGAAGACGTTTACACTTAAATCGCCGAGGTCGCTTGCGGGTGAGGCGCTAGATTTGACATATCCACACGTAATCATCAGGTTGGGAGGACGCTAGCGCCTCGCCCGCAAGCGACCTCAGCGAAGTGAAGATTTCTTATTTAAAAAGTTGTTCGTTTGGTTCACTTTCTAAAACATCAAGTGAACGATATCATCTAATATCGCCGAGGTCGCTTGCGGGCGAGGCGCTAGGTTCTTCCAAATTGAACGATTACGTGTGGATATATCAAATTTAGCGCTTCGCTCGCAAGCAACCTCGGCGATTTGAAGCAAAATCGTTTGTTATGTATAAAGATACATACCCTCTCAGAAAAGACGTTTACTCTCAAATTGTAATCGTTAATGTTGAAAGATTGCAGCGCCTCGCCCGCAAGCGACCTCGGCGATGTGTAGGTAAACAATTTCTTATTCAAGAGTCATATAGATATTAGGCGCTTTAATTAGGCGAATTCGTCGCCTTTCGATATCTATGTATAAGTATCTAAACAATCAACTCTGAGAAATAGTACGAATTTCTTTGGTGTAATACTCAAAGTTGAATAAATAATAATCATACTCACTTATTCCAATGTTAATTGATTCAATGTTGTCAATGATGGTTTCTTCTTAGTTGGTAATAATTCGTGTTTCAGATGATGTACCAATTTCCAATGAAATAATAGAACGCTATAATAATAAAAAATCCAAAGTATTACAAATAATTGAATTTAAGTAATTAATAAAAAATTAATTTTTCTTTGTTAATTTTTTAGATCAAGTTTAAAGAAACTATAAATAGTTAAACAGGTGAATCATTGAACATTTAAAGTTTTGATTATGTTTACAAATAAACGGTTACGCACGTGATGTTATGGAAAATGTCGCAGTTGTTGAACTTAATCGGCGGTTATTGAATTAGCGGAGTCAATGTCGCGATAAACCCGCGACCTTTTTGATATGAGAAAATAAAAAAAAGGATGTTCGATCGTTTTATTAAATTACGGACAAGTACGAAGAACCTTGAAACATTTCCTACGCCTTCGACCAAATCCTAAACACTACATGAGTCCAAATATTTACGTTCGAACCGAAAAGATCCATACGTTTCCCACCGAGTTTTATGGCTAAATTCTAACATTCATCTTAGTTATTTTAATTTTCTTTTCTTTATTTCAAAATCACGTGTTTGGCGTCTCTATTTTCTTTACAATCGCCATTTAACCTTCGCAATTCTTGCAGTTTCTAACTGTTCTGTTACTATGTTAATAAACAATGGGTGATTGTGGGTAAACGGGTGATTTCTTTTTTAAAGTTGTGGAGTCGTCTGGGAGCCTTTAAACAGGTAAAAAAGGATTTCTAAAAATACTTAAAAAAGGGTAAATAGTGTCATAAATGCTTATTGTAATAATTGTTGATTTAAAAAGAAATTCTTTTTCGATTAGGTAATTAAATTTAATAATTATAATCTCTTTCTTCGGTGTAATTGCTTCGAATATCTCCTGTAGAACGTAAACGAGTAGTATCGACCTTGGTTTCGAAAACACCCATCTGACATTTACGATCTCGCCGCAATAAACAAGGCCACGGCGTCTCCATATCTTTCGCCAAGGAGGAGTTCCCCCCGAGACGAATTTATTATCTATTTAAGTATTAAACGGTGGGCGCCAGGAAGTGGAAAACCGAGAACCCAGAAGAAGAAGTTAACGAAGAAGCTGTTTACCAACAGCTCCTTTTTCTTTTTTACCCCTCCTACTTCTTCATCTCGATCAGTTCGTGTTTTATATTTAGCCTCCGTGGGTTTAACAAGCCCGGTTTCCGCCGAAGAGACGCCAATCGAATTTCACTCCTCCGGGGATTGCGACACTTTGGCATTCCCCGGAGGACAACAACATCCGGGTATTTAAAAAAAAAGAAATTCTTTTTATTTACTTAAAAAGACACTTATTAGTATCTTTTAGGTTTCGTTTGAAAATGTTCTTAAGACCCAGATGTAGCTCCGAGCCAACTTTAACATCCTCCGGTTCTATTTAGAACGTCTCGAGCGTGAACGGAATGATGCCAACTGGGCGCATGCTGGGCGCGCTTTCGGTACGACACACGAATGGCGAAGAAGTAGAGTGTTTACACACCGATGAGGTCATTAACACACTGTGGCTACTTTACTTTGTCGATAGTTGCACAACAAGTTAGAAGAACTTTTCTGTACCGACTCAAATCCGTTTAAGTGGAAACGTTTAAATTAAATTAAAGCCCACATCAAACAAAGACCCATATGTTTTCGTCCAATTTATCGCCCGTGGGGATTTGCGGTGAATTTAATAAACCCTAAATTGGATTTTCTTTATTTCCCTTGGGTTGCAATCAAATAGATTACATTTATCGTTACCCCAAGGGGATTTGTTTTATTTTATTTACTTTCATTACAGCAAATGAAGATTAATTTTTTTACTGTCAAATTGACGTTGACGTAATCGACTTTTAGGTTATGTTGAATTTAAACATACATATATACTTCTTTATAAAATTTTAACTTACACAACTAAAACTCTTACCAAATTAAATCTTGATTCTTCTTTTATAATTTAATCAAATTGAAGAAAAAGTAGACACAAACTGAATTAATCGCGTTGAAATTACGATAAAATAATAACTCGTTTATAAGTACTCGTAATAACAAACGTGAAGTTAGCCACTTTACCACATCTTTAAGGTAGTACTCGTAGATGGAGCTAATAGTATAATAATATAATAGTATTTTAGTTTTTGTTATATTTGTTTATTTGAAATAGATGAAATTGTTTTAGTTATCTCAAGAATATCTTAAAAAATTAATATTATTAATTTAATTGATTTTATCACCTGAAATTTTAATCTTCAATTTCTTGTCATTTTGAGGTTCTTGTGTCAAATGTCAAAATGACATTTACGATTTTGTTGTCAAACTAAAATGAATAAAATTTTGTTACAAAGTAAAATTAAAAAGGATTTTTGGAGGAATTGGGTCAAAATTAAAATCTATTTGCTTTGTTTGAGGTCACCGAGAAATTAAAAGTCTTTTTCCAATCGAATAAAGGCCGATTTATCGTCGTCTACGTTAAGCAAGGTTAGAAAACAAGGTTTTCTTCAATTAGAGCAACATCAAAATCATCTGATAAATATTTATGGACAGCTGTACGTGTTTCGCTTCGTCCCTCTTCGTTTTATTCTTCGAAGTCGCTCTCAAAATAAGAAGCTCAAATCTCCTTGTATACCGTTGCAAAGTTAACAAGAAATTGGTGAAGAAGTGATCAAGAAACTGTTTTAGAATTAACTTAAGTGAATTTAAAATCAGCCGAGAATAAAGAAAAATAAAAAAATCTCGTTAAATCCTTAATTGTCGATTTTGTAAGAACGGTTTTTCCTCGAGTTTACCGTTTTTTACGGCTCATTGTTTGATTGCGATACTCGCGCGTCATGCGTTATATAAACGATTTCTTCTTTAAACAATAAATCAGATTTTCTTTTCAAAGTAGTGTTTCATTATTTTTAACTAGCAGGAATGTTGAGTAGATATTTTGAGATAAAATAAGAACCCGTTAATCGGTATGACGACAATGACTTCGGAACAAGAAGGAAGCGGAATCGCGATCGATTTCTCTCTTAAAAAGTAAAACTTGAAAAGAGAAATTTTTCCGTCTCGGTCCGACAACAACGAATCGGTTTCTTCCTGATACCGTTGCAACTTAACATCAAAAGAAACGATTTATCAAACGAAAAGGCCGTTAATCAAAGTTATTTACGAAGAATTTCATTAAAAGGTTACATTTGAAACTGTGCTAAGAAGAAATTTTATAAGGTTTTTAAAAAGCAATAACAATAAACCGGGAGCGGGCTGGTTTCGCTCAAAATCGGTGATTAACTGGCTAATAATTAGCGGATTTGTTTGGGTTTTAGGGAACCTGGCCTATATTAATTAACAGTAATTAAATTGGGATCGTATAAACACGAGATTTTGGCATTAACCGGATCTTATTATTATTTTTTTTAATTTTAATCAAAAAACATCTATTTTATTTTTTAGGTTATCTTTTAATTGTCATTTTTATTGAAACGTCAATAAAATTGCCAACCTAAATTTCATAAAAATCAAAGTTACCAAAATAATTCAATTTTGAGGTTTTAATGGTACTCATAAAATTATTTATGTGGATTAATTAATTAATATAAGCTGATACCAATGTATAATAACATATTAAAATTTAAAAACACAAAGATCTCTCGATACCTTTCCAGGTGTTATTTGGCATCCTTCCAAAAAAACATTTTTTTAATAACCGCTCTCTTATATTTTGCAGGAACCGGACGAGAGCAGACACAGTCAGCGACCGACTCCGGAGCCGTTCAAATCACAACAAAAAAAAATAAAGATAAATTTCAAGATGCAACTGGCTCATCTGGCTCTAGTACTTCTCTCCGTGACATCATCGATTCCCGGTCATCCAACAAAACCGTTGGATGAACGAAGTACCGAGCTTGCATGGCTCATTCTTGTCCAGAACAACGAAACCGATAGTGGACCACGGAGAAGAGTTGTTCCAAAATCGGTGTTTATCGCGCCAAATTTCGATCGACCCTGCCCAAATGGCATGAAAAAAGTTAATGGGGTTTGCAGAACTTCGCACGAATTGAACACCGTGGAACAATTAGATTTTTTGTACCAAAAGTTACAATTACAATTGGGGGGGTCTATCAACGATGGTCCCGCACAATTTCATATTCCAATACCGAGGGAAACTCATGATGATTCTAATTTTGATTCCGGTAAGTTTTCAAAAACCAATTCTACAAAAAAAATCAAAATTTTAATTGAAATTAACTTACCCAGAAGTTTATACGTTAAGTTCATATTATTGTAATTGCGTACCAAATTTGAGGTTGTATACGTGCAACTTAATTTCATCAAGTTGATGAATTTATCATCACTGAAATAAACTTTATCGTCGTTCTCAACTAATTGAGGTTAAAACTGACAGTTCAATTAAAACATAGATAACCTCACTTATTATTTGGCGAAAAGAAAATGTTTGATGAAAATTTTCGGTAAAATTTCAATTTTCCATCTCATCCAAGCCGGAAAATGGAATTTTAATCGATATGTAACGTCTAAATCGAAAATGTTATCCAAAAACTGCGCACTAAAAATTTAAGTTGTCAAAAATTTAATTTGATTTTGTGATGATAGAGGGCTCTAGGTAATTATTACGCAGAAATTAAGATTATAATTATAAATTAATTTATTAAAAATGTCCGCCTATAAATTTAATTCATAAAAAAAATGATGTATTTGAAATATATAGTTGAAATTAATCAAAAATATTAATAAAATAAATTTTGTTTATGTTGGTTATACTTTTAAATACGCGATTGATTCACAATAAATAAATCGAATAATTTAAATTGAGTTAATATTAGATTTAATTCTGCGTATTTTCTTTTTAAATGTGATTAAATCAAATTGATAAATTCAAGTAAATCACTTATGTTATAAATGTGTGGTAGCCCTGTTTTTCAATTTGACAAATTGATTTACATAACTTCACTTTTTTGGTTGTATTTGGATGAAATAAGTAATAATGAATAAATAAATGTTGTTGTAAAATCCATAACGTCCTATAAGATATGAAAATTTGTTTTCAGAGACCACGGAACGATCAATACTTTCACAGATCACAACAACGGAGGTCGGCACAACAACAGACATCACCACCATGACTCCTCCACAGGAATCGACCACAACCAACACACCTACAACCACCGAGTGGTTCACAACCGACAAACAAACCACCACGGAACCGATTTTCACAACGACAACAACGGGAACGACGATAACATCAACGGAAACGATAATAGATTCTACTACGACAGAAATACCCCAATACACGGCAGAAACCGACTCGTTCACAACGTTCACGGTTCCGTTGGTTTATGGAGATGAAAAGACGGATAATTTTGGCTCTCCGATAAGCACGGATTTGTTTGGAATGGTAAACGATAATGATAATTTGCAATATCATGATGTTTTTGCTTCATATAGTAGACCGGAAAGGGATCACCGATACTTTAATCACCGGAATAGGGATAAAAATTTGTGGAAATTTAACCCCCCGTGGCGGGAAACACCTGATAATACCGTTGTTTTAGTTCCGAAGAGGAATAATGACCAGGACAGTTTGTACCGGAGGTTATTACATGAACAATTATCGTATCTTCTTCGAAAGAATAGATGATAACACTAAACTAAATTGAGGAAAAGTAATAAACTGAAAAATTATCGTGTGTAAATATTCACTCGCTATAAATCTAATTGATTACTATTATTATTATTATTACAAATGTTATAATTTGTCTGTATTTATTTATTTATTTGATTAGATCCTTCTATATATATATTTTTTTCAATTTTATTTAATTGTACATATTATCTCCAGTATTTCATGTACTTACTATTTACCATGTTCGAATAAACTTATCCCACAGAGAAGTGCCAAAAAATCACACATCACATCTTTTTTTGTAACTATGTTGTAAGATATCTATGTGTATTATTAATATATTATATGTGTAACAAAGTCTATATATATTTGTAAATGTACAACTTTATTAATTAATAATAAAAATAAACAAATAAAAACATGACTGTTTATTATTATGTCATTATTATTGTTGTTAGATACATTTCAAGTCTTAAAAGAATAGAAAAACTTTTAATTAACTCTTTCCGCTTAAGCGAGTACAAATAACTTAATTATTTGTTAAAAACTATAATTAATTAACTAAACTCCTTCATCGTTTAAATAAGATGTAGCTATTCTTTCGAGATCGTCCAGACTCAAACTTCGCACCTTCTCCTGAAAATCTTTCATAAACTCCTCAATAATCACGTTCGTTTGATCTTCCGTGTAATAATTTTTAAAGAACCTCGCCAAAACCACATTAAGAGACTCCGGTTTCTTAATCACTAAATGTAACTTAGTCCCATCTTTTATTAATGGATAAAAACTGATCGTTTTTTCGTCGAGGAGTGGTTTACCGTACAAAATTAGGGTTTGTTGTGCTGTTGGAACTTTTAGGTCTGTCTCAATTTGTTTCTTAACCTCGCGGATTTTCGTATTTTCGTGCACTTCCATTATACAACCGTCACCTCGTATCACTTTAATGAATATTTTCATTTCAAACGGTTTATTTTAACGAAACTGAATAAGATTTATCTAAAAAAATCTAAATTTGACGTGATATTGAAGTTTAATGTCGCTTGTGTCAAATTATTTTAAGGTTATGTTGGCGTTCGCAACCCGTTTTACACCCAAGCTAAAGTGGTTGCATATTTCGATATTTTTAGGTTAAGTTATTAATAAAAATGTTTAAAAAATATGTTCGATTTATTTCCACGACTTTAATTAAGCAAAAAGTCGTACCGAATAATTTAAAAGGCAAAAAAGTGAGTTCGCAACAATGGTTAACGAGGCAATTAAACGATCCTTATGTGGAAAAAGCGAAAATGATGAATTATAGGTTAGAAAACAAAATTAAAAACTTATTGTTTATATAAATTAATTCTTTTCTAGGTGTAGGAGTGCTTTTAAATTGATCGAAATGAACGATAAATACAATTTTCTTCAACCAAAAAATATAGTTATTGATTGTGGCGCTTCTCCGGGATCTTGGACTCAAGTTGCTATTCACAAAGTTAAATTAAAAAACGAAGGAGTTGTTATTGCCATCGATAAACAACAAATTTACCCAATTGAGGGTGCAATAATATTTGGAAATTCTGATTTTACCAACGCCGAAACTCAAGGGAACATCTTAAAAATTCTTCAAGGTGAAAAAGTGGACGTTGTTTTATCGGATATGGCCCCAAGTGCTACAGGAATTAAAGAAATGGACGATGAGAATATTTTAAAGTTATGTTACAGTGTTTTAAGGTTTGCGATCATTAACGGGAAAAAAGGTGGAACAATTTTGGTTAAGATGTGGCAGTGTGGAGAATCGAAACAATTCGAGAGTGATCTTTTAAAGTTTTACGACAATGTTAAGATAATTAAACCAAAATCAAGCCGGAAAGATTCGAGTGAAATTTATTTTTTAGGGAGAGGTTTTAAAGGGGTTCTAAATCAATAATTTTTTCTAAAATAAAATAAATATTTATTAAATGTTGTTGTTATTTAATAAACATGAATCGTATTTATTATTTTAATTTTTTTCAATTAAATTGAGGTTATGTTGATTAATTGAATTAAGGTTATGTTGATTAATTGATAATTACGTATTTTAATTTTAATAAATTCACATAATATTTAAAATTTACGAGTTAATAACACTTATATTTTGTAATAATGTTTATTAGCGAAATATTTAGCTGCAATTCCAATAAAAATTACAATGGAAATACAAACTAACCTCTTTAACGGCGCGTAATTTCGCTTTTTTAACAAAGTTGTTAAAAAGTTTAATTTGAAATCGTTATAAGGTGGATATCGAGCTGAAGAAATGTTTTCGACGATTGGATTAAAACTTTTTTGAAGACAACTTTTTTTATGTGTAAATGTATCGAAGGAGTATTTTCCGTGATAATGTCCCATTCCGGAATATCCAACTCCACCGAATGGTAACGAAGGTGTAAGGAAATGCATTAATGTATCGTTTATTACGACCCCTCCCGCGGATATTTCCTCCAAGAAGTGATCAATAATTTTTTGGTGTGATGAAAAAATGTATAAAGCTAGAGGTTTTTCTCGGGATTTTATGAATCTGATAGCTTCTTCGTGAGTTCCTACACTAATAATTGGGAGGATTGGCCCAAAAATTTCTTCTTGCATAATCGGATCGGTTGGTTTTACTTCAGTGATGATCGTTGGTGATATAAAATTTTCTGTGGAATCCGTTTCACCACCGATAACAATGTTTGTGTTTTTTATTAAATTAGTGAGCCTCTCAAACTGTTTGTTATTAATTATTCTGCAATAATCAGGCGATTGTTTCGGGTTTTCCCCATAAAATTCTTTCAAAACTTTTTTAGAAATCTCCAAAAAATTCTTTTCCACTTCTTTATTACACAAGATATAATCTGGAGCTATACAAGTTTGTCCAGCATTAACACATTTACCCCACAAAATTCTTTTAACTGTTAGTTCCATGTTAACAGCATCATCAATATAAACAGGACTTTTTCCACCTAACTCTAACGTAACGGGGGTTAAGTGCTTATTTGCGGCTGCATGAACGATTCGACCAACAACTGTTGAGCCGGTATAAAAGATATAATCAAATCTTTCTTCTAAAAGAGCCGTCGTTTCGGGGATACCCCCACAAACGACTTTGTAGCATTCATAATCGAGATATTTCGGGATTAATCTTTCAAAAATCTTGGCTGACTCAGCGGCTACTTCAGATGGTTTTAAAATAACGCAATTCCCAGCCGCGATAGCGCCGATTGCGGGTGCCCCTAAGAGTTGCATCGGATAATTCCAAGTCCCCACAATCAAAACAACCCCATAAGGTTCCTTATAAATGTAAACACCATCGAATAAATTAGCCACATCTTTAGTTGGGGTGTCAGGTTTCGACCATTTCTCAACATTCATTAAAAACTCTTTTATCTCATTTGTAACAACGTTAATCTCACCTGTAAGTGATTCTTGTTTGCATTTTGATAAATCTTTTTTTAGAGCTTCCAAAATATCTTCTGTATTCTCTTCATATAATCTTAAAAGTCCTTTTAACGCTTTTATTCGAAACGAAATCGGCTTTGTTTTTCCATTTTCAAACACTTTTCTTGTTGATTCCACCAATTCTTTATAAGACATTGTTGTTTTTCTGTGAATAATACATAAATTAATGAGGAACAGCTGGTATAAAATCGATAAATACCTTTTTCGCGTCTAATACGTGTAACTTCAACACAAGTACCACTTTCTATCTACAAATCCAAAGGCACTTTGTACAAATTACGTCAAATAGATAAGAAATCGGTGTGAAAACTTGCCGTTTCTAAACGAATACCGAAACGTTGAACAATACCATGCGAAGTATTTAAGGGAATCAATTGAGTTCGTGTTAAATTAAAGGTCATTGCTTTGTTATGTCTGGTTTTTGTTCTTTATTTGGAATGAGGTGAAGAAGTAGGTTAAGAAATTATGAATTAATAAAATCTTAACTTATAATATTTCTGTATTTACCAAGTTTTTTTACAAACAATTTATTAACAATATACGCAAAAAACTGCTGTTCATTAAATCATTTAATATGTAAATTATCTGCATAATGAGTTTGTCATGTTTTTGCATTAATTAAATATGTTACTTTTTTTAAATGAATTCTTTCAGGTGTTATCTATAAAGGTTTCTACATAAATATTTGTACGTTAAAACGGTTTAAAATGTAAGTTGTACAAAAAATAAAATTCTTAAATTAATTGTGGTATTACCCCTAACAGATAGGCAACAATGTGTACATACACAAGGACAATAATGATTAATTTTTAATGTTAAATTACTAGTAAATTTAAGGTATTTCTCCTACTGGTCGAGTTTTGGAGTTCGAACTTCCGTTCATATCATTCTCCAGTAACATAGTTTCTTTTGATTCTATTTCTTATTATATGATATCTTCCCTCTTCAGTTCCATCAAACTGCCCCGTGGTTTGTTAATTTATGAATTCACACAGTAACAAATGTGTATATGGACAAATGTTTACATATAAAACGATATTATTAATTTCTCATATTGTATATCATATCGTAGATGTTGTTGGTCTCTTTTCTATACAGGTTTTAGTTTATTCGAAATTTCTGCGATTAGAGGACGAGATTTTAACTTAAACCTCAAAGTGACATAACCTTAAAAACAACATAACCTAAAAAGCTGTAACAAAAATTTTTTAATTTAATATTTAGCTAAATATTCAACAATTTTTTTAATAATTGATATTTCGTGCAATTTTTTAAGCGAAATCATTAAAAAATAATTTAATTTTGTAAATAATTAAATAAGAACTTAAATATCAATGAATCCTTTTCAAAGGATTGCTGTCTCATCTAGGGTTTTTTTGAAATTTTTAGTAACTAGAATAAATTAAAAAGTCACAAAAAATTTTTTCCTGGTGCCTAAAATCGCATTAAATGAATAATAGCGCAATAGAAACGTATTTTGTTTGATTTTTCGATTTAATTACACCTTTTCTTGTAATAATTTTATGAATAAATACATCAGTTAGGTTTAAATGTCAAAAAACTGTTTAATTTAGACGATTGTCATTAGATGGAGTGACCAACTATGAATGAAAATAAATAATTTTAAATTGTAAAATTAATTAAATTTGATTTATTTTTAATATCGTTATTAAATAATATTTTTTAAACATTTATTTTTAATTGAACCTAACTGGCTTCATAAAAAAATTAACCTACTCCACCGCCTTATTTGGCATTATAACCTCAAAGAAAAATGGTTACCTTTTTTGACAAATGTCATTTTTGACAGTTAAAGTTCTTAATAATTTAACTTCAAAGTCGTTTAACTTAACTTTTTATTGACTTATTTCTAATTATTTACAGCAAAAGCGTGTAAATAAATCGAAAATATGTTAATACGTCGAGTATTATCCTCAATAATGTTGAGGTAAATTGTTTTTAATACTTGACTTTGATACTAAAATAATAATAATCTTGTTATTGTTTCCGTATAATCACACAGAATGAGACGACGAGTTTTTATCGTTTCTCTTAAGGTTCCTTTTGTATGTTTTTCTCGTGATCGAGATATGTATACCGTCATAACTCGACCATTTCGAGTACGCAAACTCAATTTTATCTAATTATAGCTGCGCACTAACACTATAAATCGCCAGTTTGGTGTTTGTACACATTGGACTTGGTTGACTTGGTTTCTTTGTTACAGAAAATCCAATTTAAAAGTAATCTTAAAGGCGCGTCTACATTTGGAGCAACTTGGAACCGTCGTCATCGAAAGAAAGCAAGTTTTGGGACTAATTGAGTTTAAACCGTCAATAAGTAATAATTGGAATAAAATAAAATCGTTTATAAACATAATTTTTAATTTAATTTTTAGTAACCATGACGAAGACGCCCCAAGAAATTGTGAAATCAGCAAGAGAAGCGTTTGATTCTGGTAAAACGATACCGTTGGAGTTCCGTGAGAAGCAACTAAAAAGTTTGTTAAGGATGTATGAAGAAAACGAGGAGGAGATGTTGGAGGCGCTAAAGCAAGACTTAAATAAAAGTCGGATGGAGGCTACTTTAACGGAAATAAGTATTTTAAAGATGGATATTAAGGAGCAAATAACAAATTTAAAGGAGTGGGCGAAGCCGGAAAAGCCCCCAAAACCCGTTGCGAACATAATGGATGAAGCTTTGATTTATAAAGATCCTTATGGTGTTGTTCTTGTAATAAGCGCTTGGAATTATCCAATTAATTTGGCATTTCTCCCGGTAACTGGCGCAATCGCCGCTGGAAACTGTGTAATCATAAAGCCATCAGAAATATCTCCAGCATCAGCCGAATTTGTCCGAAAAACGCTTCCAAAATACTTAGATAACGAGTGTTATCAAGTCATGTGCGGCGGAGTACCTGAAACATCGCAACTTTTAAAAGAAAAATTCGATTACATCTTTTTCACAGGAAGTACTCACATTGGCAAAATAGTTTACGCCGCGGCCAACGAGAATTTAACCCCGGTTACTTTAGAATTAGGCGGAAAAAGTCCCGTTTTTATCGATGACGATACAAATATCGATGTGGCAACTCGAAGAATTTTGTGGGGGAAATGCATGAATGCTGGACAAACTTGTATAGCCCCGGATTATATTTTGTGCTCAAAAAAGACTCAAGATAAATTCGTAGAAACCGCCAAAAAGATTTTGAAGGAATGGTACGGGGATAACCCGCAAAAATCCGACGATCTTTGCAGGATCGTAAGCGATCAACACTTTAAAAGAGTTTCAAAGTATTTAAAAGATAACGGGAAAATTGCGACTGGGGGGAAATGCGACGCTGATGATAAATTTGTCGAACCAACGATTTTAATTGATGTTAAACCGAACGATCCCGTTATGCAAGATGAAATTTTCGGCCCAATTCTCCCAATTTTAACCGTACACGATTCGAAGGAAGCGATCGATTTTATTAGGCAACGAGAAAAGCCCCTCGCGATGTATATTTTCTCAGAAAACCGACCAACGATCGATAAATTTCTTCGAAACACTTCATCCGGTGGGGTTTGCGTCAATGATACTTTAATGCATCTCGGGCTTTCAACGCTTCCATTTGGAGGAGTTGGTTCCAGCGGAATGGGCCATTACCATGGAAAATATACATTCGATACTTTTGTACACAGAAAAAGTATCTTGGTGAAAAATTTAAACATGATTGGGGAGAAGATCTTAAGCAGCAGATACCCACCTTATTCTCAATCAAAATTAAAGCGACTCCAAATGGCATTGGAGAAAACCCAATTCGAAATCAAATTAAAATATGTTCCTTATATGTTAATTTTTGGGTTGGGGCTGATCACTTCGTTTTTAGCTAGGTATTTTGTTGAAAAACAGAAATTCCGTTCTTAATAAAATTAATTTCTTGCATTTATTTACTTTTATTCATCGTTTTGTAGTCAAAAATATAGGTTTATGTTTATAAATGTCTTTTTTTTTCTTTTTAATTACCCATTTATTACATACAGACCTTGACTTGGGATTACGTACAACAACGGAAATGTTGATGAATGCACACATTCCGTGTTGTGGCATTACTCAGCAATTTTAGTGATTGATAATGGTTTAAAACCTCTTATTTACTAAAAACAATTTAAGATAACGATGTTATTTACAGAGATCAATTTAAATAATCATAACAACAAAGTTTATTAAAATTAAGAAGTAATTTTTAGCACGATCACTCTGCATTAAATTTTCTTTAAAATGCTTTTTATTTTAATGCGATATCTCATTTCATTCTTGAGATACAATTTGTTTAATTTCAATTGTAAATATAATTTGATTTAAAAATTTTGGAATGTAGGCAACCCAAATTACTTCATTGTAATTTAAGTTCTTTTTTAATTATTTACAAAATTAAATTATTTTATAATGATTTCGCTAAAAAATTGCATGAGAAATCAATTATTAAAAAAATGGTTGAATATTTAGCTAAATATTAAATTGAAAAATTTTAGTTACAGCTTCTTAGGTTATGTTATTTTTAAGGTTATGTCATTTTGAAGTTTGAAGCATAAGTTAAAATGTCGTCCTCTAATCGTAGAAATTTACAATAAACTGAAACCTGCTATCCCAAACCTGTATGGAAAGGAGACTAACAATATCCACGGTATGGAATATAATACCAGAACATTTTCACCGTCAATGCAAGCATTTATTCCTCGATCATGCACAGATCTTAAATCGGTTGTTGAAGTATTAATATTAATGAGTACGATGGATAAAAAATTGGATAACAAGAAAACGTTGAGGTACATTTACACTTTATTATTATTATTATAAACATCAAAGTCAAGTATTAAAAACAATTTACTTCGATTTCATTGGAGATAATACTCGATGTATTAACACTTTTTGATTTATTTATACGCTTTTGCTGTAAATAATTATAAATAACTCGATAAAAAGTTAAATTACGTGACTTTGAAGTTAAATTAAGAACTTTAATTGTCAAAAAAGATAACAATTTCTCTTGAGGTTATAATGCCAAATAGGGCAGTGAAGTAGGTTAATTTTTTTATGAAGCCAGTTAGGTTCAATTAAAAATAAATGTTTAAAATAATATTGTTTAATAACGATATTAAAAATCAAATTTAATTAATTTTACAATTTAAAATTATTTATTTTCATACATAGTTGGTGACTCCATCTAATGACAACCGCCTGAATTAAACCATTTTTTGACATTTAAACTCAAGTAATGTATTTATTCATAAAATTATTATAAAAAAAGGTGTAATTAAACAATTAAACCGAAAAATCAAACTAAATACAATTTTGTTTACGTCTTTATTTATTTGACGTGATTTTAGGCACCAGGAAAAGATTTGTTGTGACTTTTTAACTTATTCTAGTTACTAAAAATATCAAAAAAAAACCCTAGACGATAATAGACAAGGTTAAAAAAACTGTCATTGCGTTCAACACAAATAATTTGAAATATCAATAAACTGAAATAGCAGGTTTTAATGCGATATCTCATTTAATTATTGAGATACAACTTTTTTAATTTCCATTATAACTATATTTTAAATTAAAACTTTTTGAATGTAGGCAACCCAAATTACGTCATTGTTATTTAAGTTATTTTTTAATAATTTATACATTACATACATTTACACTTTATTATTATTTAATCTTACATTTTAACATTTAAACTGTCTTCTTCGCCGCTTAATCCCGGTCCTAAAGCATTCCTCAATTTCTCCCAAAATTGTTTTTGTTTATTTTCCGTAGGATCCCATTGTAAATAAATCCTGGTTTTCATAAGATACTTCAACATCGGGCTTATATTACCACTCGAAATATTCCCCAATTTAATCATAATCAAGGAATCATTAACACATTCCCCTCGCTCGTTCTCAAAAAATAACCGATGATTTTCAGCAACCTGAGCTTCCCAAGTGCACCACTGCGATTTAATGTAAGAATTGCTGATGATCAACAAGGTTTTTCTGCTTCTCGAAAGGCACTCCAAAACCGATTCGGATATGATGGTCCCGAGTTCGAAATCTCTCTCGTAGACGCATAATTTAAGAAACGGCTCGTAATTCTCCAACATGCTAACTAATCTTATAACGAAATTTCTGTCTTCGGTGCTGTAAGAAACAAAACCGTCGTATAAATAATTTGTGTGCCCTTTGATGCTATCTCGTTTTTTATTAAATTGGGTTCTTTGTGCGATGGATAATTTCGTTAAGAAGATCCAATATCGAATGTGCCATCGATAAATATAACAAAGAATTAGAGTTATTAAAAAGAGGATTCCGCAAATTAATGAAGGTACTAAATATCTTGTAATTTTTATTTCTTTTTCTTTTTGACACGTTTTATGATTATTTTGGTAATATTCAACGATCGTTGTGTTTTCAGCCGACTCCGGTAATAAACAAAAAGTGCTCGTTTGGTTTAAAAGATTTAAAATGTGATTGATTTCCCCGCGAGGTAAAGAATCGAAAGGTTCGATTAATTGGTCGCAATCGCAATGAAAAGGGTTATTTGAGAAATCAACGAGTTTGAAATGAGAAATATCTTTTAGCATAGCCTCGGTTAAATATGTAAATGGGTTTCTTGAGATTGTTAAATTTTCTAATGCGGTTTTAATAAATAATCGATTATGCCAGGTTTTTAATCGGTTATCACTTAGATTTAAAACTTTTAATGTTCTCAAAGAAAATATAAAATCGGGGGTTATCTCGGAAAGAAAATTTTTTCGGAGATTTAATGTTTCTAGTGACGTCAATTCTCCAAAGATGTCGTTACTAGGGAAATATTCAATCTTGCAACTTTCCAAGGATAAATATTTTAGGTTAATTAACCCGGTGAAAATTTCTTTAACCCAAGATCTTTGTGGGAAATGATTATCCCCTAAGTTTAAATATTCCAAATTTGAGAGTTCGTAAAAAGCGTTGTCGGATATCAACATGATGTTTGAATGGAAAAGATTTAATTTTTTTAGATTTATTGGCCCGAATAAACTTCTATTATAAATCCGTCTAACGTTATTATAGCTTAAATCGAGCATTTTTAATAAAGTCATGTTATCAAATTTACTCCGATTTTCTTCCAATGTGAAATAAGATTTTCCAGGTTTTGTGTTTCCAGAGATATCGAGCACCTCCAAAGTAGGTATCAAAACACCTTTAGGAGCCGTAACCATTTTATTGTCTTTTAAATGCAATTGCTTTAAATTCTTGAAATTAATAAAAGCATTTTCTTTAATATCAGTAATCATACAATCCTCTAAAATTAAACTTTCAATATTAGGCATCTCAGGAAAGGTGTTTTCATCGATCGTGTGGAATTGATTCCTGTTTAAAATTAGCTCAGTTATCGTTGTGTTTGCGATTATATTAAAGAGTTTGTTGGGGACTCGCGTTTTAAATCCCCATCCCTTTAAATTTAGGGACATCAAAGGGATTTTGTGTTCACCTATTTTTTTTAAAACATCAATCATGTTTGTTTCCTCCACCAAGGTTTCACTAACACTCAAATTTTTTAAGTTTTTTAAATAAATAAACGCCTCGGGGTGAATATAATCGATTTGGGAGTCATCGAAAAATATATTTCCCACTCCGCTTCCATTTAAATTCGCAAAATCTTCCTTTTCGACCCTTCGACAATCCAATTCCGATAAAATAATCGTTGCTAAATTCGGCATAAACGGTGCTTTAAACGCCACTGAAGCATCTTTGATTTCATTAAACCCATTATGAATTAATCGCAACGTCACCAAACTGTTTAATCCTTCAAAAACGTCTTCGCCCAAACTCATCAATAAGGGGTTGAAAGAAATCGATAAAACCTCCAATCTATTTAAATCCTTTAAAGCTCCAATTTGAATCCATGTTAACTTCATGTTATCTTCAATGTATAACCCGGTTATGTGCAATAAATTGTCGAAATCGCCGGGTAAAATCTCATTAATTCCTGATTCGTTTATTTTGAAGCATTTTAATGATGTCCGGAAGTATTTAGGGAAGGTTTCGCACCTAAAATAATAACAAATTGCATAGGCATCAATGTATTCCCTACATTTGCATTGACCACGATAAAAAGCCTTTTGTTTTATTGCACTATCATCTTCGGATCCGCACGATTTCCCCAGTTGAAACAACAACGACACCAAAAATGTTGTTACGATCGACATAATTTATTTTTAAAATTGCCTCCATCTAAAGCAAAAAATTAATTTAATTAATTATGAGGTAAAGGAAATAGAAACACCTTAACTTCGTGTTTAAACGCGGAGGATGTTAAAAAAAGAAATTCTCAGTGCACATGTGGTACGGTTTAATTATGGAATTAGTGTAACATCTGTTTAAATGTTTGTGTTATTAAAAGAGATGGATTGGATGAAAAACTTGAAGTCGTTATTACTGTATTCGCTATTAGAATTGCATGATATGGGACATCAACCCAGATTTTTTCTTAATTACACCTAAAATAACATACATTATTTTTAAAAAAATGTTAAATATTATTATTTTGTTTTCTATTGTGGGTTAACGACGTTAAAGTTTTTTTTTTCTATGCGATAACATATAAATGCGTCTACATATTTTAAATATTTACTTAGATTTCGTAGTAAACGAAAAATTTTTACTTTTGAGGTTAAAACAAGTTATTTATTTATGTATAAAAATTAAAATAACTTACCTAACAATTTAAATAGAACGTTTCTAAATTAAAACGCATTTATCAAGCGTGAAATTAACCATCTAAGCTCTTCGCCGTTCACTTACTGTTTGTGCGGTTTGTGCTTACATTTTCAAAACTTGTAACTTCAACCTCAAAGCTTTATATGTCATGCGCACTCAACTTAAGTTGGTAACAATGCGCACTAATCTTTTTCATTCAATTTTCTTAATTTAAAGATGATTAAAAATTTAATACAGAGAGAGGACAATATTACTAAAATTAATAATTAATAACATTTATTATCTAATTTTATCAACAATATTGAAGCAATCGATTAGAATTAATTGAAGTGTCAAACGTATTACTTAATTAGAGTTATTATGGCTAGATGGAGTGAGCAATTGTTTAAATTTAAATGAACTTTTATTTTATTTTATTAATTTGATATTAATTTATTTAGTACTTTAGATAAAGTGTGTTTTAATGAAATAAATTCGTTACACTAAAGTCCCTAGATTATCAAAGTATCGCGGTTCATGAACCCTGTGTATTCGAACCATTCAAGCCAAAATGGCGGTTTGACAGCTTGTCACCGCTTATTTATAAAAAGTTGCACGTGTAATAATAATGCCGTCTTGTTGCCTTTGGAGTTACAAAAATAGCAGTAAGAAGGGCTTTCGAGTCCTCAGAGTACTACGAGAAAAGACAAGAGAGGAAATTTGGCGTAATTTTATCAACAGAACGACTTAACAGAGCGATCAGTTCTTTTTGAGGTTAGTTTATTGTTAATAAAAGATCAAAAAGCTTAATAAAACCGTCGTGTAGAAGAAGCAATAGTGGAAAAACAACCCATCCATTAAATTAGAGTAAAATGAAATTGTGAAGGACAACTTTAAAGGGTTATACTAAAGTCCCTAGATTTACAAAGTACCGCGGTTCATGAAGCCTGTTTTCGAGCCAAAATGGCGGTTTGACTGGGTTTGACAGCTTGTCACTGCATCTCACCACTTATTTTTTTATATTTCCCGCTTGACTTTCGAGCCATAATGGCGTCAAACCGCGGTACTTTGTAAATCTAGGGACTTTAACTGCAAGAGCGCCATCTTTGAGACAATAGCCAAAACTTTATTATTGTTTAAAAATCAATATAAATTACTAAACTTAAACTGCAAATAAACTATGAAATAGGTAAATCCATGTGAGGTGATCTAAAATTAATTATTAACACATTAAAATTGCAACACATTTCGAAGCTCACATTTACGATGAGTTTCCTTGATACTAATATTCGTCCGAAATAATAAGCTTCAACCGGTTGATGGTTTATACTTATAATTAATTGTTCCAACTAAAATAAATAATGAATTGTATTTATAAATTAAATAATGTTTCTATGAATACTTGTTGTATTTCTTCGAATGATAGTTTCGTTAAAGTTAAGTGATATATATTTCCAATTAAATTTAAACTCTGAAAAGAAAAAAAAAACCTTTTTATTAACTAAAATTAAATTAAAACATTTTACCTTTTCATGAAGATCTTCAGCAACTAACATATAAATTATTGCCACTATAGCATCAATAAACCAAAACGTAATCAATATGAATAAAGAGAGGTGAAAATTAGTTTCAATCATTTCATTAATACCACAAAAACCGATTATGACAATCATTGAAGCAGCGGGAACGTATACACAGAAAATAATCGATATAAATTTGTTAAAAAAGCTTTGGTTGTCGAAAATATTTTTATAAATAAACCTAATTTGACGAAAATTCAAATTAATTCTTTCATTTTCACGTATTTTTGCGTCTATTTTTGAGAGGATATTTTTGTAGAGATAAGAAATAGCTGCGACATGAACATCGATATAACTTATTCCTACAAAAACGATAAGTTGAAATATAAAATCAGCTGAGATAATTAATAAAGCGTTCTGAAGATTTTCGATTGTTGCGCAAGCAATTAAAGTGCTTATTGGTACCCATATTGTTATTAAAATCACGTAAACCATCGATTTTCTTCTAGCAGTTTTTATCAGATTCTTCGATGTGGTATTTTCTGTTTGAATGAAACAATTGTGAAAATCTAATAAAGTTTTTATTACCAATGAGGCAACTTTTCGATAGGAAATCACAACGAAACAATATGTAGTCAATACGGGCCATACAATTATCACAAAACTCAATGAAATCATAACGTCGAATATATTTGTTTGCTCGAAAACATGTATCGTTACCTTCATTGCCGCTAATAATAGATATAAAACCACAAATATCGCTATTAAGACACTTAATTTGGATACTTTGTAAGTAAATCGACTTTCAGAGTGATTATGGTGATTACAATGGAAATTAACGGGTATTAAACCGATGAAACAACAAAGTTTTAATATCGGTTTATAAGCACAACAAACACAATCGCCTTTATATCGATGAAATAGTAATATTTGAGAATCCATACTAAACTTGTGTTGGGTAAAACGGAAAATGATTGTATCATTTCTAGAACGGTTTTAATGTTTAATAGATAGTTGATTACGAAAAATTAATCGATATATATATTATTAAACGTAAATTATTATTTATATCTCCTTAATAATGTAAGGCTTGATTTCTCTGGATTTTGGTACCTTGCTCGAAGTACTCAATTAAATGTTTGGGTGCTTTAAATGGTAATTAATCTGTTCATTATTACTGTTCTTCCAGCTCCTCGTTCTGAGGATCTCCTAAGCATCCTTGGTTATATTGTCTCCGCATTTTGCTCTTGCTTCCCATTTGCACCAGCTAGGGATAGGAGAGGCTAAGTGACAACTGCCTTTAGAGCAGCCCGACTAATAATTTTAATATTTAATTTGCAATTTCATAAAAAATCAATAAAGTAAACATTATTTCAAAAATGAAACCTGTCAATTAATAACATAACCTCAAATTTTATTAGAACTAAAAACAATTTAAATAAATTTCGATCAAACTTAATTTTGATATAAAAACCTAATAAATTTTTAATTTTAATAAAAAAAACAACCAAAACATGTTAAAAAAACTTTCACAAATCAATCCTCGTCCTCATTCTCGATAATTTCCTTAATGCTTTCGTTTTCGCAATGTTCATTCTTTCCGGCAATACTTCGGATACGCTCCATAACCGAATTGGTCATTTGATTTAACTGTCGGATTTGTTTTAAATCGCCAACGACGCTTTGTATGAACGGAGCCAAAGTATCCCAATCGATTTCCGGGGGATTTGTCCCATCGCAAATGTAGATGTCCTCCATCGAAAAACCCCGTTGAAATTTTTGTTTGATGAGTTCCTTTTCTTGCGGACCATCCTGTTTCTCGGAGAAATCATCGTCTTCCGTATCTTTAGCAATTGTCGTCGTTTGACTATCCGCATCCACGCTTGATTCCTCACACATGGCTGAATCGTCTTGTTCAGTTATAAACGTGTTTAAACGTGTCATTAACTCGTTTAGATCTTGGTGAATCTTATCGAGTTCTTTACGTTTCGTTTCGTAGATTTGTTCGAGTTGAACAGATGCCTGATCACGCTCTTCTTGTTTATTCTAATTAGTTTAAAGATATAAATGATATTTATTATTAAGATTAATAAAGAAAACTTACAGGTTCGATTTGGTCTTCCATTATTTTTTTAATTAATTACTATTCCTTATATTAAAGTTGTCATTTTGTTGAGGTTTTGACAATTTCTTTTATTTTTTGACAAATTTTTCGTTATGGTTACGTTAAAAAAAGAGTAATAATTGTTAAATAAATAATGAAAATAAATGATTATTTTATACTCTATTTCTAAATTCCTCAAATTGAAGCGCCATAAAATTTAAAACAAATAAGTCATTAAATTCGTAACTACAGTTTACTTAAAACATAGACATAAAGTAAAACTTACTTTTCTTAAAAATATTTCAATATAAACCATAAAAATTAATATATCTAGAGATTATTTTAGTTGCTAATTTGTGTTGGCAGCTCTGACTCAAAATGTCATAACAAAATAGGGTTATGTAAAAACTGTATCACTAATTAAAATTTTTATTAAGTTTTAATCTCAATATTAAAGTGTAGAAACCTGAACCAATTTTTCTATACTTAAACGGTCTTCTTCGATTTTTTGCACTATACAAAAATCAGATTAGCTTTTTATACATTTAATTTAAAATAAATTTACCAAACCAAAAAAGCACCGTACATTGTGGAAACCCCTAATTTCCAGAAATCTTTAAATAAATAATGAAAATAAACGATTATTTTAGTTCTAAAAGCATTTGAGGTTATGTTGTTGGAAATTGACAAGTTTGACGTTTAAATGTTAGGTTAATTAATTAGGAAAGATTAATTTATTAATAAATTAATTTTCGCTTTAAAAAAAGTTACTTTTACTAAATATTTCAAATTAAACCATAAATATTAATAAATTTAATCAAATTAATGTATGTAGAGATTATTTTAGTTGCTAATTTGGGTTGGTAGCTCTGATGAATTATACATTAAATTTTAATTAAAAAAAAACTTACCAAACTCCCTGAAAAAACACCGTACATTGTGGAAACCCCGAATTTCCAGAAATCGTTAAATAAATAATGAAAATAAATGATTATTTTAGTTCTAAAAGCATTTGAGGTTATGTTGTTGGAAATTGACAAGTTTGACGTTTAAATTTTAGGTTAGCTGATATGAAAAGATTAATTTATTAACAAATTAATTTTCGCTTTAAAAAGACTTACTTTTCTTAAAAATATTTCACATTAAACCATAAAAATTATTAAATGTAATCAAATTTAATAGAGATTACTTTAGTTGCTAATTTGGGTTGGTAGCTCTGACTCAATATGTCATAGCAAAATAAGGTTATGTAAAAACTCTTAATTAAAATTATGTTTTTTATTAAGTTTTAAAGTTAATATTGAGTGTAGAAACCTGAACCAATCTTTCTATATTTAAAGGGTCTTCTTCGATTCCTTGCACTATACAAAAACCAAATTAGTTTATTATACATTTAATTTAAAAAAAAACTTACCAAACTCCCTGAAAAAACACAGTACTTTGTGGAAACCCAGAATTTCCAGAAATCGTCTCCAAATAAACGTCGAAATAAGCACAAAGATGACGAATTTGAATCACCAATAAACAACTCAACCCTTTCCACTTTTCATTAATAACATTCAAAGCTCTCTCCATATCGCGCACCTCCGTTGAATTCCCACTATGATATTCACCTAAATACTTAACCGTTAACGAAAATATAGGTGCTTGGATGGGATAATTATTTTTTAAAACAACAACAGCTTGAAGGCTAGCTTTTGGGCGAGTTATAACCAAATTATAAAACAAATCCGTCGATTTGACAATCTCCGCTTCGATTAAATTTTGCGCGGAAGGCAACTGACAAAAACTTTGCCAATTCGACGAGGTCCATTTTGTTAAGGTAGAAATGGCGTTTTTCGGGTGATCAATTCCTTCGGGTATTTGCGGAATCAAATTCGATTCCAATTGTTGCAGATAATCCGCTAAAATTATCCTCGATTTTAACCGTTTATAAAGAGTTTTTAAAGCTAATTCAACGCTCGATGGGTTTGGCTTTGAGATAGGTTTCTAAAATTAAAAAAAAAATTGTTTAAAAATATAATTTGAGGTTATGTATCAAAATACTTCGGCGTTTAAAAAATCGTAACCGCAAATTTTTTGGGCCCATTCATAAACGTAACCTAATTTTGGCACCAAACCAGCGTAAGAACCCAATCCGACTCTTTGTAATTGATAGGAATTACTTGTGTTTGGACTTTCTGTACCGATATCGTTCTCAAATAACTCATTTAAGATTGATTCGCCCATTAATACTTCTCTGGCTGTGTGAGCTACATTAAAAATTAAATAATTTATTTTTTTTGGCGATTTTTTTTATTACCTGTGACCCCGTTTGGAACATCCATTGACGAATTAACCGTAACGATTCCTAATTGTGGTCGAAACACAAATTTAACTTTTAAAACATATTCAGGTTTAACGACGATTGTAATTCGAACAGATAAAGGATGTCCTTCCAAAAGAACTTTTTTCTTCTCCTCATATCTATCAATCATACTCTGTTTTCTATGCCGCCTCTTTTTGATGACTTCAACAACCTCCTCCACCTCCGTTTCTTCTTGTTCATCGTCAATTTCGACTTTTCCATCAATATTTTGATGCGTTTCCTTCCACTGATTGGCTTCTTCTACATCTCCAAGCACCTCAACGGTCATATCAATGTTATAAACTTGTTTATAAGCGTCTGATAACGCGTATAATAAGTATAAAGGTTCTGGGAGAAGTCTTGCGATTTTATGTTCAGCTTGAATTTTATCGAGGGGCAAACCAAAATATTCTTGTAATGGTTTACTCGCATCTAAAACAGCGGTAAGTTTTGGCCCAATTCCATCTAATCGATTCTTTAATTCAATGATATCTCCACCAAGGGACATTTTCTCATCCTCTAATGTGTTACAAAGTTGAGCTTGTGCTTTCCGTTGGGTTAATTCCCACTCTAACATTGCTAAATGTAATTGGTGTTTTAACGAATCGGATAATTCTTGTTCTTGGTTAAACTGGGACGTCACCGATTCAGGGGCAACCTCCAAGAAGCGTTCGATTGATATTAATTCGATGTTTTCGTCTTTCGACCTATTAAAATTCATCAAATTAATTAAAATAATCGTTTAAATTGCGAATTAATTACTTAAATTGTTTGCACTTAGTGAATTCAGATGCCAGATGAGCGGATTCGTACAATAAATTGTGATATTGCAAGTTGGTGCTATCAACTTTTTGCTTCTCCACATTTAAAGTCTCTCGAGCTGAGATTGTTCGGAACTTATCGAGGCGATTTAACTTTTTTAAAGTCGCTATCATTACGCAGCAATCGGTCAAACCTTGTTGGAGCATTAATTTAGACTAAAAAAAAATTTATTAATGGATTAAAATAAATTAATACTATTTATTTAACCTCCGTGGAATTTTCACGTTTTAAATTGATCGCGTTTGATAGAAATTTGCGAATATTTTGGCACAATTCGAAGTAAATCGTTGCGTCTTCTTCGGCCGATCTTTGTATTGACTCTTTTTCTTCGAAATCAATCACTTTCTGGTAAAAAAAATTTTTTTTGATGTAAACATAACCTAAAAATTAAATTTTTTTGAATTATTGTTCTAATTACCGTGTAAATATCTCCATCGGCATCACCATCCCCGGCGGTCGCTGTTTTTCGTCGCTTTTTAATGTTGGGTGATTCTTTAACCATGTTTATTAAGCAATATTAATCTAAATTTTAAAGAAAATATTTTTTAGGTTAAGTTTGGTTTTAATGTGTTGACGTAAAAATAATACGGGTTTATAATGATAGATGGCGTAATTGATGAAATTAAAAATAAAGTATTTTTTATTATTTTAACATATATTTTGCATTTATATATGTTAACTTAATTAACGGTAATATGTTATAATCAAAAATGCACTGACAAAAAAATTGTGTGATTGTAAACATAACCTCAAAACTTAATTTTTAAAATTACGATTTTAATTACCGTGTAATGCAAATATTTCCATTAGCATCATATTTTTGGTCGTTTTGTTAATATTGGGTGATTCTTTAACCATGTTTATTAATCAATATTGATTTAAATTGTAATGGAAATATTTTTAGGTTAAGTGTGTTAACCTATAAATTAGTATGTATTTATGATGATAGATGGCGCAATTAATTATAAACAATAAGAAATAAAGTATTTTTAATTATAATTAAATAGTAACAAAGTTGCAAAAATTCATTAAAAACAAATTTATTTAACACGGACAATAACTGTTTATGTAAAACATTTAAGCAGTCTTAAAAAATAATAATAAAAATTGGTGTGTACGAAGAAACAAAGTATAATTTATTTACTTGAAATTGTAACGGAAAAAATTAAATACACAATACAGTTCATGACTGAACTGCCACGCTACGGATAGATAATTGAAAATTACAAAAAATAGACAGAACCTAGCTTACGAAACAAAGAAATACTATGTTGAGGTTTCCAGGCAGTTTGGACACAAACCATATTTCGCATTTATGTATGTACAAATTGATCCAAAGAATACCAGAAATCGTTTTAAGAGCAACCTTATTTTATACAAGATTTGTTTTTAATAATGGGATGATGAGGAGTACTTTGTGGATGAAAAGGGGGAAAGAAACATCGACGACGCGCTATACGGATACAGTTGTGGTTTTATTCTTTCCATTTTTTGTTAACTTTATCTCCATTAACTTAAACTACGTTCAATATATGTTATATTTATTTATTTTTTTAAATTGTAGTAGATTTGGTCAACGCCGGACCTAGTGTAGAAAAAAAGTCGTATCTTAGGGCCGCCGTTCGTTTACTTTTATCTTTCATTATAATAATACATACTTCAAGGACACGTGTTAACATACATTTTTAATTATTAATGTCATCTGTACCTTCTTTTCTTGGGGGAATAGCAAAATAAGATTATACATTAAATAAAAGGAAAAAATACAAAGTTGATGACATTTTTTTGGAGGGAAAGGGACTTAAAATGAAAGAATTATAGAAAAAAAAACACAGGAGGAGTAATTAGGGACGATTTTACGAACAACGACGACAACGACGGCGAATATAACCCTTAAGCTTCTATGATATTGCGTTCGCATCGGTTCCGAAATCTAAATAATCAAAAAAAATCCGCTTCTTGTGCCACGCGCGTATTTTGCTTAAAGGAAGTAATCGGGTGTCCTGCGGGTTACATGAGGTTCTCCACGACGCGGTGCCGGATCAAACTGCAAACTATTCAACAAAAAATTAATTTTAAATCAATTAATTAATAATAATACTTACAATGAGTATTTTAATGCATCATCTAATTCCATAATAGCAGCTTGATTTCCACAACGATAGCAATAATTAGGAGCACTAAAAATGGTGACAACATTTCGATCATGACACCAATTATAACCCTCCATAACGAGCTGGTGGGCGCGCGATACAAGTGTTAACCCATTTGAATGGTTGAAAGTTTCCGATATGTCCTGACCGAAGGTGTAACCGGCTCCTCTTGGTGATATACCCCAACCGCCACGATCGTCGGGATCAGACCATAATAAATCACACATTGGACCTTCATGTGGTACCTCTTGCAAACGATCAAGCGCTCGAATGTGATCCAAAGTGTCAATGCTAGGACTGAGTCCACCGTGCAAGCAAAATATTTGCCCATCAACGAGAGCTGTTAATGGCAGATAATCGAAAAGGTCGGTAAAAAATTTCCACACATTCGCGTTGCCGTATTTGCGCAGGCACTCGTCGTAAAATCCATAAACTTGGGTGATTTGACGCGATTCGTGGTTTCCTCTCAAGATGGTTATACGTTCTTTATAACGGACTTTAAGGGCGACCAAAAGCGTCACCGTTTCTACTGAATAATAACCACGGTCGACGTAGTCTCCCATAAATAAATAATTGGTGTCCGGGCTGCGTCCTCCTATTCTAAACAACTCCATTAAATCATGGAACTGACCATGTACATCTCCGCAAACGGTCACAGGACATTTCACTTCTTGTACATTCGATTCTTTTGCTAAAATTTCTTTTGCCTAATAACATTTAAATCAAATTTAAAATATAATTAAGTCAATGTCAAATTTGACGTATATATAATTCATTTGTTTTTTTTTTTTTTTTTCAAAGCTTCCCTTATAATTTGTTTAAACATGAATAAAATAATATCAATAATGAGTAATCGTGACGAAAAGTGATGACTCAATAAATACATCGTTAAAAAGAGAATTTTAATTTACCTTATCACATAATGTTTTGACTTGATTCTCCGTTAATTGCTTGCAGTCATTTAACTGTTCAATCCACTGGTCGAGCTCCTTCCAAATCGCTTTTTCGTCCATTATCTGCGGCTTTTGAATATGTAAATATAGGCGTTAGCAGATCTAACGCATAAGTTTTTAAATGGATAACGATTGGCGGTTCGAGACCGTTTAAATAACTCTCGAGAATTCTCGTCTAACTCACAGGATACAACAACTTCAAAATGGCGTCCCGCAGAAGGCCGCCGATGACAAGCGCGCGACGCGACCGCCCTCTAACCGCCGTTATCGATAAACACTAAATGGCTAGTCGGAGGCGGGGATTTTTAAAATTGTAATAAAAAAAATTCTTTTAATCCTCTCACCTTCGTTACCGCCCCGTCCGGATGCGTAACGTTCGCCTTCATTTTCAACGTTTGATTCGTGCTCTTCATTTTCACTTTCGTCCCACTTTAGTTTGATTAATTAATGAAAAACTACTTCATGTGAATGAAAATTTTGTTGTCATATCTGGAGTAATTTGAAACCGACGTTTTTGACGTTTCATAGAAATCTCGATCTAATTTATTTATAAATAATTGAAATAATTTAATAAAATCATTTTCTATTTAAACAATTCAAATAAATTAAAATTCGAATCAATTCTACTAAATAAGTGTCTACCGAGTGACCAACAATCTATTTTTCACCAACCCAACCCAACTGTCAATTCACGAAACTTCCTTTTTCCTTTCTGCTTCGCACTTTCAACGTGTACGCATCGTTATAATCCGTTACAAAGATGAACGAGACTCTTCAATTGAAAGGAACCCTCCTCGGTCATAATGGATGGGTTACGCAAATTGCAACTAATCCCAAATACCCCGACATGATTTTATCCGCCTCCAGAGGTACGTTATTATAGGTTATGTCACTATTTTTTATAAATCGATTTTAATCGCCTTTAAAAGGGGTTATCCCCAATTAATTTTTATTGATGTTAATCAAATTTGCTTTATTTTCACTCATTATGATGATATTTTTTTGATAATAACACGATTTCGATGAGGGTTTTGTCGATATGAGACATAACCTCGAAAATTAACTGTCATTTTATAAATCAATTTTAATAAACTTTAATTAAAAGTGGTGTTCTAAAGTAATTATTAATGATATGAATCATTTTCACTTATTATGATGATATTTTTTATAAAAACCTGATTTCTATGAGGGTTTTGCGGATATGGGACTGAACATAACCTCAAAAATTAAAATTGTCATTTTTAAAAATTTCGCATAAATTAATGAAGTTTTGTGTTTAAGATAAAACCTTAATCGTTTGGAAACTGACGAGGGATGAGTCCCAATACGGAGTTCCCGAAAAACGTCTTTATGGCCATTCCCATTTCATCTCTGATGTTGTGTTATCGAGCGATGGAAATTATGCTTTATCTGGGTCTTGGGATAAAACCCTCCGGTTGTGGGATTTGGCAGCGGGGAAAACAACGCGTCGTTTTGAAGATCACACCAAGGTTTGAGGATATTTTTTTAAATTTTTTTTTGTAATAATGACCCCAAATTTAAAACAGCTAGAAGAGATAAAATGATGATCAACCCTTTCATCTTGTAAGTAGATGATTATGGATTTAAAATCGCGGAGTTATTTGTTAAAAATCGTTTTTTTCTTTGTTATTAATATAATTTTCTTAATTTAGGATGTATTGAGTGTGGCTTTCTCTGTTGATAATCGCCAAATCGTTTCTGGATCACGAGACAAGACAATTAAACTTTGGAACACTTTGGCTGAGTGTAAATATACGATTCAAGATGAAGGACACACCGATTGGGTTTCTTGCGTTCGTTTCTCCCCGAATCACTCCAACCCAATTATTGTCTCTGCTGGTTGGGATCGGATGGTTAAAGTGTGGAATTTAACCAATTGCCGGCTAAAAATTAATCACTCTGGACACACTGGTTACTTAAACACGGTCACTGTTTCCCCCGATGGATCTTTATGCGCCAGTGGTGGCAAAGATTGCAAAGCAATGCTTTGGGATCTTAATGATGGAAAACATTTACACACTTTAGATCATAACGATATCATCACAGCATTGTGTTTCTCACCAAATAGGTTTGTTTTAAAAACTATTCAATTGAAGCTTATTAACACATTATTTATGCATTAGATATTGGTTATGTGCTGCTTTTGGGCCATCTATTCGAATTTGGGACTTGGAAAGTAAAGAAATGGTTGAAGAACTTAAACCGGAAGTTGTCTCACAATTGAAAGCAGAACCACCACAGTGCTTATCACTGGCTTGGTCTACCGATGGACAAACTTTGTTTGCTGGATATTCTGATAATACCATCCGAGTATGGCAAGTCAGTATATCAGCCCGTTAAAAAAATATTTTATATTTTGACTTATATTTAATATAAGAAATTAAAATCAATAAAGGGTTTAACCTTAATTTATTGTGTTTATCTTAAAAAGTAATTTTTGTAAATATATTTTTAATTAATAAAAAACCAATTATTTTTAAATCATTTATTTCCTTATTAACATCTTAAAACTCATTTACGCTGAGCTTGCTGAGCCCTGGCGTTATCCCTTCCTGCGAAGTTACGTTGTGGAGGAGTTCTCTTTTTCCTCTCTTCCTTGCTCCTATTTCTTACAACTTTGCTGTGGATAGCGCAAGAGACACAATAATGAAGTTTCGCGTACAATTTCGGCAAAACATAAGCTAAAAACACCACAATTAATTTGTCATAATCAAAATTAAAAAACCAACTTACATCCATAAACCGAAGCTTCAGTAATATCCCTAACAGCAGCGGCTTCAACGATATTACGAATAACAAACTTCTTAATCGCTTTATCTTTAGGTACGCATCGGGCACAATTGGTACAACGCACAGGTTTTACGTGCCCCCTTCCGTGTTTAGCACGTCCTCCATTACGCCTTTTACAAGTCTAAATTAAAAAAGAAATTGATGAATAAATGACATGTGGGGTAAAAGTGAGGTTATGTACTTTTAGGTGTTATTATTTTGGGAGATATTTCATTAAAAACATTTTTAATTTACAATTAATGATTGATTAATCAAGAAAAAACGTTTAATATTAAGTAAGATTGTTTAGAATTGATTAAAACTTACCATTTTTAACGAGAGACCGTCACAAAGCGGAAACGCAAGCGAAAAGAAATCGAGATAACATAAATGTTGACATTACCGACTCATACCAACCTTAGTTTAATTAAAAAGTTTAAAAGGAGGGAATTTTAAAAATGGAATGGAAATTACATAACTTAATAAGTTGTGTAATTCATTTCCTCTTTACGTTTGATCACAAAAAAACACTTCCGCTATTTATTTCCTCCGATTAGAAAGGAGAAAGTTTCCGGTGCGTTTATAAAATAGGGAAATATCGATCAGATTTCAATCATTTCTGTTTTTGTCTTTATAATCAAAGCATTTAAAATGAGATTGGTAAGTTTTTAATTAGATTTATTCATTTTATACTTTCAATTTATTTTTAGACCATTATAATCCTCGTAATTATCGTTGGTGTTAGTTTTGCATTCCCTGCTAATAATAATAAAGGAAACTTTAGAACTACTTATAAAGAGAAGAGAATCGTGGAGGATGTGGTCGATTTTGGGGCTCATACAGGACCTAAAGGGTCTTTTGAATGGTTTGCGAGTTATAACGCTTAAAGTAAAGACTGATTAATTAATTTATGATTATCTTTATGTTGTTATTTGTATTATTTTATAATTAATTAAATTTAAGGTTGGTTAAGTATTAAGTTGTTCTTTAAATGTTATTAACCTCAAAACTTTTTTTGTCTCAAACTCCTTATTCTCTTTTTGGGGAGAATTTTAGATTGATTTTCGTCAATTAAGTATAATTCAACATAATAAAAACGTTTTTATATACAAATGCTTAAAAAATAGTTTAAAGTTTTTAATATCATTTGAATTAATTCAATTTAAATAATCCACCAAAAGATGGCGCCACTATTTTTTATTAATTAATGATTTGAATTAATCGATTTTAATTCATTTTTATTTAATAATTTAAAACTCAAATCTGTGTTTGTTTAAATTGGATTTAATTAAATTTATTTTAATAAAAAGATTTTTTTAAATAATAATTGTGCCATCTACCGGAAATTAACGAAAAGAATTTGTTTATTAAAAATTGGATAAATTATACTTAATATTGAATTAATTATTTAATTGATGAGGGTGTTTTGAAATATTTTATTATAGATAATTTAAAACGTTTTCGATTTTTATTAAAAGATTACAGGACTTAATTTTATCGATTGACAGTTCGAGTTGGTTCGAGTTGAGATGATCGTAATGGCGTAGTGTACCCCAAAAAATGCTTTTGTTGAGTTGGACTTGAAATTGAGCTTTTTTGCGCCTTATTCTCATCATCTGGTTTTGTTGACACAGTGTTCGAAGTGTGGGTATACTTTTCAAGCGGTAATTGTGTAGGTAAGTCCACGATTAAAGCCGCAACGATGGATAACGTGTAGGTAGATTATAACGATTTGAATACTGTGTTATTATTAAAAAAGGGGCCACGCCATCGGGATGTCCGACCCTTTGGACCCCGTGCAACAAAGATCCAACAGTCCCGAGCAACAATCCAACAATAATACCTCCTCGGGAAAGGTGACTTTAACGGATACAGAAGTAGCCGGGTTATCTTCAGCGGAATTCCTCGCAAATTGGAGAAAACAGGAGGGATACATTTCTAGTTTAGAGCAGCGTTTGGCTCACCAGGAAGGTAGATGATTTTTTGTTATTTTAGTTTGGTGCCAAAGTGATTAAAAAAAAAAATAATCAGTAATCAAAACAAGTAAGCAAAAAAAATATAAATAAAAGAAATAAAGTGTTGGTGGGTTGTGTTCTTCCGGGTTCAATCAAGTGCGGTAACTTGCAGGCGAGCTTTTGGAGTATCGACAAATTGCTGAAAGAGCCAAGGTCCAACTCGGAGAGTCACAACAACGAGAGAAGGCGCTAATTAGGAGACTCGCAGCTAAGGAACAGGAGGCACATGACTACGTGGTTAGTACGTTTAACGGAATCCGTGAGAAGTGGTTCAAATGTTCAAATGTTCTTTTACAACACGTGCCGTTGACACATCGTTGATAGAGTGCGCAGTACTTCCGGTTTGTGGCGTTTATTCGCGTTTTATCGTCCTTCTTTGTGAATTTCAGTGCAACAGTTAAACATTAAACGACTCTTAATTTTTTATTTCGATCTCGATAAGGATTTTTATATCAATGTCTTTTAAGAGTTGTATTTAAAAAAAAAATAATAATTGTAAAATGGTTAAAAGAGATTTATTTAGGATTAAAATGAATGTTGAATAAGGTACAATTCATGGAATTCTACCTTCACTTAATAAATCTCAATTTTGATCTTTCGATTTTTTTGTACAGTTAAATATTAAGGTAAAAATGAAATGAAATTTTGTAAATCAACACTAAGTGAAAGAAGATCTTGAACATTTGAATCAAAACTTTATTTTGTTATTAAGTGATTTGTTAAAGTAAAATTTTATTTAAATCGAATTTATTTAAATCGTTAACTTTGTGTTTCTCTTTGTTTTGTGGGGTCCTCAATTCAGTGTCAAGTCACCGAACTGAAAAGTGTTCAGGTACCGACAAATTCGACGCTGCGTTCGACCCTTTTGGATCCATCGGTCAACACGCTCCTCCAATTGCTAAGAAATGAACTTCAAGCGACGAAATCGCGTCTTGAAGATACCCAAAATGAGCTTGCTGCTTGGAAATTCACGCCGGACTCGAATACCGGGAAACGATTGATGGCGAAATGTCGCCTTTTATATCAGGAGAACGAAGAGTTGGGGAAAATTACAAGTTCCGGTCGCGTCGCAAAATTAGAAAGCGATTTCGCGCTTCAAAAAAGTTTTTCCGAGGAGGTGCGAAAATCGCAACTCGAATTGGACAGTTTTTTAGCGGATTTAGATGAGGACGTGGAGGGTATGCAGAGTACTATTTTGTATCTACAGGGGGAATTGAAAAGGGCACACGATGCGACTCAAAGTTTACAAAGGGAGAACGCGGGGTTGAGGCAGAACGGTGGTCGGGCGAACGGTGAGAGTGTTAATTGTGACCAAGAACGGACCGACTCCGACTCGGACGGACATCGGACTAGGGTTAAAAGAGTTCGACGATCTTCCGTGCTCAGCATTGACTATGAAGAAGACACTCTTATTAATGCCAATGGAGATGTTGCAATGTCCGATGCTGAGTAGTTTTCATTTTGATTTTTTTTTATCACTTTCTCGGTTTTTATTTAAGAACAATTAATCATGGTGATTTCATTAATAATTCTGCAAGTTCTTTTTTAACGTTAAAATAGAAACATAACTTGCATAATTATTGATAAAATAAAAGTTAAGTTAATAAAAGCTAATTGTTTCCTTTTTTAATGAAACATGGAATTTTTTTAAAGATAAAAAACAGTATAATTATATATATAAAAAAAATAATAAATTTGTAAATACGAAAATATAGTTAAAACTACATAAATCTTCATTTTGATTTTCGGAGGACTCGATTCTGTCTCGTTATCCTTTATATTTAATTTAAAAAAAGAAAAGTGTTAGAGATACATCTATTTTACCCCGATTTTATTTAATTATTAATAATTACTCATTCGAACAAACTTATTAATTATTAATTATTATTTTCTCCGATCCTTTGATACGTAAAGAAATTTAAAAAGAAATAAATAAAATAATTGAATAAGTTATTCTTTTATTCTTTGCTAATCATTAATTTTTATTGTAACAAATTTCTTTTTCTTTAAACATTTTTTTACAGTGCAAATTTGAAATAATAACTAAACATAGAGAAGAGCCACCATCTATTTTTACCCATTTCAGCCTCCAACGGCGCACTTGAGGCAATTAAGATCTAAATTGGTCATCTTGACAAAGACACGAGCCCGCGTTTACAAACTTAACTCCATTCAATCGGGTTAAATCGTCGTGTTATGAACGTTTTCGAACCATTTTAATTCAACTTAAAAGGTCAGTATTAAATTGTTTTTTATTATTATTAAAAATCGTCACATTTTTTAAATTATTTTCTTTATTATTGATAGTTTAAAATCTCCTTTTGCTACTAATTATAGAATATTGATTTCCTTGGCAAATTGTAGTTAACACCGCTTCACTTCTCATTTAATTGGTAGGCGAATGTAGAAGGTTGTTTTATCCTGTTAGAACCAAATCAGTTGAGTACCAACATTGGAATTGAAAGAAATGAGGCACAAATTGGTTTAGTTGTGAATATCTTGAGCTTATTTCTGAAGGAGTGTTGTTCTTGGTGTATTAGTTAGAGTACTTATGGAGTATTTTTAAGACTAGGTATGTTGCATTATAATAAATTAATAACAACGAAGACCAATTAAATGTGTTGGATAATCTTAATGCTATCCAGAGTCTATTACCAAAATAGTTGGTGCAGAGGATGATATACTGTATCTAGCTCATTGTTTGTGTCATTGCCAACCACACCAGCTGTTTCAAACCGTTGTAGTTGATTTCCTCCCTCTATTAGAGATCCAAAGATTGCAATATTGTATTATTAAACGCACTTTGAATGTCTAAGAATGCACAAAGGGATAGTTACTAGAAGACTAAATATTTTAGGTCTTGATAAGTTTCGGGTATTTTTGCTAGATGATGCTGTTGAAAAACCAAACGCAATTTGCAGAACACAAGATATTTGTTGGCAAAAGAATTGCTGAGAGAAAACTAGACATTACTTCTATAAGACTAAATACTGCTGATAAAAGGCAAAATATAGCCTGTTGATGCAAATTTCTATACTACTTATACATTTCTAGATGGTAGTAGCAGAAGACCGTGGTTGGGGTAATATCAGACATTTTAGCATTGTTAAACGTAATAAATAGCACGCTCCACATTAAATCAAAGTCACCTCGTTTAAAACAGATAGAAGAAGTAATCTCCAAGTATCACGAACACCAAGATCAGAAGAAGCTTGATTTAAATCGAGAATACTTCAAGACTTCGATAGATATTGTATTCTTTTGGTCGTAGCTGGTAAGGATTTTTCTTGCACTCTTCCATCAACATAGTATCGAGCTTTCTGCAAACAGTATCTAAAGCTTTAGATACTTTGTGAAAGCAGTAGGATTATGTAATATTTATTTAATAAATTCCGAAATTTCAAATTTCCCTCCTAATTAGAATATTCAAAATGGCCTCCTTAACACCCTTTAAGTTGCGGGAATACAACTTTATCACTATATATATTATATGGGAGTTAAAAAAAGTGATAATTCCCCCTTTTGTTAATAAATCCGAAATAAAATGCGATTTTTTCGTGTTTCTATAAAAATAGAGTTTCTGACCTAATCAAAGACAACCTAAATCGACGTAAGCGACGTCTCTTCTAAGTTCAGAATTCCCGGGTTTCCCCAGTATTGATCTTTTAAGGTTTTACTCCTACCTCTCGTTCTGCGATTCATTAAAATCCGGTGTTTATAAAAGTAGTTTTCCCCCATTCGAAAAAATAAATGGTATCGAAAAAACAAATTGGGGGTGCGTTTCAATTCTTGCGGATCGTTTAAGGTAGATCTTTGAGGAGATTAAATGAATTGTTTAAGTGAACGTTTAGATATTATTTTTAAAACTGTGACGATTTTTAGCTTTTTTTCGAAAAAAAAGCTTCACAAATAACATAATGGATGGATTTAAATTTGAAAACGAACAAAAATGGACTATTACAGTGCGACGGGTTCGTGCGTTGAGACCGTGAGGGCCCTCCATCAAACCATTGGCAGTCTCAAATCGGCTTTGGAACGAAGTCGGAATGAAATATTAGATTTAAAGTCAAGAAGTTTTTATCCGCAAAGTGAACAGAATAATTTGAGAGATAAACAATTAACGGCGTCGAAGATTGTATCGTTTTCAAACGTTTTTGATGGGGACAAACAGGTAAGCTCTTCAAATAGCTTACGTTTACAACAAAAATCGAAAGTTTCGAGGAAGTTGCCTAGATTTAAAGAAGAAATTGTTGATTCAAAATCAAAAGTGATTTGTAGTGAAAATAGCAATTACGATAACGCCAAAAATGTGGTCGATGTTGATAAAGCGAAACATTTAGGGCATGTCATCGAAGCTGCTATCAATAAAATAAGCGAAAATCATAATAAAAGAATTAAAAAGAACGCTAAAAGGCTAAAAAATAATACAAAAAAGAATGAGCAAGATGAACAAGTGTTGTGTGGTGATAAAGAAGTTAAAAATAAAAAACAAATAGAATTTTCAGTCGAGATTAGCAAGAAACCATCTAAACCAATTAACATTAATATCCTTACTAAGTACAAGAAGAAAAAGACTAAAATGGATGAAGATAAAAGTGAAAAATTAGAAGAACACAACTTAAACGATGAAGAAGAAAACATAAATATTGTACCACCTTTAGATTTAACAAACTTAAATGATACTGAACAAGAAGTTGACGATATAGAATTAATATTCACAACGGAAGAAACGAAGGACACCGATTTTAAAGAAGAATTAGTTCCAATCGACACTTTGTTACAATGTCCCCTATCTGATTATGATGAAAAATTATCTGGAGATACATCCGATCGTGAATTAGAAGACGACGTTTTCAACGATAACGAAACAAACCAAGAAGAAAACATTCACGGTTCAAAATCGGACAACTCAATCCACGATGGGAAAAGTTTAAAAAGTTATTATTCGTTTCAAGATTCAAGCTTTGAGAATAAATCGTTGGAGAAAGATGAAAGTTTCGATCGGTTTGAAGAAAAAGTTAGAATCGTAGAGACGGACATTTCAAAAATTGGGATTCAAGATAGCGAGTATAACTTGGGGAGGAGAAATACGTGTCCTAATCCGATACAATATCGACCGATTATGCATCGGGAAGCTTTGGGAAGGGGTGCAAGAAAAAATCGACCTTTTGGGGTTCACGTAAATGTCAGGAAAGATTCTGAGGCGCAAACTAATATTTCTGCTATTCCGGGATCTTCGTGGAGGTCAGAGAGTAGTTTAGCACATAAAGTAAGATTTTTTTAAAATAATTTAAAAAAAATTACCTCTTATTTTTGATTTGACGTTTAAACGTCAAATTTTTTATTTTAGGTTAAAATCGGTGATAATTTTACAACTTTACCATCAAAATTTCCTCACCCAGGATCGAGGTTACAACTTTCAGAGAAAACCGTAGAAGCCCGACGAGTTTTACTCTCCGATATTGGTTTTACGAGTATGGTGCCTGAATTATCTCGATCTGCTGATCATTTATGTCCGCCTGTTACAAGGAATGCCCCCCCGACATCATACGGACAATTTTTGCGTACAACAGATCTTTATTCTCCAGCTTATACAGTAAATTAATTATTAATAAATTAAAATTGATCGTAATTATTCTTTTTTTGGTAGCAAACTCAGAGATATTTATGGACAACCACAACTCCTTCGGATCGGAGTAATTCCCAATCGAGGTATTCGAGCCAATTCATTTCTTCACCTCCTATTATTACCAGAAGATGTTCTGCGCCGGTTTCCCCATCGAAGCGACCTTTAAAAATGGCCACTTCAAAGGTTAGGTTTGCGAATGGTTCGCTTCCGGAGTTACGATCGGATTGGACTAATGTGGATAGTGGTGAATCAACCGATAGCCTCGTAGAGGAGGCTGAACATTATTTAAGGAGATCAATTGATTGTTTAGCACCGTGTCATAACGTTTGTTTCAAAAGTGATTCTTCAAAAACTATTAGGAGGGCTTCAGCCCCTGAACCATGTAGAGATAACGTACCCCCTCAAGGTTGGCAACCGTTTTTACCAAGAATTCCGCGCGATCTCCACTTAGATTACTGGGTAAAAGTAATCACTGCGGAAGGTCGAGTTCGAGGAGGAAGAGTTCGTTATGTAGGGCCTCTTTTGAATCAATCTGATATGTTTATCGGGGTGCAATTAAGCACCCCTGATGGGCAATCAGATGGGACGCACAATAATAGGAGATATTTTAATTGGTAAATATTTTCTTTTAATTTAACGCTTTTTATGAATATTTTTTTGCAGCGAACCTTACCATGGTTTATTCATCCCCTTCAAAAAGATAATTATGGGTTGGAGGCCCTGAAATTGTTATTGAAATCTAAATTTATCCAACGTTTTTTGAAAGAAATTAATATTAAAGAAAATTGGCCTAGATTTATGGCACGAACAGTATTTATTCTGTAATATCTTATGGGGTAACAAAAAAGACAAAAAAAAATGTTACAATCTTTTAGTCAATGTATGTACCATAAAATAAATGCTTGTAAAGGGAACGCAAAAGAAATAAACTATCTAGAAGTAAAAATACATTTTTTTATAATCCAAAAACTTTGACGTTTATGGCGACATCTGTATGTCAATATAAATAATGATTTTATTTTATTATTTAAAATTAATATTGGTATATTTTGGTTTATTAATAAATGTTGAGATAAAAATTAATTTAAATTTGTAATAAAATGTTTTTATTGGGTATTTAATAAGATAAGATAAAGCATAACAAATACAACCGCCATCTATGTAAATACCCTCTAAGCTTGTTTCACGTGTAGTTATGCAACCAGCACAACAACCTTGTCTAATTAAAAACCACGGTTAATCAATGTACAATCAATGAGAACGGCCAATAATCGCGTAATAACCAGGAATTGCCTCGAAATAATCGCAACAAAAATGCGTAAAATCCGTTGTAATTCTACTGATTAGTCAAGCGTGAGTGTTTTGGTTTGTTTGGAGGTTATAGAATCACAACAAAAATGACCATGGAAGAGGCCAAGAACAAACCAAAAAAGACCACGATTAGTAAACTCTTACTACCAAAGGTACCGAATAAAGTAGGAGCTTTAAATCGAAGTCGTAGCACGAATGTAAAACCGTCTAGTCCGTGTATGAGACGATTAACCCGTTCGAATTCGGCTTCACCCTCCGATACTGAAGATATTTGCCGAAGACCCCTTAATTTGGATCTGTCTCATTTAAAATCGAAGGAAACGGAGAAAGTTGAGCGTATTTTCGGGGAGAAAACCGAAGAATATTTTTTGTATAGTCCCAAATTGGATAAGGTAAAAAAATGATTAATTCTATTATGATTATGTTAAAGTTTATTAATTTTAGCCTGGAATACAATTGAGAAGATGTAGTAGCGCTGATGAAAATATTAATCGTACTATAACACCGGAATTTGATGAAAAAAAATTTATAGAAAAATGTGTTTCGCACGAAACTGGGTTAAATGAAGATATTGCAGGGATGAATAGTTTAGCAGCACAAGGTTTGATGGCCGCACAAGTTTTACATTTAATCCCAACGGTTAAAGCACGCCAACGAAATTTTTTACATGGAAAAATCGGGGCCCATTCGCTTTTAGGACCATCGGAATTAGATCGGAATTTACCAAACAGAACGATTCATATTTTCGTTGGCACTTGGAATATGAACGGACAAACACCTCCAAAGTAAATAAGGCTTTAAAATAAACAATTTTATTTTTAAATTTATTTTTTGTAGAGAAATGAATGATTTTGTTTTACCAATCGGAATGGAACACGTCCCCGATATTCTCGCTTTTGGTACTCAGGAATCATGTTCGGAGCGTTTCGAATGGGAAGTTTGTTTACAAGAAACTATCGGACCATCCCACGTTCTATTTCATTCGATTTCGTTAGGTTAGAAATTAAAAATTAAAAATAAATAAATTAATTTCGCTGTTTTAGGTACTCTTCATTTAGCGATTTTTCTTCGTCGCGATTTAATATGGTATTGTTCCGTGCCAGAAGAATCCTACATATCAGTTCGACCAGGAACTGCTTTTCGCACAAAAGGAGCCGTTGCGTGTTCTTTTATGGTGTTTGGAACTTCGTTTCTTTTCGTTAACACCCACTTAACAGCGCATCAAGAAAAAGTTAAAGAACGGGTATCAGACGTGAAAAAAATCGTCAATTCTCTCGATTTACCAAAAAATCTCATCGTTAAAAACAAGGTCAAAGATGTTACTCAAAATTTCGATTACGTATTTTGGGCTGGAGATTTAAATTTTCGATTGGCAACCCCTCGAACTAAAGTGCTTGAGTGGTTATCAAAAACGAGTTTCCCACTTCCGGCTCATTTACCGCACGGATGTTTACATCACGATCAGTTATGTTCGGTTTTAGCTGATGGAGCTGCTTTTAGAGGATTTTCTGAGGCACAAATAACATTTCCACCTACTTATAAGGTAAAAAAATTTTAGGTTAATGTCAAAAATACATCACATTTTTGATAAGTTTAATATTTATTTTTGAATTTTTAATCATTGAGTGCCAACAATAATTGATTTTAAGCGATAAATCGATTCCTAAGAAACTATTTTAGGTTTTTTTTAAGCTTGAAACGAAATTTTAATGATAATTAATGAATTGAAGAAAAGTGTGAAGTTGGTTTCTAAACTAATTATTAAAAATTATTAATTAATTTAATACCTTTAAACAAATATTTTTAATTAATTTTTAAATTTATTTATTTTTAATTTAATCAATTTAATTATTTTTAAATCAAATTTTATCATTTTATAAATAATCTTCTCGCGCAAAAAGTAGCGCCATCTATCAAAATTGTTTCAAATTTATTGAGACGCCATTTTAATATAAACAATTTTTTTAGGTTATTTAAATTTTATTTTATTTTTTATTAATTTCAGTATGACCCAGGAACTCAAAACTTTGATACATCATCAAAACAACGTACCCCTGCGTATACTGATCGGATTTTATATAAACATCGTCACTCAAGAAGACTTAGCGGTCAGCCAGAAACTCCTCCGATTGAGTGTTTGGTGTACGATTCAGTTCCTTCGATTGTTACTTCGGATCATAAGCCGGTTTGGGGGGTTTTTCGGGCTCACGTTCGCCCCGGTTTAGACACGTAAGATTATTTTTACTCAAATTATTTTTTTTAATGATGCATCAATTTTAAAATAGGATTCCATTGGCTGCTGGGTTATTTAACCGAGAGATTTACTTGGAGGGTATTCGTAGAAGAGCCACGGCTTTGGGAGATGCTTCAGATGCATCAACGGTATGTGCAATACAATAATTTATTTCTCTAGTCTCAAAAATTTGTTAGAATGTGTACTAGTCAAGTTAAACCAAATAAGTTTTAATCTAACCGGTAAATATCTAGTCCAAATGATGGTTGTGGTTAGAACCAATTTTATTTTTGTACCCTTTAGATATTAATTATTTTTTCTTGGAAGATACCGAATCTATCCGTCGAGAACGTGCAAATTTTAACGGTTAACTATATTCGAGCTTAAATGAGTATTATTCTTGCTATCCGTCTACAATAATTAAATAGTTTTAGATTAATTGAATATACAAGGTGGTATATGTAACCTTAAATGTGCCTCTCTATATCTTATTCTTTATTTATTGATTTATTTCTCGAATTTTATTGAAAAAAAAACACAATGTGATCCTCTTATGTGTATCAAAAAATATATAATAATGACATAATGCCTTCCTATTGTCTAGAAATAATAACGATGTTCAATATAATTTAATTTTATTGAACACCAGTAATATTATAGTTAATCAATATATACACTGATAAAATTGATAAAAATATATACTTTTCTGAACGAAAAAAGAGATCTTAATTTCTCATCTTTAATAAGACTTTCCCAACATTTCTCCTCTCACCTAGAACCTTTGATGCTTGCACAACCTCTTCCATTGGCCAAATCGAATCAATTTTGGGCTTAATCTCACCATTTTTATACAAATCAAAAATAACATTCAAACATTCCAACACTCTTTTTCGATTCTCCCGCACTAAATTTCCTGTGTGTAACCCACACACACTGTTCGATTTATTCATTAAACTCGATAATTGAAAAGATAACACCCCCACGAATAGTTTTAATTTAGAAAATAACGAAATAGAATTGGGGTTATTTATCATCGAATTTGCGCTTAACACAACGATTTTTCCAAAAAACTTTAAAACTTTACACCCTTCATTAAGCCAAGATCCCGATTCATTATCCAAAATTAAATCGAATCCTTCAGGACAATCCTTTTTCGCCTCATTTAAATAATCACTTTCGTTGTTATAAACGAAATTAACCCCGTTTTGTTGCACTTCTTGTTCTTTTCCTTTTGATACCGTCCCGTATATCGTGACGTTTTTGACAGTCCTTGCTAATTGGGTTGCTGCACAACCAAATCCACCTAAAATCAAAAAAATTAACAAAAACATTTGTTTAGTTATATTTTATTTATAAAATTAATTGATTTTTACCCCCACAAGATTTAATAAAAACGTTAAACCCCGATTTGATCCCTCCTAATTCGAATAAAGCGAAATAGGCGGTTAAATAATTTAGAAAGATAGCAGCGCCATCTTCCATTGGAATTTCGTCGGGGATTTTAAAACATTTTTCCGGGGAAGTTCTTAAAATCGTTCGGTACATTCCCTCTTCGAAATCGTAACAAATTACGCGATCACCTATTTGGAATTGATCGGTTTTCAATCCTAAATCGGTGATAACCCCACAAGCTTCCGATCCCATCACGAAAGGAAGCGGTTTGTTGAAAAATCCCAATCGTTTGTAGATATCGCAAAAGTTTAAGCCGCAATAATAAACTTCAACTTCGATTTTATCTTTTAAATCGGGTAAAGAGTAATCTTCAATCTAATAAGGAATTATTTCAATAAAAATAATATAAATAAAAATAATTATTTTGTTACCTTTAAAACATCATAACCTCCAAATTTATGAATTACAACCGATTTTGAATGTTTAATCATTTTTTTTATCGTATTCTTTATGCTGAGTTCGAGGTCAAACTGTAAAAAGAACTTGAGACCGGGAACTTGTTTGGGTTATAACCTCAATCTTTTAGTAGGGGGAGAAGGTTTGAATAATTTATCGTGAAATATTTATGAAGTGTTGTAATTTTAAATTAGGGGAGGTTATAAATTTAGAAAATGTCGGTGGATTTGTATTTTTTAAAGGGATACATTTAAATATTTTATTCGGCGGACATCTGTTGAGGAAATTTCGAATTTTATACTTAGGTTATCTAACGATAGATGGCGATTAGAGTAAATGTTGAAATAAGTTTGAAACTTTATTCTTAACAACATAATCACATTTATCTTTTTCTTTTTTAGACGCTGTATAATAGGTGAAAATATATGATATAATATAAAGGTTGTACTTATTGTATTTTACATTGGTTGATTGTGGAAATCCTGATAAAGAAATGGAGGATGAAAGTGGTAATGAAAAACAGAAAAGAAGATAAAGACGAAGTCTAGAACAACCCGGTTGGGTTAATTTCTCTTAAATATATTTGATATTAATTTATTCTGGAACTAAAAATCAAGTAAATGAATTGCAATACTTTATTTGCTGAAATACAAGTTCCTTCCAATTTTAAATGAAAACGGAGTCGCTTTTAGGATTTTAATATTTTTTCATTATACGTGGTACCTACAGGTCAATGCAATTTTATGCGCAAAGAAAACTCAAAGGAGTAATATAAAGAGTATGTGACGAGACTAAGTCGCTCAACATGTTAATTTGAAAATGTTCGGATCTGCGGTTTTCTTTTTATAGCGAGCTAAATGAAAAAAGTACCCGATTTTTGAGTGTGCCAGCTTTGTCAACTTTGCGTTTTTTTCTCGAAAACTATTTGACGAAAAAATTTCAAATTTGAACTGGTGGTAAACCGACGTGTTCTTAATGTGGGGCATAGTTTATTTTTTCGATATTCCATATAGTTTCGTGGAAAATCGCGGTTTAGTAGGATGCGGTTATTTCGAAAACGACCTGGTGGATTTCAACGCGGTTTTTATCAAAATATGTCAAATCATGTCGGATTTCGTTATCAGTTTTTCAAAATTAGGGCTCCCATATTTTTAAAGGGCGAATTAATAGAATTTACAAATTAAAGAGAAACAGAAATAAACCATGCGGGGAGCCGGCCAATCGGAACAGAGTTAAAGAGATGGCCCTGGCGTGCATCTAAAGATGAGATCTTGAACTATAGATTTCAATATTTAAACAATAGATGGCATAGGTAATAACATTACAATGAATCCAAGAATTGTAAATAATTTTTAAAATTAATATATCTTTCTTTAATGAATAATGAGATATTCGTTCTTTTTTCGTGTCACATATAATTAGTTTGGTGTTGATTGAAACGTTAACGGTTGCAAATTTCGTAACCAAAATCGTTAATTGATTGCATTTCGGTGTAAGCGAAGATATCGGTTCAATGCCGTACAAATATATCCAATCGGAATTGCTAATTCAACTCAAATAGACGAACGTGGCCCCCCCAGAAATCCGCCATCGAGCGTTTTGGCAAACATTACCGATTTCGAACGGGTCAAATCGGTTTAGAAATAGATGCGGAATGAGCAACTATTTTCACTCAAATACTCACTTAATTCATTTTTATTTTTTCGAAAACTTTCTTTTATAACTTGACTTTTAGTACTTACACTTAATCGTTACTAAACTAAAATCCCTCTTAAACCCTTCGAGTAATCTCAGGATAATTTACCGAGTTACGAGGTGCTCTTGGAAACCATTTTGCGACGATTGTGGACTCCCCGTTATGTTCTCGAGGAGAACCGTTGTAATACGCTACAATAAGCGTCTTGTTGCACTAGAGTAAGCATTGTGTTTCTGTCTCAGAGAGAAGTGTTATAATCGTAGAAATGCGGCGGCGACGTCTGGGTTCAGTTTGGGCTTGAATTATGAGGTTTTGACAAGTTGTATGAATTATTGTCTATTTATTTTATAAATTATAAATTCCTTTAAACTCGGTTGTAATAAATAACAAAGCTACGCCGGATGGTTATAAATTTACAAACCAAATTGAATTAGATCATCAACAACTATAGTGGATAGACAAACAACCCTAATTTTAGCGAACAATAAACCCGATTGTGTACGACGTGAATCAGGTGGAAACTTAATAATGGACCAGAACTGCTTCAACGGACAATAGAATACGCGGCCACAACAGGGATATAGTAACTCAAACGAAACTTCTTACTAAATAATAATTTAGTAAAACCTCGATATAACGGATTAATATGGGGGAATGCAAAAAAAAAAGATATAACATTTTGAATTTTATTTACAGCCGAGGGTCTTCAGAGCCGTCAGTCTTCAAAGCCTTGGGGAATAACCCGAGTTTATTTATAGTATATTAAAAATATTTTGTAAATTAATTTTTTTATTAAACTGATTTTATGCCTAATTCTTCGGCAGTTTTCACAATCCAATCTTTATAACTTGACACTTTTGTGTAAACACCCGGTTTGTGTTTTTTCGCGCAACCATCACCCCACGACACCAATCCGGTTAAGACAAACTTCCCTTCATGAAAACACATTAAAGGACCCCCCGAATCTCCCCCGCAAGCGTCCACACCTCCGCGGAGTTTCCCCGCGCAAACCATCGTTTCCAAAATTTCTTGCCGCTTCCCACCTAAAATATGACCTTTTTTACAGATTTCCGACGATAAAAGAGGAACGGTGGCGGTTTGGAGAGTCGAAGAGATTTCTTTTTGGCCATGAGGATTGAAAATACCCCATCCTGAGACTTCGCAACGCGTTCCTTCGGGTGGCGTTTCTTTGGGTACACAAGCTGGTTTTATGAATTTGTTTCGAGTAAATCCCGGCTTTGAAACGAGAAGTAAAGCAATATCGTTGCTGTAAGGACCCGATTTTCGATGATCTGGATGAACAATCGATTTTTCTACCTTTAAGATTTGCTCGAAAGTTTCGTTTTGTTGCCCAACTCGCCCCGATAACCCATCTAAATAACAATGGGCAACAGTTAGTATTAATCTCGAAGAAATTAAAACACCACCACAATGATGTCTTCCTTTATGGATTAAATCGACGATCCACGGTACAGCTCCAAGAGGTGGTGATTCACCTCCAATAACCTTCGATGACCTTGGATTCCAATCAACACCACGAACACCACACGATTGTTGCGGATTTGGAAATTTCGGGTAACCACTTTTTATTATCAAATCATTATTATTATCACTTTTCGACGAACCAATCAAAATTAAAAACACGATTACCTTTAAAACATTCATTTTAACCGTAAACAACAACATCTCGTTATCGAATGAATCGAAACTCATCTTCGAGTCGACTTTTATACATCCGGAAATGCACCTACTTATTTTGGAGGACGCAAAATATGCAGTGAAAGTTTCGCTTTTTAACGCACAATGATGAGATGATGTCCGTCTTATCTTCTTAAACTCGCACTGTAACGAAAACAAATTGGGTGAAATTTTTCGGCGCTTTTCTCTTTCACGTTTCGATCGAAAATTTGTTTTTATATTTACCCAACAAGTTGAATAAGTCGTTAATTAAAATCGTAATCGATTAATTTTAATTAATACAGTCGAACGAGTGTGTGTATGTGTGTCGATGACAGCTCAGGATTATGTCTAAATTCAATTTATTAAATCCTAGATTTCGAATTGGATGAGAACCGAAACTAAGTTACCCTCAAAACCAAAGTTTAGAATTGACGTTTAGATTCGAGAGGGAATTGAGAGATGGCGATTAGAGGGGGAATGGGGCTTTAATACTTTGTTTCTTAAATTTAACGTAGAGAATTAATTTAAATCATTTTAATTTATAAATACGTCTTGCAAGTTTCGGATAATTATAGTCATCATCAGGTTTTGTAACACTATATCTGAGGTTTAATGGATATTGAAATTGTTATTGAAGTTTATTATGTTATGTCAATAGTTATTCTTCAATAGTTGGAATAGGTTAAATATTGCTAATGAAAGATTAGATACATCTAGAAGATTAAGTGTAGCTTGCAGAAAACTAGATACTGCTAATAAAGCACTACACACTGCTTCTAGAATTGCAGCTACTCTTTGCTGATGACCAGATATTGTTGACAAAAGACCAGGTATCGCTTATGGAAGACTACATAATAGTTCCAGATAATGAGATACAACAGATGAAACATTAGAAGCTGCTTACAGAAGAGAAAATGTATTTCTAACTCAATTTTGTTTTTTTTTTCATTTTGGAAAATCCTACGAAAATTTCATTTAATTTTGATTTGATATAAATATGTTAACACTTTTAGGCTTACTGATAATTTTTCAAGTCTTAACGTCTTCTCAGCTTAACCTATTATCGGGTATCGGGTTTGCTCTACCGAGACTATTGATTATCTTCAGGTTGCATCATATTGTAACTTAGGAATAGGATTGCGTACACTTTTAATTACTTTCCTAGCTAATACGGCGAATATGAAGAAGGTGGGCATTATCGCGATCGAAGTCTTCGTTGTAGTCGACTCTCTTTCATTTACTTGATTGACGCCCGAAAATTCAATATTAGATTTTTAGTTATGAATTTAGTTATATTATGGATTTGAAATATATCTAAAGATGGTTTGTAGCTCGAAACGTGCAATTGAAGTTTAACATTTAATGTATGACTTATTACCCCTATATTATTTATTAAAGTATTAATGTTTCTGATTGAAGAGAGAGGAAACGTTGTGTTTACACTTTATAACGAAAACTCAACTCATCTACAAACGATAGGGTCCGTTTTGTCGCCCAAATATTTACCATATCCCCGTTAATTATTGTTGATGCAACCCGTTCGCGAAATTCTCTGACGAACTTTAATTAATTAAAACCCACACCCTCCCTTTATAATCGAAACAAAGTTATTTCGAAAAATTTCGCCACTATTAATGATACTTTTTTTCTTAATTGAATTAGTTTTTGTGCTATTCAACGAGCGAAAAAGGTATTAATGAATAACGACCGGAAATGAAGAAAAGAATGGGGGAGGGGTAAAAGTTTTCCAACTTAATCCAAAGAAATCCGGGCAAATTCTCGATTAGATTGAAAAAAAACCTTTTTATTTCTATTACGACTTTGTCCTTGAATTAAGCTTTTAGCAATCGATCGGAAATTTTTCTAGGGAAAAGGAAAAAGTTTTTCTAGACCTTCGTTAATGCGCTTTTGGTGTATATTCCACCTGTCAGAGCTTGAAAAGTTTCACATTGAAACTCCCTTTAACAACGAATGAAAACCGAGGAATAAATATCGAATCAAATGTGTCGTTTCGTATTTTTAGAATGAACTCGTTTATAACGTGATAATTGGATCATCTTGGATTACTTAACTTTATTTTTGGGCGTTGTTTTCGTTTCATTTTTAAAAATAGATTTCGTTTTGGGTTAATAAATAAAACAACCAATAAAATATTATCGATAATAATTTAATTAGAAAGTCATCGTTGCATTTACACAGGTTATCCATACTTCTACTTCATACGAGACGGCTTTTTTTAAATTAACCGCCACTAAAAATGGAGAGCTATATAAAAAAGTCTTCCTTTCTGCTATTTTTTATTTATTTATTTATTTTCCAATCTTCCATAACCGTAAAGGATTAAAAGTTTAAAAAAAGGTATTCTTAGAAAATTATTAGATTTGAAATTACCCTTATTGCACGATAACATAAAATTAAAAAAAAATTAATTGAAATTCCCGAATACCTTTAAAAACTTTCTTTTTTTTGTTGTTTCGTTTTTAATTATGTCTCTCTTCAGGAACAGGAACAATAAGTCTTTGTAGACTTAAGTATTCATTTCCAGATCGCGGCCTTAGAGTGCAAGATGGAGGAGGCGCATCGCTCGAACTATGCGAAGACATCGATAAAGTTTCGATATAATCCGACATATCGGAAGTACCGCTACTAGTTGAACCGGAAGGACAAACGGGAACCTCAGCTTCAGCGCTGGCGCTTTTCCCTTCTTCCTTTTGAAATCGAAAACTTAAATCTCCAAGCGGATCTGAAGATTTTGATCGTCTTGGTAACGTTTGTATAACGGCTGCTTTTCTTGTTGGTAATTCAAAAACGCCGGAATCGTTCGAACTTGATGAATCTCGATTGGCTTTGCATGGAACTGAAGATGATCTGCGCACTGCTTGGGAGCAACTGCACGTTGAATCCGCCGAGTTAGAACGTTTCCTTCTCGATTCTAAGTTATCGGTGCAATCTAGGATTTGTTTTCTTTGATAAATTTGAGTTTGAAGCATTGCTGAGCCTGAAGGTTTTGTTAGATTTGGGTTGCTGGAAGATAAAACTTTTCCGAGGCGTTGTTTAACAGCGGGGGACATTGGTATGTAACCACCGGGGGTTGATTGGGTTTGAGGTGGTTCCATCATGAGGTAATCGTCTTTGTGGCCACATTTCGAACACAATCCGGCTTTTTTAACCACTTCTTTGGCGTTTTCGTATAATTGTAATGATTGAGCAAACTCCATGTTTTCGTAGTTACCATAATTTCCGTCTAAATTTGCGTAATTATGGGATTCAAAACGGTTCTTGTTTTTACATTTTTTCCCTACATCGACGGTTGCGTACAAAGCTGAGGGATCTTCGGCTCCGTTCCAACATGATAATAATCTTTGGCACATACACATTTTTTCTGGTTCCGGAGGGCGTACTCTTAATACGCAACCGCATGGTTTTCTTATGGTGGTTTCGCTCAAACATTCTTTAATTTTTTTCGGGGTATCATACAATTCCTCAATTTTGTTGTTGATTCCAACTGGATATGGGATTTTTGGAATATCGTAATTATTGTAATGTTGTAATTTTGGTGGAGGAGCCGGGGGTTTTGTGACCGTTTGGCTCCAACCGGAACTATCCGAACCGGAACTGATGGAATGTCTATCGCACGTGTGTTCCCAGCATTGCGCAGTTGTTGCGGTGCTGCTTCTACTCATCGCGCCTAATTTACTAATGCAACTCAAACATCTCTCAATCGGTGGACCTCCACCCCAATCGGACGAGGAAACATCACCGCACCCATAACTACTATCTAAATCAGTGTACGGGGAATCAACCCGCGTTAAAAGTGATGGATCCGTTATTTCTGGATGGCGAACTTCCGCGCGAAGAGCCGGGCGTCTTGGACTATCCAAAACTGTAATAAAAATAAACAACAAAATTATAAAATTAATCATAACAGATTTCGATATAACAAGAAAGAAATTAAAATACGTTCTAAAATAGAAAATTAATTAAACATTCTGATCTGATTAGTAAAAGGAGATCATTCGCATTCGATTAGTTGATTAATAAAGTCCGATAATCCATTTTCCAATAAAATCTCTAACCTCCTTTTTCTTTTCTCTCGTCCAAAAAGTCCCAAACGCCGATAAAACTCGGCTCGTTACAGGAGCACAGGTGGAAATTCGATGGGACGTTAACATCGTACGCAGATCCTGTTATGAATCGTAAACTTACCCAACAATTTCAAAATAAAATGTATAAACGAAAATCGTATACATAATGATTGTTGTTAAAAAATAGGTTGGCAAATACTTAAAAGTTTTTAATTTTTAACGCTTATTTACACTATTAATGCAATTCAAAAGAAATGATAATAGCCAAGGTTGCTTGCGGCCGAGGCATTAGAGTATAGATTACTAAAGTGATAACAGTTGAGGCGCCATAATCCATCTTGGTAAAGAGATAATAGCCGAGGTCGCTTGCGGCCGAGGCAATGGGATGTAGATTGTTAAAGTGATAGCAGTTGAGGTGCCACAATCAAACTTGGTAGAGGTAATAACCGAGTTCGCTTGCGGCCGAGGTATTAGAGTATAGATTATTTAAGTGATAGTGTATAGTTGAGGTATCATAAGCAACCTTGCTAAAGAGATAATAGTTGAGGTCGCTTGCGGCCGAAGCATTACAATATAGATTGTTACAATGATAGCAGTTGAGGCGCCACAATCAACCTTGTTAAAGATATAGTAGCCGAAGTGGCTTGCAGCCGAGACATTAGAACTTATTTTGTTAAAGACCGAAGTTCCATATTCAACTCCGTTATAGAGATAGTAGCCGAGGTCAGTAGTGTATTATCCGCTCCACCTAGTGACGTCACACTCCACTGTAAAAGTATAGGGAAAGTGACCAACCTAAATCTAGAGAGTTAAATTTATGCTGTACAATTTGAAAAATGTACGTTGGTCGCATTGCTTCTCTCACATCTAAATGACGTTAATTTTTTTTGCCTTATCACCAAGTTCTACTTGCTTTTTAAATGCCAACCGAATTTTAGTAACACCCAAATGTCCCTAGATATAGGTTGGTTACTTTCCCTATACATTTACATTCAATTGTGACGTCATTTGGTAGAGCAACTTCTGGTCTAGAATCCCAATACAAAAAATTTCTTTCGAGCAACTCTTCCTATATCTTTTTCGTCTAACTTTATTTTGACGCTCGCTGAATGTCGGATCATAATTTATTGCAGTGTGGATATCAATAGTAGTTAATCATCAGATTTTTGCCAGATTCTTCAACTTCGTCCATATTCATAGATGTTGTTCTATTATTTGATATTTAAATGGAGGAAACAAAAGGAGGTTTCATCCTCTTAGTGGGTGAAGATAAATAATCACAATTTTGTCAAACAAACAAAATCATTTAAGGTAGTACATTACTGGCAGCAATGATATATTTTTGTTGGTTGTGAACGATTGGTGAAGTGTTATAATTGAAACCATGAAAGATAAAATGTGATAAATGTAGCGCCTCGGCTACGACAACCTCGTCTTAGTTCTCTCAGCCGGGAAATATAAAACATAATAACCCAACCCAATCCACTCATTTAAGTAACATTTGTTATCAACACTCTGTTATCATTTCTATCATTTATTTTACAAAGTATTTAGTTTATGCCTTATGAATTGGATACAAATAATTCTATATAATTTTTTTGAGTTACATTGCCAATTCTATAAAAAAAATAATAAATACAATAAATAACAATCATTATGTATACAATAATGATACATGAAAGAAAAATTAATACCCTACCTGACATATTTCTCGAAACCGGTCGTTTTCTCGTCGTATGTAATTGTCCTATAGCCGCCAATTTCAACGTTTGCGTAATTTCATCTCCTTGATCCGTTAAAAGTACATGAAGACCTTCACCACGTCCACACCTCGATCCGCCTTCGAAGCAAAACCTCCCCTCGATAACGCCATAACGTCGTAAATGAGGAATTAACCAATGTCCCACAACTCGGGGTGGAACTCCGGTGCTTAAACAAAAACCTCCTTCTTGGACGTGCATTTTAGCCGGTCCAGCTGGAAGACGAGCTTTCACCGGAGACGACGATAACAAAACCAGGAAATGGGGACCATCGTTCAAATGGGACGATAATTTCACTTGCCATTGCATGAGACGTTCTCGGGTGTCAAATGCTAAGACGACGACGACGTCTTGACAGAGAATAGCAACGGTGTTCGATTCCTTGTCGAGGGTGAATCCCGTTTCGAGACCAAGGAAATGTTCCAACGATAACGAGGCTTTCGTTTGACCTTGTTTGTAACGGTCCTTTGAGTCGCGGTATAACTGAAGGTGAAGACAATCTGAAAATAAAAAGAAACGATTGAATTAAGAATTCCATTTAAATCGGAGTAATAAACAATGAGATAAGGGTGGATAAATTTAAAGGGGGGTTTGGATTTTAGGGGGCGCGATCGAACGTCATTTACGCGAATTTATGCGAGCGTTATTGAGTTTAAATGAATGAGTAGTAATTAGCGGCGAGGATTTAGTGGGCGAAATCGCTTTATAGAACCCACGATTATCGACGAATTCGCCCGAAACGCGTTTGATAGCGTAATTGCCGTTGTCCGCGTCCCGATTGTACCCCAAATTCAATTTCCGGGAGAAACTCTAAAATTAATGAAAAAAAGAATTTATTAAAATTTTTTTATTTTTATTCTTTTTTTTTTTGGTTTTAGGTCCGATCAATTTATTACTGCACATTATGACCACTGGCGCAGATGTTTCGGACATTAATGCCGCCCTCAGGGGACTATCAATCAAAAACGGAAGCTCGCCAGTTCCGAAATCGACCGAAACTTATAAGCGCTTGGATTTTGATTAATGAAAGTACCCATAAAAAAAATTAAATCAAAAAGAACGGTTAAGGATAATGATGCCAGTTGAAAATTAACCAAATCACGTTGGTGAAGAGTTAATTGCCGGAACAAATTCGTGATTTCATCGTGGAGAAGAGAGAAAGATAAAGGGAAAAGCTGCGAGAACGACCACGTCGGCATCTATTTCAAAGTAAGTAGTTTGCCCAGAGCAATTGCTTAATTGGAATTAATTTGCGGTCGCTTTCAACTATGTTATAGAGATAACAGCCGAGGTCGCTTTGCGGCCGAGGCATTAGACTATAAATTGTTAATGCGACATCAGTCCAAGTACCATAAGCAGCCTTAGTTAAGAGATAATAGCCGACGTCGCTTGCGGCCGAGGCATTAGAGTGTAGACTGTTAGAGTGATAGCAGTTGAGGCATCATAATCAACCTTAATAAAGAGATAATAGCCGAGGTCGCTTGCGGCCGAGGCATAAGAGTATAGATTGTTAGAGTGATAGCAGTTCAGGTACCATAAGCAGCCTTAGTTAAGAAATAATAGCCGAGGTCGCTTGCGGCCGAGGCATTAGAGTATAGACTGCTACAGTGATAGCAGTTGAGGCATCACAATCAACCTTAATAAGGAGATAATAGCCGAGGTCGCTTGCGACCGAGGCATTAAAGTATAGATGGTTAGAGTGATAGCAGTTCAGGTACCATAAGCAGCCTTAGTTAAGAGATAATAGCCGAGGTCGCTTGCGACCGAGGCATTAGAGTGTAGACTGTTAGAGTAATAGCAGTTGAGGCATCACAATTAAAAATATTCGAGTTTAGCCGTCTTAAGAGACGCTAAACCCGAATGTTTCTACTTCTAGATTTAGTGTTAGTTTTGATTGTTATTCAGTTTTTATTGACAATTGCAGACTCACAGTCAGTGCGTTTGGCTATGCGTTAGATTTCCAGATTAATAATAATTATTTTTTTGGTGAAAAATTTAAATGTAATAAATCTTTTTGTAATGCAGTAAATCTTGCGTGCAACAACGGATTTAATAGTCGAGTTGAAAACGCGTTGTTATTTCTTGATTTGTCGCCGACAGGTTTGAACCCATCCGTCACCCGGGAGATCCAATACTCGTCCGGATCTGTACTCGACGGTATCTCCCTCTATAGATCATAAGCCGTCCTGCAAATGTCACAGATTAGACCCGGAACTGTTCTGGGTTGGTCCTATCTCGAGGGTTTAAAGATAAAGGGGCCTCCTCATATATTAATAATTTTAATGAGGATTTGTTTTTTAAAACAAATAGTTTTCTCTCTATATAGATTTTCTTCTTAGATTCTAGAGACCTGGTAGACCGTTAATAACGTTTTTCTCATCATGGGGGGAAGCTCAGCTTCGAGTTTCGAGTCCGTGCCTCCGAGAAATCTCGATAAAACGCCCCCCTTCGCCGTTTCAATGAAATATCGCCCCTATTTCGCACCGACCCCCGTTTGGCAACGTCCCCAACGTCGCGATTAGCCGCCCGTGGTGGTTCGGCGAAATTTTCATAAAATCCACGCTGTTATGATTTATTTTGTTCCAAATTAACGCTTAACTAAAATTTTAAATAATTTAAAATGGATTAGTCTGATACAAGTAGACGGAAATCTGTAACGATTACGCGTGGATGATTAAAAGCTCGCAAGTTCGCATCGGGCTTCGGTTTCAATCGATATCCAAGTTCCCCTTTGCTTCCTCTATTCCCGTTTTGCGTCGTCGTAGTCCCTGAGGCTTAATTGGTAATTAGTATTTTAATAATACAACAGCTACTCCTTCTCGCCAGCTCCTAACGCATGAATAATTGCGCTTCGAGGCAAGTTTCTGAATAAAATACGCGCCGGTGGCAGCAGGAATCCGCTTGCAGGAGTTGCTGCCGGCCGTTCTGCTCTTATTATTCATGACTCCTCGTTGCCCGCAATCGATTGCGACTCCGTCAATCACGTATTCCGAATGACAATGTGGTTTTCTTCCAAGAAAACATTCTTTAAGTATTTCACACCTTTAATCATTTATTAAGAAATATTTTTTTTGTTTTTATTTTTATCACGCACAATGTTTCTTAACGAATTTTTCTTGTTAAAGAATAAAAATTTCACCTCAAAACTTTTTCTCATTTAGAGTAAGGCGGGGATTCTGGGCGAGACTGTTTCGGAGAGTTCCCTTTAATCATCGAACATCCCCCCTCTTTGGTAGTCGGAAACTGTCCACGGATGGTTCTTTAATTAGCGCCAACCATCGAAAAAGGGACCAAGTTTATTAATGGTGCAAAAGGTGTAGTCTACTTTTTCTTGTTTTCTTTGGCTCAAAGAAACGAACATAAACCTCTTACGGAACGCGATATCTCCTCGTACGCGACGTTCTAATCCGCACCGGATAAGGATTCTTTGTCTTTTCCGGTTGGCGTAATCCGATTTCGACCCCCCGAAAAGGATTAAAGATATTCGTTCAAATTAACAAGGTTGTGTGACATTGATGTGTTTTTAAAAATGATTATTATAGAGAATAGTGCTGGGTTATTAATTAAAATAAAGCCGTCAAATAGATAACGCTTTACTAAGCGCACACAGGATTTAATTAAATAACAGTAACAACCGCGTCGCGAGGTTCGAAATTAATTCCAATTAAAAAGTTGCTCTCGGCAAACAACTTACATTGAAATAGATGACGTCGTGGTCCTTCTCGCAGCTTTTCGTTCATCCCCTTTATCTCTCTTTCCTCCACGGTGAAATCACGAATTTGTTCCGGCAATTAACCCTTCACCAACGTGATTTGGCTAATTTTCAAATGCCATCATTATCTTTCAACCATTCTTTTTCGTTTAATTTTTTTTTATAGATCATTTATCAAAATCCAAACTCTTACAAGTTTCAGACAATTGTTATCTCTTTAATAAAATAAGTTGTAGCGCGTTTGCCACAAGCGAGCTCAGTTGCTTCATCAAGTAACGTCACACTCCAAAGTGACCAACCTAAATCTAGTGACTTGTCAAAATGACAGCTTGAGCTAAATGTCAATTTGACAAATTGGTTAATTTTTTAATCGAAAAGTTTAAATTTTAAGAGTGAATAATATTCGTAGTTTTTAAAACATTGTTACACAATCATTTCGAACGATGAAAATAACGATCACAAAGAAGCTGCTACGTCCGACATATTCATTCCAACACGATATTATGATAACGTAAGCGGCTTAAACGGCCCGTGTTATGCGTACGAAGCGAATTTTTCGGATTAAATTGCTCTTCTACGAACCGGCTTCATTCACTTTGTCCGTGTTGTGTGTTCGCCGTTTCCGCTGTTCGCGCAGTTTCGATTTCCTACCGTGACGGCGCAAATCCGCTCAACACACGTACTTACACTCGTATGCAAAACAAATCTTATTACCACGACCGTCTTGTCCACACACTTTAATCTCCATTTATTTTTCAATTTCCTTAAAAATTAAAGAGAAAATTTTTTTTATTTATATTATTTCTTGCGAAGCGCTAAGGGGTTTAAGGGTCGTTACGGCGTTTAAAAAATAAAATGAAACGTATCTCGGCGCTTCTTTCTAATTTTATGTGAGGCGCCGGAAATGACGAGGATAAAGGAAAAAAAAGGAGGGTTAAATATAGGTATAAAGAGGTGTTTCGATCGATTTGAAATGTTGTTACACCAACAACGCGGCAATGTAGTACGTGAGGATTAAACAACGTCGCATATTCGCCATAAATCTGCTTTAGCTTTGTCGCAAACTCCGCGTGGGAGGTCGCAAGTGTTAATTACTCACGCAGCTCGTGAGTCCCCTTTGTGCTTTTCGGGGTTGCGCGCGGAAAGGGAGGAAACAGCCCCCCTCTAATTACCTCCACCATCTGTCGTTCTTTTCCGTTTCCCCCTCTTAAACTAAAACTTAATAATAATACTTTAACCTTTCAATACAAAACAGGTAAATAAAAGACTGTAAGATCTCTTTTGAGCAGAAACTTTCTACGTAGGTGTTGTGTTACTTCTAATTTCAGTTGTTATTCAGTGTTAGGTCGTTTTATCTTTCTATTGAAAAAAATCTGAAACTAGAAACATTAAGATTTAACTGTCTTAGGCCCACTTTTACCACTTCTTGATAAATTTATTCGATAGATAAATCCAACTCTTAGCCGATGAGAATGCTTAAAACCGCCGTAACCATTGCAACTATCCTCTAGATTCTAGATCTAGATAGTATATCAGAAGGATGGTAAAAGTGGGCCTTAAGAGACGTACAGCTAAACCTGAATGTTTCTAGTTCTAGATCTAGTGTTAGTTCTAGTTTTAGTTCAATAAAAGTATACAACAATCTAAAACCGAATGACAACTAAAACTAGAGCTAACACTAGTACTAGAACTAACACTAGACCTAGAACTACAAACATTTGGGTTTAGCCGTACATGTCTTAAGACGGCTTAAGATGTCTTAGTGCTACTTGTAATTCGGGGAATACC